GTTGAATGTTAATGGACTCTCGCGTGCATTCATACATGAATTCGACATAAGGCTCACAGAGCTTGAGAAAAAAATGGACGCCAGGGACAAGCTGCTTATGCCGACTGATGCTACGGTTTCGAAACCCGTAGCCACCGCAGTTGCGCCCGATATAGCACCAGGCCAAAGTCAGGTATCCGCTACAACCTCGACACAAGCATATCCTACTCCATCGCCGTCCGCAAGAGTAAATCGACCGGATTTAGCACCGGGCCAAAGTCAGGTAGCCGCTACAACCTCGACACAAGCATATCCTACTCCATCGCCGTCCGCAAGAGTAAATCGCCCGGATTTAGCACCGGGCCAAAGTCAGGTAGCCGCTACAACCTCCACACAAGCATATCCTACTCCATCGCCGTCCGCAAGAGTAAATCGCCCGGATTTAGCACCGGGCCAAAGTCAGGTAGCCGCTACAACCTCCACACAAGCATATCCTACTCCATCGCCGTCCGCAAGAGTAAATCGCCCGGATTTAGCACCGGTCCAAAGTCAGGTAGCCGCTACAACCTCGACACAAGCATATCCTACTCCATCGCCGTCCGCAAGAGTAAATCCGGGCAGGCACAGAACCTCAAAAGCAGCAGCTCGACGGAAGCCCCGTTCACTCACAATAACGCTGACTGGTGACGATATTCCTGAAACCTTAAAGATGGCCACAGCAGCGGCTGGAGAGTTCGCCGCTGGGAACGAAGATTTTCTAATGGAAGCCTCTATAGTGGCGGCATGGTGCTTTCCAAAACCGGCACAGGTTAAGTTATTCCGTTGTCTTCGACCTCCCAAGAAGCAGCCACACTGGTGGACCCCAGAAATCGCGAAACTTCGCACAGAGTGCATAAAGGCGAAACGTCAGTACACTAGGCACCGTCGTCGCCAACCAAACAACGAAACGTCTGAGGTGGGAGCACAGCTGCACGCCACCTATCGCGAAAAACAGAAGGCCATGCAGCTAGCCATTAAGAAATCTAAGGCCCAAACTATGGAAGTTCCTGTGACAACGTAGACTTGTAGGGTCGTTGGTATAATAATAACACGTCTTAGGAGCCAACCTGGGTGGCTGAGCGAAAATATAGTACTGGCCTTTTTCACAAAATTAAGAGAAATCAGCCAATCTCCATATGTGCTAGTCGCCGCCAAATTTTTGTAGCTCTTTAAAAACAATTGGAAACAGAGTTTGCATTATTAAAGTTAAAACGAAAGCCCGACCCTGCATCCGTCAGAAACTACTACCGTAACTTATACGTGCAGTGATTTTATGCGTAAATGAAAAATATCCATAATAATAAAATAAAATAAAAACATTGCTATGCTTTATTAATGACATAATGTTCGTAGAGAATTAAGATTATCTTATTGTACTGATAATTTTACTGTAAAACCTGCCTTTGTTATGTATAAAACGATATATTTCACACTTATAAAACAAAAAGAAGTAATTTGTAAGGTCTAAAATTATTGATATAGATGGTCTTCAAATATTTCGCTTCGATAATCCTCAATGAAGTTAGATAATTCAATATGTAACCATAACCTTAACCACTCTCAATTAGAAATTCAAAGCATTTAATTGTTCAAAAATATATGTAAAAATTTAATTATGTCAAAGGGTAAAAAAGTTATTTGGTTTAATACGCGACATTTATCTTTGTAATTAAATGTCAGTCTTATTCGGTATTTGCATCAACAGTTTGATGTTTTCAATTGAATTTCAATTAACTTTAAATAGTACTCTATTTAAATAGCAGAAGAAGTTTTTTTGTTAGGACACTTTTTCTAAATTGAGTCGTCTATTATCAAAGGTGGCAATCTGTGCATTTGGACAAGAAAATGTTATTGATATGTCAATACAGATCGATTTGAATATAATCGTCTCCTTCAAAGAATACGGTTCAAAAACTGCATTAAATAAAGGTTAATACTTAACCTGTTATTTATCTAAGATGTCGTTCAGAAGAGTTTTGTGACTGCCAATGGAATACAAAGTCAATAATTCGTTTTTCTGATTTACCAATAATTGTCCAAAAGTCACATTGCCGGCTTTGATAATAGTCGANTTGATTTGAATATAATCGTCTCCTTCAAAGAATACGGTTCAAAAACTGCATTAAATAAAGGTTAATACTTAACCTGTTATTTATCTAAGATGTCGTTCAGAAGAGTTTTGTGACTGCCAATGGAATACAAAGTCAATAATTCGTTTTTCTGATTTACCAATAATTGTCCAAAAGTCACATTGCCGGCTTTGATAATAGTCGACTCAATTTTAAACTTTAAATGTAATAATGCTGTAAAGTCGCTTAAACCAAAGTCACTTTTCACCCCTTGATATGTATAATATTGGTGTCATCCGTGATTTAAATAAATTCATGTAGTTTCATGTTGGAGTTTTATTTTTATTGTCCGCGTGTTCGTGTCAGGCAGGGATTGACCGGACTAATAACGAAATAAAGGTCTGCTTTGCAACAGAAATGGCTAAGACGGTGGTACCTACCCGTGCGGGCTTTACTAATAGATTGCTACCAAATAAGTTTTAGTACAAGCAGTTTTATAACTTCCAGACGCTCTAAGTCCCAGGTCGTATAATATAAACCATGCATTAGAAAAATAAGAACAATTAAAAGAATAAAACATTTTATTCGCATACATAATAACTGCATCAAAATATTTACATTAATAATTAAAGATATCACATAAAACACTTCACAATGTAAATTAAGCGATGATATTAAAATGTAAGTACTAAAAAACAAATTCGTTCATTCAAATTTCAAACATAGATCTTTGGAATGGGAGAGAAATTAGATATTAGAAGAAAATTCAAGAAATGTTAGTATTATTTTAAAATAGTATAAAACATTTTAGAAAAAGAAAACATTTCAAGTCCGCGTTGCCAGACAACAACCAAAAGTTAATTGCTAAAAAATAATTTTGATAAAACATAATAAAACATTCATTGCCTGCGCTCTCTGTGGTCATGATAGAAACAAGGGTCTTGATAAATTTGTGCATTCAATTAAACATTATCGCGTTCATAAAATTCACTCGAATTTTTATATTGTAACGATATAATATATTCAAACCACAATCGAAGCAAAAACAAAAATATAGATACTTGTATTTTATGTTACGATCTCGATTTCTTTACATATTCATCGAACCAGCAATGATATCTCTTATAAGAATTGCTTATCTAGAATAACTACTGTGAATAGTATAATGGAAATGTATAAATCTATTAAGTCAGATGTTAATAATGTATTAATAAAAAAATATTTTAATTCAAGTTTAAATGATTTGTGCTTTCACTCCAAAATATGTGTTTTGATCTTGGCAAGTTGCCAATCCCTATATTGTACATTAATGTTTTGAAATCCAATCGTGGCATTGTGATCACTAAAAATGCTTAATTAATTATATTATATGAAAAAAATACTCAAAAGACCTACTTTAATAGTTGTGAAAACAAAAAAAAAAATTATATATGACAATATAATTTAATTTTACAATACTTATTGCTTTTAATTGCGAATCATTTGAATACTTTTGGATAAATACCAATCAAGTAAAATGTAGTTACTGTGTATATCTCTACACTGGGTTGGCACGAAAATGTCGCACAGCGGAAACATTTTTTTTTAACAGGAAATAATTTTACCAACGTTTATATCGACAGCACAGCCTTAAGGTCGATTATCCATTATCATATTTTTAAATTACACTTTTTAAGGAACTGTCATTTGCATTAATTTTTTCTAAACAATTTGCTATTCTAGATTATAATTATTTTTCGCGGTTATCACACGACAAGACAGACTATCGTAGTAATCCGAGTAAAAGCGATATTTTTTTATATAGGTCCCGCATTTTGCTCCTGATGTAGAGATTTCTTTATTCGATCGAATTAAACTAGTTAATTAAGTTGAGGTTGTTAAACAAAATCTGCATTAATTACTTATTTAAAAAAAAAAACTGCTCTTCCGTTGTTTGGTCGGTCGACATGATTGATATCCTTATTCGAGTTTCTAAGTGACAATTTAATTGTATTTCACATTTCAAAATTACTTTTTCTTAAGCGAGAAAAATGTATGACAATTCTTCTACATACAAACGACATTTAATATTTTTCTTTCTTTCATCATAAAAATACTAATATTCTGGTCTTTCATTTATTTAGAAAACATTAGTTATGTGTTAGTCCTCACTACATAGNATTGATATCCTTATTCGAGTTTCTAAGTGACAATTTAATTGTATTTCACATTTCAAAATTACTTTTTCTTAAGCGAGAAAAATGTATGACAATTCTTCTACATACAAACGACATTTAATATTTTTCTTTCTTTCATCATAAAAATACTAATATTCTGGTCTTTCATTTATTTAGAAAACATTAGTTATGTGTTAGTCCTCACTACATAGAATGTATAAAACAAAGTCGCTTTCTCTGTCCCTATATCCATATGTATGCTTAAATCTTTAAAACTATGCAACGGATTATGATGCGGTTTTTTTTAATAGATAGAGTGATTGAAGAGGAAGGTTTATATGTATAATAACATCCATTAAATAGTGGGGAAATCAATAATAAATTACAGTTTCCGAAGCGAAGCGAGGGCGGGTCGCTAGTAATATATATTCATATAGAGAAAGCTGTTGTTAGATTCCTTTCTTCTGAACATGTGCTACAGATAATAATCGCTTAGCTTTGCCCTTTGACTGTCGTGTAGGTCACCGGTGCCCTACGCCGGCGCACTGAATTAATTACGTCGATTTCCTGTATTGATTAACTTTGCTTTATTTTGTTTGTTACTGGTGGTAGGACCTCTTGTAAGTCCTCACAGTTAGGTACCACCGCCCTGCCTATTTCAGCCGTGAAGCAGTTATGCGTTTCAGTTTGAAGGGTAGGGCAGCCGTTGTAGCTATACTAAGACCTTAGAACTCATATATCAAAGTGTGTGGCGGCATTTACGTTGTAGATGCCTATGGGCTCCGGTAACCGCTTAACACCAGGTGGGCTGTGAGCTCGTCCACCTATCTATGCAATAAAAAAATAATGTATGTTTTAGCATTTTAGGTCTCTTAGTAATATATTCACTCTCAGTATCTTCGGATTCGTCTTACCCAGAGTCTACTAGATATTTCAGCGCCTTAGTAACAGAAGTCGACGTACTTATTTTAAAGCGCCGTGTAGGTCACCGGTGACCTACACGACAGTCAAAGGGTTAAAATGCGTACACTTCTAATTAATCTATGAACGTTACCACACGAAGTTTAATACGAACATACAAGGTAAAATACTAAATCATCGACCGACCGAGCACGTGGAGCGTTGAATCAGCAAGCCGGCGCGTGCGCGTGTCGACTTGCAGATAAAATTAACAGTTACAATAATGAAACTAAGTAGCGACGCGAAGACGCGATGCCGGGCCGCGATGTTAGTCGACGCTGATTATCGACTCCCGTCCTTGACCCACGCCAATGTATTTAACTGTAAAAAGAAAAAGTAATTTAGCTAAGTTAAATTTAGAGAAAGAGAGAGAGTATTCTTTAGTGTACACCAACAAAAGAAACAAAACAAAACATTAAGTACAAAAAAAAAGTACAATGAGCGGTCTTATCGATATTGTGTGCGCGGAACGATATAGTTGTGTATAACAGATGCGACATCTCCAACATTTATAATAATAATATACAGTCAAAATCTGTTATAACGACATCGAAGGGACTACTCATATTCAGTCGTAAAAACCGATAGTCGTAACAACCGGTGATGTTTAATGTGTATCGTGCAAGTACAAACAAATCGATAGGGAATTATTAGAAAAATATATTTACATAATACGCGATTTTTCTTCAATATTAATTTGTTTTCTTTTTCTCTGCGACATTTTGAAAGTTTCATGAATAACTCCACAAAGTTTTGGTGCGTCTTGTGTATAGATAAGTAACAAACTAACTGAAGAGATATGAAGAAGCGGGCTTTGACTACCGCATGCACGTGTTTTGTTTCTAAGAATTAGAAAAGACCCTACACTAAACTAAATCCTATTGTTTTCTTTCCTGATTTTAAAAGCCATTGAANTAAGTAACAAACTAACTGAAGAGATATGAAGAAGCGGGCTTTGACTACCGCATGCACGTGTTTTGTTTCTAAGAATTAGAAAAGACCCTACACTAAACTAAATCCTATTGTTTTCTTTCCTGATTTTAAAAGCCATTGAAGACAAATGTGGATACCTATTCAAATTGTTTACAATACAGCTTAGCCGGTCGTTCTAACAGATCTAAATTACCAATGTCGTAGAAAGCAATATTTTTAATAAGGCGGTCATATGGCATTCAGCCGGGACCTTTGTTCTTGGTTATTATAACCGGCATGTTGTATTAAACGATGTCGCAGTAAACGGTTTTGACTGTATATACATATATAATTTCACTATTTATTTTTCTAGCTATAATTTTAAATATATATAATATAAATGTTGAAGTTGTCGCATCTCTTACACAGCATTCCTTATTACATGAGCAATCTGATTTAACGATAAAAAATGAAGAAAACCACAATACTACTACACATTTTTTTTTTATTGCTTAGATGGGTGGACGAGCTCACAGCCCACCTGGTGTTAAGTGGTTACTGGAGCCCATAGACATCTACAACGTAGACGCGCCACCCACCTTGAGATACAAGTTCTAAAGTCTCAGTATAGTTACAACGGCTGCCCCACCCTTCAAACTGAAACGCATTACTGCTTCACGGCAGAAATAGGCAGGGCGGTGGTACCTACCCGCGCGGACTCACAAGTGGTCCTACCACCAGTAAAGGTGTTACATACAGTACAAAGGTGTACCATCGTAAAGGAAGTTTCACTTCATTCACGGGCACCAAGTTGCACGCGCGCAGTTTTGTTTATAGACTAGCCGTACTCGCCCGCTTCGCTGGGCATTTAAAATTAACATTATTATTTATGGTCATTATTATTAGTGAGTCCAACGCTCATATAAATATTAACATATCCATTAAGTACATGTATTTTCTACATGGATACCAAGTTTCAAGTCAATCGGATGCATGGTTCTGTAGTTATAACGGAACATCTGTAAAAACCACTGTAGATTTATATATTAGTATAGATACTGACCGGGCACCTGCAGGAAGTCCTCGATGGCCTTCACGTAGGCGCGGGCCTCCGCCGGCAGCTTGTCCAGCTCTCGCACGTGCTCTATACTGCACGCCCAACCGGGTAAACTAATGTATTCCACCTATACAGCAAAAAAATAAAAATAATATGATTACCGAAACTTATAGATGTCAACAACATAAATACCAACACGTCATTACGGATCCTCCCGATTCATTAACGGTGCTTTTAGGTACCACAAGCACCGGTTACCGTTCTCGCCGAACCAGTCGCTTGCGACGAAGGGTCCAAGGAATAACATCGTGTAATAAAATCAAACCCGCAAAATTATAATTCGCGTAATTACTGGTGGTAGGACCTCTTGTGAGTCCGCACGGGTAGGTACCACCACCCTGCCTATTTCTGCCGTGAAGCAGTAATGCGTTTCAGTTTGAAGGGTGGGACAGCCATTGTAATTATACTAAGACCTTAGAACTTATATCTCAAGGTGGGTGGCGCATTTACGTTGTGGATGTCTATGGGCTTCTGCAACCATTTAACACCAGGTGAGCGATGAGCTCGTCCACCCATCTAAGCAATAAAAAAAAACAAATTTACCTCTACATTACTAAGTTCCACCATCGAAGACGGGAAATAATCAATCTTCTTGCCATTCAGTTTGTAAGCGACACCGACTTTTATTTCCTTCAGGGTATCCAAAATATCCAGTTTCGTTAGGCACAATCTGTAAACAATAAAAAGTACAATTAGCTAGGCTATTCTTAATATTATTGGGGGAATTCCCGGAAAGTATTTTGTATTCAAAAATATTGTTTCCTCTGGCCCTCCGGCTTTTGTAGTCAATTTAATTAGCTTACAAAGGTAAAGTTTAAGACAGTTCTGTTCTAGAATATTAATATTAAAATTCGGTCCATAGCTGTGATAGCTGATGCTAATAAATAGCTTGAAGAGAAGTTGAACATTTCGTCTTTTCGCATTAAAAGTGTACAATTTCTAAAATTATTCGAAATGTGAGTTAATATGCGGAATCATTTGGTATCATCAGTATTTTACTCATAAATACTATCAAAAGAGCGTAGTTTAGTTTTTTTTTTTTAGTATACCTATGTAACAAAATTAATACATCACTTTATCTTACTATAAAAGACAGATAATGTATAAAAAAATAAAAATAAAATTGTTGCAAGGATGATTAGTATTAAAAATATCACAAGTTTTAAAAACCTTTAAAACACTCTCCCGTAAGATTAGTAAGTTTTGAAATTATACAGTTTTAATGCGAGAAGACGAATTTTGTGTCTTGCGGCGGGTCTGTCCCCTTGTCTAGTCTAGTACCACTCATGGGATGTACTCACGACGTGTACCCGTTGACCATGGCGGTGTACCGGACGACGACCAGGTCGAGCCAGCCGCAGCGCCGGACGCGTCTGGTGGTGACGCCGACCTCGTGCCCTCGCTCCTGGAGTAGCTGACCAGTCTCCTGTGAACCATTCGTATAATCTACATTATTCATTTATTTATAACATGAAGTGTAAATAAATATAAACGAAAGGGGGTGTTTTTCAGATTTTTTTGGGGACAACCACAAAATAACTTTATTTATTTATCTACATCAGTGGACTAAGCATTCTCTACCAGTAAATCAAAGGTAATGAACAGAGTCAGATAATGGATGGTGCACTAAAATTAACACAAATAAATATACAAATTGCAATAACATATATAGTAGTTTATACAATAATCAAAGGAAGATTTTTTAAGAAGGTGGTGGTACCTACCCGTGCGGACTCCCAAGAGGTCCTACCACCAGTGATTACACAAATTATAATTTTGCGGGTTTGATTTTTATTACACGATGTTATTCCTTCACCGTGGAAGTCAATCGGAACATTTGTTGAGTACGCATTTCATTAGAAAAATTGGTACCCACCCGCCTGCGGGATTCGAACACCGGTGCATCGCTACATACGAATGCACCGGACGTCTTATCATTTAGGCCACGACCACTTCAAATATTAACACAATATTAATAAAACAATTTACATAGCCATTTAATGGTAATCGAACACGTCTGATTTGTGGAGTACATTCCAATCGTCGAGTACTAAGCTAAGTACAACTACAAATAAAAGCCACGCGCGTTCGTACTTTGCAACAAGTCAAGAACTAACTTGTCTTGAAAAGTGCCGGGAGGCCCCGCCCCCAAATCGTTTGAAATTAACCAGGTTGATCCGGGCGAATAGTGTTCGCGTATCGATTCCGCTCCTAGTGAGTGTTCGCGAGAACCTGGTGAGGTTTTTTGGCGGGAACGCTAGGAGTGAGGTTGTGTGATTTGTTTTATTTTGTATATTTAATGTTTTTTTCATATTGAAATGCGTAATAACGGTGGTTTATTAACTGTTTAATATCTGTGAAAGTGCACAAATGTGGGGAAATGAAACAAAGCCACTGAGCGTAACTTCTCGGGATCCTCCAAAAAGTCCACCGAACAAATCTCAGTAAATTACCATTTTACTAAAATCATCTCATCTCATTTCATTTAATTTCATCCCAATTGATTAATAGCTCAAATTAATCGTCTTCATTTCACTCCATGTTATCATTTTTCATAAAAAATAACATTATATAAATTAAAACAAGGCATGACTTAAAGGTCTTAGTTACCAAGTCACAAAATCCCCTAAAAAAAAAACCTGGTTGGGAATTAGGTATAATGAGCTGGTATTTTTCGAACCGTTCCCAAGCCCTGGTACTAACATCGTGCAGCTCCGTTGGGAAGGGTCCGTCGCCCACGCGCGTCGTGTACGCCTTCACGACACCCAGAACGTTCCCGATGACGTTGGGGGGTAGGCCGAGACCGGTCAACACGCCGCCTATGCTGCAATTCGATGACGTCACGTACGGGTAGGTACCTGAAATTAAAAAAAACAATTTATTTTTATTTTTTACTAGCTGACCCGGCAGACTTCGTAGTGCCTCAATCGATCAATAAAAGACCTAAAATTTTGTATAAAATAAACTTAAAACAAACAAAAGGAATCCGCTCGACGGGGACACATCAAAGGAAAAACAAAAATGTTATTTATTGTTTATTTAATTCCGAGTATTTTCATATTTATTTACCTTTTAAACCTTCTCTGGATTTCCACAAATAATTCAAGACCAAAATTAGCAAAATCCGTTCAGCCGTTCTCGAGTTTTAGCGAGACTAACGAACAGCAATTCATTTTTATATATATATAGAAGAAGAAGAAGATTGCATAGATGTGTGTACGAGCTCACAGCCCACCTGGTGTTCAGTGGTTACCAACAAAATTATTGCTGTGGTAAAATTGTGGAGACATCGATTGCATTTTCTTATCAGCTTTAAATAAATTAGTTTTTGTGATTTTGTAGTGCTTACAGTTCTTTCGTCCTTTTTTATTTCTCTATCGTATTCTAATAACTTTCAGTGCCTTTTTTAAAATTCACCCGGTTGCTACTGTAGCGCTACCCTTATTTAGAAGATTTTAACGGACACTTTTTCACACACAGAGACGGTTCTCCTTACCTCTACACTCCATAGCAGCGAAAGGCAGTTTTTTATTTATTTTTTATTGATAGCATGGGTGGACGAGCTCACAGCCTACCTGGTGTTCAGTGGTTACTGGAGCCCATAGACATCTACAACGTAAATGCGCCACCCACCTTGAGATGTAAGTTCTAAGGTCTCAGTATAGTTACAACGGCTTTTATTTTCTCTAGTTAGTTTTTTTAGTGCTAAAATCGGTGGAAGAGCACACTGTTCACCAAGTGCTAAGTGGTCACCGGAGACTATAGACAACAGCAACGTAAATTCCCCCACCTGTCTTGCAGTTCCAAGTCCCAGTTTTTTAGTACAACGGTTGTCTCATCCTTTAACCCGAAATCTTTCCTGCGCTTATGCAGTCCAGATAGACACCATAATTAAATATGGGTGAAATAGACAATATCATATTATATAATATCCAAAATTACGACTGAAATTCTAAAGTGTGATAACTATTATTTATAACAAATTAATTTCTAATTAGTTATCTATATATTTATATTAAAAATTACACAATTGAAGTATCATCGGCTTGAAAAATTTAGGATTATCTTAAACATATCGTCTTCTCGCATTAAAACTGTATAATCTCAAAACTAACTAATTTTACAGAAGTGTTTTACAGGTTTAACATGTGATATTTTTAATATCTATCTTTCCAGCATACATTTTTTATTTTTTACCAGTAACATTATCTGTCTTTTAAAGTAAGATAAAATTATATCTTAATTTTGTTAATAGTAGTCAAAATATAGTTAAACTAAAAAAAAAACTAAACTACGCTCTTTTGACAGTATTTATGAGAAAAATACTGGTGATACCAAATGATTCCGCATATTAACTCAATTTCGAATATTTTTGGAAATTGTACATTTTTAATGCGAAAAGACGATATTATAGCAAAAGTTTCCAGCAGAAACCAGTTTTAAATCGTCTAAAATTTCACTATCACGTAGCTGCATTATCTACAAGGCTCTAATACCCGAAGATCGATTAAAACTATTCAATCATTTTATTAATACCAGGTACATCTTTATCCGTAATAATTGGACGTTTACAAGTCTTCCTCGGGATTAAGATAAAGGTCTGATAATTTTTGATGTATACAAACTAATATTTTTGTTGTAGACGTGATTTATTAATCTATAATTTGTTTGAACACTACCAAAAATTTTAATTTAAATATTTATTTTAATCTAACTCAGGTGAGTATATTTTTACACATGATACTTAATACTTCTAATCAATAGTTGTACTACTAATGTGAAACCGGTTAAAGTCATTTCTGTTCGGATTGCAACGTTTCTATATTTTGGGTATTGCAAAACTGATACTGGTGGTAGGACCTCTTGTGAGTCCGCGCGGGTAGGTACCAACACCCTGCCTATTTCTGCCGTGAAGCAGTAATGCGTTTCGGTTTGAAGGGTAGGGCAGCCGTTGTAAGTATACTGAGATCTTAGAACTTATATCTCAAGGTGGGTGGCGCATTTACGTTGTAGATGTCTATGGGCTCCAGTAGCCACTTAACACCAGGTGGGCTGTGAGCTCGCCCATTCATCTAAGCAATAAAAAAAAAGAAATAAAATCTCTATATATAAAAATGAATTGCTGTTCGTTAGTCTCGCTAAAACTCGAGAGCGGCTGGACCGATTTGGCTAATTTTGGTCTTGAATTATTTGTGGAAGTTTGAATAAAATCTGGCCGTTTAAAGTGGGTCAAAATCGCGTCTAAAGGAGTCAGTTACAAACATACAAACATACATACATACATACAAGTGAAGCTAATATAAAGCGTGTAAAAAACTTTTTTATTTATTGCTTAGATGTGTGTGGACGAGCTCACAGCGCATCTGGTGTTCAGTGGTTACTGGAGCCCACAGACATCTACAACGTAAATGCCCCACACACCTTGAGATGTAAGTTCTAAGGTCTCAGTATAGTTACAACGGCTTTTATTTTTCCTAGTTAGTTTTTTTTAGTGCTAAAATCGGTGGAAGAGCACACTGCTCACCAAGTGCTAAGTGGTCACCGGAGACTATAGACAACAGCAACGTAAATTCCCCCACCTGTCTTGCAGTTCCAAGTCCCAGTTTTTTAGTACAACGGTTGTCTCATCCTTTAAGCCGAAATCTTACCTGCACTTATGCAGTCCAGATAGACACCATAATGAAATATGGGTGAAATAGACAATATCATAATATACAATATCCACAGTGATGACTAAAATTCTAAAGTGTGATGACAATTATTTATGACCAATAAATTTCTAATTAGTTATCTATATATTTATATTCAAAATTACACAACTGAACTATCATCGGCTTGAAAAATTTAGGATTATCTTATCGTCATATCGTCACATATCGTCTTCTCGCATTAAAACTGTATAATCTCAAAACTAAATAATTTTACAGGAGAGTGTTTTAAAGGTTTAACATGTGATATTTTTAATATTAATCATCTTTCCAGCATATATTTTTAATTTTTTACCAGTTACATTATCTGTCTTTTAAAGTAAGATAAAATTATATCTTAAATTTTTTTTATAGCTCTTGTAGGTAGACGAGCATACGGCCCACCTGATGGTGAGTGGTTACCGTCGCCCATGGTCTTCAGCAATGCCAGGGGCAGTGCCAAGCCGCTGCCTACCGAAATTTTGTTAATAGTAGTCAAAATATAGGTAAACTAAAAAAAAATTAAAACTAAACTACGCTCTTTTGACAGTATTTATGAGAAAAATACTGGTGATACCAAATGATTCCACATATTAACTCAATTTCTAATATTTTTGGAAATTGTACACTTTTAATGCGATAAGACGTTATATGGCAGAAGTTACCCGCAGAAACCAGTTTTAAATTGTCTAAAATACTCAGTACTGTCACTTATCAATTCAAAGATTCACTATCACGTAGCTGCATTATCTACAAGGCTCTAATACCCGAAGATCGATTGAAACTATTCAATCATTTTATTAATACCAGGTACATCTTTATCCGTAATAATTGGACGTTTACAAGTCTTCCTCGGGATTAAGATAAAGGTATGATAATTTTTGATGTATACAAACTAACATTTTTATTGTAGACGTGATTTATTTATCTATAATTTGTTTGTACACTACAAAACATTTTAATTTAAATACATATTTATTTTAATCAAACTCAGGTGAGTATATTTTTACACATGATACTTAATACTTCTTAATACTTTGCGTATTGCAAAAGTGAAATAAAATAAAAAAATAAATACGTAATTTATCTTCTTGATCGTGATCGTGATCTCGTGATCGGGGGCATATACCTATCCTCTACCGTCTGCTTAAGAAACCTGCTTAAGATACTGGTTCTTGAGCAAATATATTTTTCAGTTTATTTCAGCAAATTGCTTTGTGTCCCAGAACTTAAATTTGAACTGTGAATGCACGATGGCAGTATCAATCCAGCTATACAATTTCTTTTTAATTGTATTTTATAACGCAAAGTACAACATAAAACCAGTCATTACGGTTCCTCCCATTCCCATCCATTAACGGTGCTTTAGGTATCTCAAGCATCGGTCGCCGTCCTCGCCGAACCTGTCGCTGGCGACGAAGGGCTCGACGAGTAAATTAACCCACAGACCCAGCCCACTGAGTTTCTTGCCGGATCTTCTAAGTGGTAGACTCTGCGAAGCACTGCTCTTGTTAGGGCCAGTGTTAGCAACACCTCCGGTTTGAGCCACGAGAGCTCACCTACATGTTAGGGCAACGCTGATATAGCCTCTCAAGGCTATCAGCATAGGTACGAGAAAAAAAAACGACATAAAAATCGAAACGCTTTAGAGCCTCTGACAATTATATTTTTTTAAGGGATTTTCTGACCAGGTAACTAAGACCTTTAAGTCATGTCTTATTTTAATTTTTATTATTTTTATGAAAAATGATAATATAGAGTAAAATGAAATGAAGATGATTAATTTGAGACATTAATCAATTGGGATGAAATTAATTGAAATGAGATGATATGGGATGAAATATAATCTCAGTAAAATGGTAGTCATTTACTGAGATTTTTTCAGTGGACTTTTTGGAGGATCCCGAGAAGTTACGTCCAGCGGTTTTGTTTCATTTTCCCACAATTGTGCACTTTCGCAGATATTAAACAGTTAATAAACCAGCGTTATTAAGCATTTAAACCTGAAGAAACACTAAATAGACAAAACAAAACAAATCACACAACTTCACTCCTCGCGTTCCCGCCAAAAAGTCCTTACAATTATGTGCAAAAAAAACCTCCTACCCTCATCCACTTACATCTGCACCTACCCCTGGAAGGGATCCCCAGATTTGTGAACATCAAATCTAAGTAAACGCATATACCGAAAGCGTCACTATTATACACGATCCAGCACTGATTTTTGGTGCTGGGAACGAAAACTTGATCCGAATATCCAATTATTTTCACACATCGCGCGTTAATATTTACGTTTAATGTTAACATGTAAACAGAGATATTTTCTTGGGCATCACTGAATGCGTTGAGATTTCATTTGAGGATTACGCGGAGGCATCTTTAGCCAGAGGTAACGCCCGCGTGCAATCGTTACCCTAGCGCCCAAATGTAACAAGTTCATTGAGCACCCAAACCTAACGATAGGCGTCTCACCCATTGAGTTACACGTCATATCGGATCCTCCCGATCCACTAACGATGCTTCTAGTTACCTCAAGCACCGGTCATCGTTCTCGTCGAACCCGTCGCTTGCGACGAAGGGCTCGACGAGTAAATTAACCCATAGACACAGCCCACTGAGTTTCTCGCCGGATCTTCTCAGTGAGTCGCGATACCTATCCGGTAGCAGATTCAGCGAAGCACTGCTCTTGTTAGGGCCAGTATTAACAATTCTCTTAGGTTATGCCCGTGAGCTCATCTACCGACAAAAAAAAAGAGGTATGCATACCGAAATCTATATCCAGCATGGCAGCATTCGCTCCCTCGACTAGCACCTTCCTCCCGGAGCCTATCTCCCTGTGCAGGTACGAGACCGTATCCTTGACCATCGGCCGGACCAGATCGGCGTACGCTCGGTACTTCGATAGCTCGCTATCGATGTTCAACTCCAATGCCGGGAACATGCGTTTGTACGAGGCCACAAGGGTCCGGTATCTGAAAATAACATACAATCAAGATGCTGTGACAACGTGTGTGTGTCAAGATTGACGTGACAACGTCTTATAATTCGATGGAGCCGGCTGCACGCACGAAAAAACATAACTCATGAGGCGTTCCATTTAAGGCTTGAAGTGCAAGCGAGAGCGCGCAACGAGCGGCACAAGCGAGAGGCACAATCGGCCTCCGCGTTCGACATCTGTCTCTCTTCTACTTGAGTGAGCGATGCATCCGCGTGGACAGCTGCTATACAATAATACATTTACATGTTTTCGTCAAGTATGAAGTTCAGTGAAAGCTGAATGTGGTGTCAATTGTTTATAGCAACGATAATTGAAAAATGAAACCATTCCATCAGTATTTTCTTATGTCACATTGTCACGTTCAACGATCGTCAGTAAACCGACTTTACAGACAACCGATTTTTTTTATTTTATTGCTTAGATGGGAGGACGAGCTCACTGTCTGGTGTAAAGTGGTTACTGGAGCCCATAGACATATATAACGTAAATGAGCCACCCACATTGAGATATAAGTTCTAAGGTCTCAAGTATAGTTACAAACGTTGAAAACGGTAGTGATATTAAAACGAAATGACATTTTCATTTGGTCAGCGTCAGGGCGTTTTACCAAAATTTCAACGAATAGTATAATCGTCCGCGACACAATGTCAAATTTGCAAATACAAACTCCGGTAATAATATAACGACTATTAAACAACAGTAAAGAAAACCGAGATAAACTACTACGACTCTCGCCATAAACCGACTTTAGTCATAAGTTCGATATGAGAAGGTCTCAAGTATAGCTACAACGGCTGCCCCACCCTTCAAGCCGAAACGCATTGCTGCTTCACGGCAGAAATAGGCAGGGCGGTGGTGTACCTACCCGCGCGGACTCTCAAGAGGTCCTACCACCAGTAAGAAATTCACTTACTTGTCTTCGAACAGACTGAAGTCTCCGAGCAGATCGCCGATTCTAATGCCGTTTCTGGTTGCCTTCGCGGAGTAGGCCGGCCCGATGCCCTTTTTCGTGGTGCCGAGCGAGTTCTTACCCTTCTCCGCTTCCTGGAGACCGTCGACCTGGAATCAAAGGACATGCGAACTAATCAAATCCGCGATAACGTTCTTCGCATTTGACAAGAAGAAAACAAGGAATGCTGTGCTTTATTGTCGTAGAGGCAGAAGAGTTTAAAGACTTTTTTTATTGCTTAAATGGGTGGACGAGCTCACAGCCCACTTGGTGTTAAGTGCTTACTGAAGCCCATAAACATCTACAACGTAAATGCGCCACCCACCTTGAGATATAAGTTCCAAGGTCTCAAGTATAGTTATAACGGCTGCCCCCACCCTTCAAACCGAAACGCATTACTGCTTCACGGCAGAAATGGGCAGGGCGGTAGTACCTAACCGCACGGACTCACAGAGGTTTTGGCACCACCCATCTAAGCAATAAAAAAAAGGCTTCCCAAGAAAGCCTATACTAGAGTATAGCCTATACTATAGTATAGATACTCGCAATCCGACAAAATTGAGGATTCGTTTTTAGATGCAGTGAGCCGTGTGTGTGCAAACAAGGTAGAACTGAAACCTTAAAGTAACATCATCTCATTTACTCGCAGGCTAAATCCTATAGATGGATATGCGTTTCTCTTTTTACTGTCGCTTTTGCGTTTCAAATGACAAAGTTCTTACTTCAAAAAAGCTCACTCATAAACACGCATCGCCCATGTGTAAATGATAAAATATTATTGTTCAAATTTAAACTATAAAACACAATTTCAAATCGATATTTATAATACGTGTACAATGTATGTACATTAATTACGATGCCGTAAATAATATTTGCTTTGACTATATCAAAGCGCGTATGAGATCTTTATGCATTAGGGACATCATAAATCTGTATTGTTCGGTGTTATATTTTTATTACGTATAATGTGTGGAGTAATTTAAACAATAATTTTAGAGTAGATTTTTATCAAACAGCCCAATATCGTATTCTACTGATGTTGGTTTATGCTCCATTAAAGGTTTTGCGTTCGTAATTTCTGCGTATTATTATGTTTATTATATTTATTTTTATTGCTTAGATGGGTGGACGAGCTCATAGCCAACCTAGTGTTAAGGTGTATTATATTTATTACAAACGAATGTAATCTAATTGACCGTTCGCAGCGATAGCTTCGCGTAGTAACACATTCAACGAAGCAGAGATTTAATTTCACGAAGGAAGGGGTCACTGACAACTAGAGCGACAAGTAGAACCCTATCATTTAGTAAAATTCATTATAGTGTTTTAAAGACTGCAAGTGCTTAATTGATTTGGGTTCGGGAGGAAATCGCCAGACTTCCACGCTTTGAGGGTGCATATCAACCTGCATCCCAGCCTCAAGCGAGGCTGAATATTTCGTGCGGACCATTAGGAGTCGGTTTAACAATAGACAAGATAGACAATAAACAAATAGTATGCCTGCGTGTGTGTCAAATATATGGTAGGGTGCGTAATGCTTTTTTTATTGATTTAATGTATTTTTTATGCATAATTTTTAAAAAAAATTAACATTCTGCACTCCTACTCTATATTCTCTATAAGTGTGAGAAATTTCACGCTCCTACGTCCGCGCAATTTTCGTAAAAAGGGGTGTAAAGTTTTTGCTTCATGTATTAATATTTTTTTATTAATTATTAGTAGTATTATTTCTTTATATTTGAATCCATTACCTTCAATGTTGACACTTCAAGCGCATCTCATGAGATGCGTCAAAAACCAATAAAAAAAGGTTGGGTACCTCTGTTTACTAAACATTGCATTGTATAACTTTCAATTTCCAGTAGAAAATATTATGTAATTACAAGAATCATGCACAATGAATTATTATAACGGACGTGACATTTCCGCCCATTGCACACACACACATACGCGTCCTATCTCTCTTTGTCTTATCTCTACTATTACTAGATAACACTTACATAACAATGTTATACATAACAAAAGTTATTTTCGGGGGAATCCCATTTTTGTGCAACAGAATGTATTTATGTACATACATATTATTATAACATACGAACCTAACAGTCATCTAGATGGATCTACGTTCCATAACAAACCGTCGAGATATTTAAAAATCTCGATGTTGCCACAAAAGAAAACTTTCTACCTAATAATAAATCGAAATTAACCTTTTTGTTTTATTTTTGCTGGAGTCTAGTAAAACCATGGATGGATGGATGGATGATGAAAGTAATAATGGCATCGTACTCTACAAACTACCACTGTTCGTAACAACAAGAGATAGGTCGATTGCATTAATAATGCCTATTTCTCTATATACCTACCTACCACTACCACCAATTAATACTAAAAATTATAATTCAATTAACTGCCAAGCATACATTACGTATGTACTTGTATACGCAATACTAAGTACAGTTTTCGATATTTTTTATTTATTCCTTAGATGGGTGGACGGACCCACCTGGTGATAAATGATTACCAGACCCATAGACATCAATAACACATGGTCCCAAGCCTCAGTTTTATACTACAACGGCTGCCCTACCCTTCAAATAGAAACGCATTACCCCTTCACGGCAGAAATAGGCGGAGTGGTGGTACCTACCCGTGCAGCTCACAACACTCGCTTCCACCAATAAATCCACGTATATACGAAATTAACACCTCCACTTAAACGACTAACGCCAGCCAAGTTACCTGTTAATGTGATTAGAACTACTTTGCCAGTTTATCTCATGTTTTTTTTTAACATCATTTTATTTCCGACGTTTGGTATATTTTACAGTTTTCGTAGTCGCGAACGACGTGACGAAAGATTAGCTTAATTACCTCTAATTTCTATATATAAATAAGTATATACAGCCGGCATTAGTGCGCCATTTTGAAAAAGCGGCACGATACGAGCCGTTGCCGCCATTCGGAAATGTAGATACCGGCTGCGAGTTGACGTCACCCCAAACAGGACAGTTCGGATCCCTTCGATCCAAAGGGTGTATCAAGTACCAGTCACCGTTCTCGTCGAACCCGTCAATTGCGATAAAAGGCTCGGCGAGTAAATGAACCCACAGATACAGCCCACTGAGTTTCTCGCCGGATCTTCTCAGTGGGTCGCGTTTCCGATCCGGTGGTAGATTCTGCGAAGCACTGCTCTTGCTAGGGTTAGTGTTAGTAACGTCGTCAGGTTTGAGCCCCATGAGCGGACCTACTTATTAGGTTACGCTGACATAGCCTCTCAAGGCTCAAGGCAAGGTTAGCTGAGTTAGGAAAAAAAATCACGAAATTCGAAAAAAACACTATACCTGTTGATGTATATCGAAAACAAGATGAGCCCTGTCCGAGATCACGAGTCTGCCTTCGCAACCCTTCATGCCTTTCAACTCGTTCTTCTTCAGCTCCTCAAACAGTCCGGGCAGGTGGATCACCACGCCATTACCTAAGGGAAGTAGTGATCTTATTATTCTCTCTCTCTCTCTCTAGGACGTCTTGTGAATCCGCACGGCTAGGCACCACCACCCCGCCTTTTTCTGCCATGAAGCTGTAATGCGTTTCGGTTTGAAAGGCGAGGCAGCCGTTGTTACTATACTGAGACCTTAGAACTTATATCTCAAAGATGGTTGGCGGCATTACGTTGTAGATGTCTATGGGCTTCAGTATCCACTTAACACAAGGCTGTGAGCTCGTCCACCCATCTAAGCAATAAAAAAAAAACATTACAATTCGTTGTGTCCAAAGACAACTTACTTTCCTCACCCCTGATCAAAAGCTATGTTTACCTACCGCCGATTACTTACAAGCGCGTCAAAAATGTGTAGTTGATGATTTATAGATTTAAACGTTTGTTTTTAATGAAACAATCTAAATCACAGCAGTGTTGAGTAACTTACATAGCGGTGGATATCTATATATATAAATGAACTAGCGGCCCGCCCCAGCTTCGCATGGGTGGGTAGTAGCGCACGCGATGTAAAAAAAAATATGTACACGTTGGGTTACATTATTGGAGTTTCAGTAAGGATCCGTAATTTTTTTGAAAATATAATAAATATAGCCTATGACACCCAGGGATAGCGTAGCTTTCCAACAGTGAAAGAATTTTTCAAATCGGTTCAGTAGTTTCGGAGCCTATTTAATACAAACAAACAAACAAATCTTTCCTCTTTATAATATTAGTTTAAATTGCTGTTCGTTAGTCTCGCGAAAACTCGAGAACGGCTGGACCGATTTGGTTAATTTTGGTCTTGAATTATTATATTTGTGGAAGTCCAGAGAAGGTTTAAAAGGAAACGAACACAAACAAAAAACGGCTCTAACTTTGAATAATTTTGACATAGCCCGATCAATAAAGTTTATGGTTCAAATGAATTAACAAAACAATATTTACCCCGTCTTCAAAAAAATTTATGATAATCTCTAATGGCAAGACAAACAAGGTAATGAAACATTTTGTACCGCTCGGTGCGACGCGGCGACGTCACAGCGCTACCATGGCGAAGTTTAATGTTTATTTCGCATTTAAAACGCTCCATTGCGTTCCAAGGTTACGCTAATTTACTATGCACGATATGAATTAAATTTCGCTACGTTAATGTTCACAATGGTTTCTTTTTTTTTTGTTCAGGAGCACAGCTCCGAGTGTCACCGGTTTTTTTTCCTACCTATTCTAGTAACCTCAAGGGGTTATACTTTTTTTTTCCACAGGAGAAAATCACCGGATCCCCACCCGCGCGGCAGGTGGGGTATGAGGGAGTTGAACTTCACCAAAAACTCCTGCCGCTCACAATCGGCGCTCTACCTCGGACCGGGTCGGAGCCCAGTCGGGGCTATTGAGACGGCGGGACAGGGTTGGAGGTGTTATATTAGATTCTCCAAGCGATTAGGTAAGCTCACGGGGCTCTAACTCGAGGACGTTGCTAACACTAGTCCTAGCAAGAGCAGTGCTTTGCAAAATCTACCACCGGATCGGAAACCAGTGAAGATCCGGCGAGAAACTCAGTGGGAATGTCACTGGTGGTACCGGCTTTTCGTTTTCAAATAAATATTTCAAACCTTTTAGAACAAATTGTGGTCTCTTGACAGTTTGCCTATTTCTGCCGCGATGCTGTGATGCGTTCCATTTTGATAGGTGTGTGTCAGTCGTTATGCAAAGCAGTTGAAACTCCGACCTTACGTCACAAGGTTGGTGATGACATTCAGGTTTTTTTTTTTGATTCGAGGGATTACTCGTGGTCCGGAGGCCTTTCGGTTCACTAGGACAGATGGGTAAGCAAAAGCTCAGCCAGGAGAGTGACGCATATACACTATGGTAATCACCAGGCGGGTCGTGAATTGGTTTACGCTCTTAGTATTGCGGTTGCCTATAGACATCACTGACCACTATCCATCAAGAGGACCGCATCCCTGTCTGCCTACGGAGGTCATAAATGGATTTCCGAATTGGCCACCTAAGCCGATAAGTCGAGTCGGACAGAGCGCATCTGCAAATTCGAGTTAATAAAAAAAAAATCGCTTATGACTCGGCTACTAATAACGTAAGCGAACAGATCACGTTGCATGACGAAATATTTCCATGTGATTCTGAACTAGACAATGATATTATTATACTTTGTAGAAGCGGAAGTTTGTTTAGGTTTTAAGCGTTTACAATTGACTGGCAGCTGATAAGGTAATTGAGATTCAGCGGAATAGGCTTGTTACTAAATTTTTTTTAATTGCCAACTCATTAGACCCACGTTTGGTTCGCGGACTGGATCAATCGTTTCTAAAACAACTTAACGACACTGGGGCGATTGTTTAAAGTCACCCACCAATCAGAATGCTCCCTTTATCATTAGATTCCGACAACAGAGCAGTTTTGTTTATAAAAAATAATCAGCCGCTGCATATATGTAGTGTGACGTCATTATATATGTACATTAATCTGCATTCGTGTGTTCCAAGTCTGTTCGATGGATACGATTAACGGTCTCCTAACATAGTTATCATCAGTTGGGCCATGACCTCATATCAGGAAACGTACTCCAATAAAAGTTTCATGTTCATGTTAAATAAACAAAAAAAGATTACAGAACGCCTTTAAGCCTATACCTAGAAACAGTGCGGAAACATAACGGTTATTTGAAAATCGACGATCACTATGCCAAGTATGCTAAGTAAAGTAAAATTAATTGACATTTCTCAAAAATAATAGTTTAAAGAAACTAACAAAATAGAAAATTAATTTTAATAAATTTGAACTGGACGATAATTTTTGTTGTTGTTGATAAATTGTGTTTTTTAGAAATTATATTTAAATACGAATTACATATCGATAAAATGATGAAATATTCCAAGATCATTTAGGCATTTTTAAGTGAGCACGTTAGTTAAACAGACAAAAATAATATAAATAAACAATTCATTTTTTTTGTCTAACCTTAAACCAAACACTCATTGGCTTCGGGTGGCTTAACAACGCCATTTGCTGAAATAGCTTAAGTGTTATTGTGTCTTTAAAGCAGTTAGTTTCTCTATAGTATTATTATTCGCCAATAGATGTAGGGAAGAGTCATAAAGTTGATTATCGATAAAGTTGATTATTGAAAACACGAATAAAACAACATTTTCTGAAAATAAATCGTAGCTAGATCGATTTATCGCCCTCGAAATCCCCTGTATACTAAATTTTATAAAAATCGTTGGAGCCGTTTCCGAGATTCAGATTATATATATATAGTATATACAAGAATTTCTCGTTTAAAGGTATAAGATTAAAAATAGTGTAAAATAAATTATTTAATTATAAAAAAAAAAAAACTATTTTTGTGTTCGATTTTCTATAACAGCGTCTTTGTTAGTTTTTTTAAACTATTATTTATTTTTCATTTTTTAGTTGAATTTCAATTTTTTCAAATATTTTTTTAATTTTTTTTTTTGATATTGAATTGTCATCGATCCTTAATAAGTATACCAAATTTCGAGTTAATCCGATGTTTTGAAGGGGGTCAAAATCATGTTCAAAGATTCCGTTACAAACATACTGATGCTAATAAAAGCGTATTAAAAATAGGTACTGAATTATCGTTCTTTACTAAATTAAAACAGTAATTCAGTATTTTTGAAAAATGTCAATTAGTAAAATATTTTGTATCTCAGGAATGTGGACAAGATAGGATCATAATAACAAATTACATTATTATTTTTGCAACGTTTCGGTCTTTTATTAGACCTTCATCAAGCATCTGAAAATTACACATATTGATAACCAACAATATAATTTTAATAACAATGTAATTTTCAGATAATTTTTTTTATTGCCTTTGTAGGCAGACGAGCATACCCCACCTGATGGTGAGTGGTTACCGTCGCCCATGGACTTCAGTAATGCCAGCCGATGCTAGATGCCTGATGAAGGTCTAATAAAAGACCGAAACGTTGCAAAAATAATAATGTAATTTGTTATTATGATCCTATCTTGTCCACATTCCTGAGATACAAAATATTTTATTAATAATTATGGACGATAATATTGATAATAGTAATGTCAATTAGTTTTACTTTACTTTAGTTGTTCATATAAATTCTGCAACTGTCCCAAAAGAAATCACAGCGAATGACGTCATTCGTAGGTGCATATTTCGCTTATACGCCTATTTTTGACGTCAGTACTTAGATTACGTTTACGCGGCTATTCGGAACCGGTATTAAAATTGAAACATTATTTTCCATAAAAATTCATATTTTTATAAAATGACTTATTGTTTACGACTAATTACTTTTTGGCGAGAATTCTATGCGTGATGTTATGCGACTATTATATTTTGTCAATTTGGTATTTCCTCTAGTTTAAACTTTTAATAGAAACATACAATTGTGGCTTATTAACAGTTTAGTTATATGTAACTAAGTAAGAAAAGTGTAACAAAATCTCTGGACATTATTCCTAGAGTTCATCCAAACTCCAATATAAAATCCCCACCATTTTATCGAAAGTTCATTTCATTTCATTTAATTACATTAATCGCCTAAAAGTTATCAAAAGAGTCAGCTTTTAATGTCTTACCGGTACACTAGGACCAAAAAGAAGGTAAGATTTTTTAGTCGCACCGGCAGATCACTTTACACCGAATATAAAACTAGATTTACAAGAACACTGATTAAATACTATTCCAGAAATTAGGTAATCTCGATTATATTGTTACAAGTATACTTTTTTTTTTATTGCTTAGATGGGTGGACGAGCTCACAGCCCACCTGGTGTTAAGTGGTTACTGGAGCCCATAGACATCTAGAACGTAAATGCGCCACCCACCTTGAGATATAAGTTCTAAGGTCTCAAGTATAGTTACAACGGCTGCCCCACCCTTCAAACCGAAACGCATTACTGCTTCACGGCAGAAATAGGCAGGGTGGTGGTACCCACCCGCGCGGACTCACAAGAGGTCCTACCAGCAGTAATTACGCAAATTATAATTTTGCGGGTTCGATTTTTATTACAAGATGTTATTCCTTCACCGTGGAAGTCAATCGTGAACATTTGTTGAGTACGTATTTAATTAGAAAAATTGGTACCCGCCTGTGGAATTCGAACACCGGTGCATCGCTTCAACACGAATGCACCGGACGTCTTATCCTTTAGGCCACGACGACTTCACGACTACTCTTTAAGCCCGAAAAAATTGTATAGTACAAAGTATTCGTACATTGAAATTATTGTTATTAACTCTACGTTTCGTACAACAAAACCCACATTAAGTTACGTAAGCTTTTGGCAGAAACTCAAGGATAAACCGTTAACGTTATCGGTCAGAAACAATTCGCGTTTACGTAAATTATTATCAAATTTCTTTCGTTTTAGAAAACATTTCGTTATAAACACAGTCTGTAACAAAATGCATGTGACTATAGAGAGATGTATGGAAATGGTAGTGCAAGGTAGAGGGGGAAGAGGTCGACCGAAGAAGACATTAATGGAGTGTGTGAATGACGATTTTTTTTATTGTCCTTGAGCACACGGCTCACGTGATGGTGAGTGGTTACCGTCGCCCCTGGACTTCAACAATGCCAGGGGCAAAGCCAAGCCGCTGCCTACCACTTAATACTCTCCACAAGCCTCGTTTGAAGAACGACATGTCATAACGCTCGGGAAACACCGTGGAGGGGTGCTCATTCCATAGCCGGATCTCTGGAAACGTACTGTGGATGACCGCAGTGGCAGTATGATAATAGGATGAACTCTATTCTGGTGGCGGGCGGTGCGATGGTAAAAACGAGATGACGGTATCATCTCGAACAATTCCTCAGAGCACTCCCCATGGAACATATGGTACAAAACACAGAGGGAACCGAAGTCCTTCCGCAGACCCAGAGGTTCCAAACGATCCGTGAGAATGGGATTATCGACAATCCGAACGGCCCTCTTCTGTATATAGTCAAATGGATAAAGCTGGTATTTGGGAGCCCCGGCCCAGAGATGAGAGCAGTACTCCACGCTCGATATGAGAGAGAGAGGAGCGAGTGTTGAAATGACGGCTGATAGAAGAGAATGGAAGAGAAAAATTTGCTCTGCCGACCCCACCAACTGGGATAAGGTGGAGAAAAGGAAGAAAACAGTCTGTAACAAAAATTCTGCTGCTCTGTAATCGGAGGGTTTACCGAAATTCGCAGACGTAACTACGTCGAAAACATCCTCTTCGTTCCAATGTTGTTTATTCCGATAAAATATATCTTTATTTTAAAATGCCAATTTCCTCAAAGAAACACGTTTTTTTATAATAATTAATTTTATCAATTTATAACGATGGTTAATTCTTGTTCATTGTTCNTGTAACAAATATTCTGCTGCTCTGTAATCGGAGGGTTTACCGAAATTCGCAGACGTAACTACGTCGAAAACATCCTCTTCGTTCCAATGTTGTTTATTCCGATAAAATATATCTTTATTTTAAAATGCCAATTTCCTCAAAGAAACACGTTTTTTTATAATAATTAATTTTATCAATTTATAACGATGGTTAATTCTTGTTCATTGTTCATTACAGTCTCATAAATAAAACAACAATTATATAGATTAACAAGTTTTTTAAAACAAATATGGATTACGGTAAATATCTATAATATAATATATATAAATATGGTAATATAATCTATAGCTATTCTTATTCGCCATGTTGGCATTATCGATCATTGAATTATATACATTGGTTTGACCACGACGATTTAAAAAATAGAATAATTACTTTGTGTCATGATAATAGCGGAGATTATGAAATAACAAAGATTTTGTTTTCGTATGTAAGACTACTTCACATTGCAATTCAATTTCAATTTATACTAGTGTTTGCTTAGTAATCGAACAACTAATCATATCGCGTTATTAATTTTCTCTAGTATTGTGTAATTCTCATTCTGAAGAAAAACAAAACTGACAGCTGTCATTTATTTTTATTCATAACACGTTTAAAGCACAATATTACTCGTAGCTATTATACAAAAAAATATCGGTTGACAAGCAGCAGTGAGAATGTTGTAACTCCCTATTTATATTATTCAGATTTATATGCGATCAATTTAGAATGGTGGCGATTAAGAAATACAAACTTATATTTTTTTAATGAATAATGAAGTTTGAAAATTATTATCGTTCTATTGTCAAAGACTATAACTTCTATAATCACAGAATATCCCCAGGGCTACACTATAGACTAATAATATTAAAGACAAACAAAATTAATCTATTCACAATTTGACCACAGACTTTAGCAATAAACAAGAGAATATAATTATATGCTTGTGTGTTTGTGTCAAATACAAGGTAGTGTGTTTTTTTTTAATTGATTTAATGTATTTTTATGCATAATTTAAAAAAAAATAGCATTCTGCACTTCTTCTCTATATTCTCTTATAAGTGTGGGAAATTTTCGACTCATCCGTCTGCGCAAATTTTCGTAAAAAGGGGTAAGTACAAAGTTTTTGATTCACGTATTCATATTAATTATATATTAACAATAACTTTCTTTAACAATCCATCAAAAAAACTTAAATCTTAAATTGAGATCCCAAGAAAAAGGAAATATAAACAAACTTTAATAGACGCGGGCGTTTAAAAAATATTTTTATAATAAACAATTCCGACCATTTCATTATGATGTCAAATACTATATAATATAATAGGCGGCTCGTTTTTAATTCGATTTTTCACTACTAATCAAACATTACAAACATAACAGTATGAAATTACAGGACTAAGGGAATACCACAATTATCAGTTTGAGATAATTACGTATAATTATTTTAAAAATGAGTATTTTATTGATAATCGCATCGTATAATAATTAATTAAAAATATAATTTTAACAACGCAGTAATTAAGATTTACGTAATTTATCTTTGAAATAATCAGCAGAACAAGGACATTTAATGTTAGATAAATTAGGTAAATTATAAAAAATCAGCAGAGTCACGAGGTAAACACTTAAACTAGCTGAGCTGTGAGCTCGTTAACTCTTCTACATCAATAAAAAAAATTTGGAGCAAACATTTTTTTTTTCAAAAACATTCATCTCATTTTAAACATAATTACTCATTTAATAATCTGTTTTAGTAAGTTACTTGATTTCTTTATCAATTGTATATTAAATAGAGGTGGTCCCATTTTCCAAACGCCGGACCGCTTTTAACAGAACTGTCCATGCGGGCCCAAAATATTACCTAGCCCTATCAGAATTGTTGGAAGTATATAAATTTGTAGACAGCGACTTGGCTGTGGCCCTGGCATTGATGACGTTCATGAGCGTCGGTAACCACTTACCATCAAATGGACCGTATGCTCGCCTGCCTACAAAGGCAATAAACAAAACGGGTTCCAGTATTAAATTTTTTTCTTCATTTTTCGCAATGGTACACATTATTATAACATTTTCATGGTGTATTAGAGGTCAAGTTAAACTGTGAAAGTGCTTTTAATCAATTACGTAGAAAAGGGCGTTTAAAATTTTCTTGTAAATCTATTATTATAATCGATAGTTTATTTCGTAACACAGGTGACTGATTGTGTTGAATGTTAGCGCATTGCTAGATTATCTTGATAAAAGTAATTAAAAAGCAACATGAACACAAAGGAACAAGCCTGTTCCGGAAACTACACAACGCTGCTGCTGCGTGTGACGTCATTTGGGGCCAAAATTAACAACGACTTAATAAACTAAACAATGGTATACATTTATTAACTAATCGCCACAGATGACATCATGCATTGTGAATGGTATATTAGTTAATGAATAGATTTCATTTAGAGACGTCGAATACAAAGCGTTAAATATTTTTCATGTAAATAGCAATAGAACATTTTTTTTTATTTAATTACTAGCTGACCCGGCAGACAGACAGAGTAGTGCCTCAATCGATAAATAAAAGACCTAAACTTTTGTATAAAATAAACTTAAAACAAACAAAAGGAATTCGTCCGACGCCGGGGTATTTTTATTTAATTCCGAGCATTTTCATATTTATCTACCTTTTAAACCTTCTCTGGACTTCCACAAATAATTCAAGACCAAAATTTGCCAAATCCGTTCAGCCGTTCTCGAGTTTTAGCGAGACTAACAAACAGCAATTCATTTTTATATATTTTTTTTTTATTGCTTAGATGGGTGGACGAGCTCACAGCCCACCTGGTGTCAAGTGGTTACTGGAGCCCATAGACATCCACAACGTAAATGCGCCACCCACCTTGAGATATAAGTTCTAAGGTCTCAAGTATAGTTACAACGGTTATATATATAGAGATTAGCTTCTCTATCTGGTTACTTGATTATACTACAAACAAAATAAACTAATCACTTATTCAGACGGAAACTGAGCGGAATTATAAAAAAAAACAGATTTAACAACATTAAACCTTACCTATGACAGACGTGCACTTCTGGTTGATGATGCCACTTGGCAACAGATGGAAGTCAAATTCTTTGCCGTCAACTACCACTGTGTGTCCAGCGTTGTTCCCGCCCTGTAGATAAGAAGTAAAAATCACTACATAGTATAAAACAAAGTCGCTTTCTCTGTCCCTATATCCCTATGTATGCTTAAATCTTTAAAACTACGCAACGGATTTTGATGCGGTTTTTTTAAATAGATACGAGTGATTGAAGAGGAAGGTTTATATGTATAATAACATCCATTAAATAGTGGAGAAATCAATAATAAATTACAGTTTCCGAAGAGAAGCGAAGGCGGGTCGCTAGTTAACTATAAGAATCAAAGTATAAGAGAATAGATGTATAATTATATTGGGATTTTAAACATGGTTCTATTAGCTTGGTACGTAATGTTTGTTTTGTATGTAATGGAATATTTCAACGTAATTTTTACCTACTTCAAAATTAAATCGTCCGATCGACCTGAAAATTTGCAGACGCATCAAAGAAAGATCAAAATTCAATTTGTTCAACTATCCTAGCCCGTATCAACAGCATAAAAAAGGTAGGTTTTTATATTTATAATTAATTTTTAAATTAACTTTTGTCTTTCGTTCTTTTTGTTAAGACGCATTAACCTCTATAATGTTTCGCAATTAAGTTAATTTAATTTTTTTTAATTAAGTTGACTAACAAACAGGTCACTGGTGTGTAAGATGACAACGCATTATCAACATCCACGATTCAAAATTAATAATTGGATTTTTCATCATCTTCTGTCACCCGTTTCACAAAAACTACTATAATTAATAATTTGTTGAAACTGATTTTCTTAGTTTCTTTACATGTTACACTTACATGTTGTACTTATTTGGAACGATAGTGATAATTTTGTAACGCTAGGAGTGGAATATATCTGACAAAAGCCTGAACTGTTCCAATGACATTTTCAAAGAAGGCTTGTATAGCTCGAAATGTCGAATAACGGCAGAAATTCACGGCGGGGTGGTGGTACCTATCCGTGTCGACTCACAAGAGGTCCTACCACCAGTAATTACGCAAATTATAATTTTGCGGGTTTCATTTTTATTACACACGATGTTATTCCTTCACCGTGGAAGTCAATGTGAACATTTGTTAAGCACGTATTTCATTAGAAAAATTGGTACCCGCCTGCGGGATTCGAACACCGATGCATCTCTAGATACGAATGGACCGGACTTCTTATCCTTTAGGCCACGACGACTTCATTTTCATTTACATTAACCTTTAAGATAAGCATTAATCTTTTAGATGTTTGGAATGTCTTCATTGAATGTAAATATTTATACGATGTCAATTGCACCAGGAAATTCCAGCGTTGAGAATGACGGATGTGTCAGATAGTCTTTTTTTGTTTAGATTTTGTAACCCAATATTTGATTTTCTTTTGCACACTTCAATTTGCCTTATAAGTGGAATACTCGAAGGTTAAAATTCTTATATTCGAGTCCTGCTTCCGGGCATGTGAGCCACAGACACAACCCACTGAGTTTCTCGCCGGATCTTCTCAGCGGGTCGCGTTTCCGATCCGGTGCTAGATTCTGCGAAGCACGGCTCTTGCTAGGGTTCGTGTTAGCAACGTCGTCAGGTTTGAGCTCCGTGAGCTCACCTACTAACTCGATGAATCTATAATAACCCCTAGAGATTATTAGAATAGGTAGGATAAAAACGGACGTGTCAGTTTCCTTATTACAGTCTGTTCATTTAGAAAAATAAATACATATTACTTAAATTTTGGATCGGTGGACAAGCTCACGACCCAGCTGTTGTTAAGTTGTTGCCGGAGTCTATAGATATCGCTTAACTCGCACCAAAATCTTGCAGCTTTGTACTTCAGAGCCATTAGGAGCCATTTTTCGTCACTTCTTTTAAAGCACAAACCATCGCGTTCACTTCAAACTTAATCTAATTAATATCCCAATACGTACTCGTATTGGAACATCGACAAAGGTCTCTCCTCTCTCTTCCTAGCTATTCATCCCACATGATGGTGGGTCAGTTTTCCTTATTTTTCTTCTCCACCTCGCTGTGTTCAATGTCATCGTCAATAACATTCCATTCCCTCCTGTCCTTTAGCACTACATCTTTCCACCTTGGGTCTACCGCGAGGTCGAGCTGCCGTACCAAATTTCCGCCACCTTTTTACGTAACCATATAATATAAGAGTATACCAAGGTCATATTTGGAAAATAAAATGGACAATTAATTTCAATTTGGAGTTTAATTCGAATAGTCAACGTCGATAGACATTCATGCAACCTTAATTGTAATATTAAGAAATAAATAGAAAACGTTTCGTTACACAAATAAAGAAAAACGTCGACAGAAATCGCCTTGACCAATAAAAGGTTTCTCTATCACAATTAATGGAGATGCAAATTAATGCATAATCTAATTGCAGGTTTTTTTTTCTTCATCTAATATATAAAGTTCTCGTGTCACAATGTTCGTTCCCATACTCCAGCGAAACCGCTTGACCGATTCTCATGAAATTTTTTATGCATATTCAGTAAGCCTGAGAATCGGCTACTATCTATTTTTCATACCCCTAAGTGATTAGGGTTGTCCACCCCTAACATATTTTTTTTTATTTGGACATTTTTTTTTGTTATAACGAGGTATTATGTGGTTGAATGAGGTTTTGTTATTTTTATTATATATTCCCTCATCGTTCACAGCACTACATACCTCTTTCACTCATTTACCACATCCTTACACACTTACAATAAGTTAGTTTTTTTTTCTACACTAGAAATTCCCTAGAAATCTTATATATGGCAAAACAATGTTTGCCGGGTCAGCTAGTTATCTTATATGAATATGGTCAAGAGGAAAATCTTCTTTTTCTGATTGGTCTCTTCACCGTTGAAGTTAGTGTCTAGTTTCAAATGTTGACCACCCGATGCACTATACATACTTCCCCACGTCTTCCTGTCTTTATAGCCTCGGTTGTTGGCATGCCAGTGAGCGTCTTTACTGGACCAACTACCATCAATTTCTCTAATAGGAAAATAGAGAGCACGAAAATTAAGCATTTAGAAATAATTGTAACTTATTCCCAAATCAACAGAGTATGAACTCTGATTATATAAGAGACTGTAATTAAGTTCTCAAATAAAATCTCCATACCATTTAGATAAACTAGACAGTATAGTGAAAGATACAATCCTTGAGTCCAATGTAGATTCTCATAAATATTGATTTCACACAATGAAACCATGTCGGTATCAATTTTCACTGGTTCAGAAGAGAGCGTGTTTTAATATATTTTCAATTGAAATTGAGATTGTGTGAAAATTTACACACATACAGTCACATACAGCTGCGTCCAGGACCCATCGAATGTGAAGCAACTGCAAGAACCACCATGCTCCCCAAATTCTGCTGTTGCTAACCTGACCTTTTCCACAGATTGAAACGAGTGATTGCAGAAAGAGGAAGTGGTACTAAAACAGTTCAGTGTTCACAGCACCTCACCAGTACCCCCTATAGTAGATAATATCAACCAGGACAGAATGTAAGAAACCCAGTACCCTGAACCTTGACAATTTCGAGGACTAACTGACTCTGCTAGTCAAGTAAGTGCATTTGATGTTTAAGATGCATTTTTTGTCTGTTCTTAATTCTACATATATTTTTAAATATATATCATCAGCCTCTGATTTCCGGAAGATAGGAAACCTAGTTAGAGGCCTGATGACCATGTGTTAGTTGCCTCTAATTATGCATTTTAAGTTTAACTATGATTATTAGCAGGGTAATAAGTAAAAAGGCTGTGTTTATATACCCATAACCACGAAAAGGTTTGTTAATATATAAGTTAAAGTTTTTGCATAACAATCTGAAAACAAAATTGAAAACAGTGGATTTATCTCAATGTATGTGCACATACATTATCATTTCAGACACTAAAAACAGTCTTATCTATCATACAATTTTACAATTTACCTATTTCCTTGTTGTTTACTGATAACAGTTTTGAACTATATTTCGTTAGTTAAGTATAAGATATTAAGAAATTTCTTATCATTTAAAGCTAGTGAAGATAAGCCCAAAGCGCCTTGTTAAAAATACTAATTACTACTGGTGCTTACGTATTAACGCCACCGCGGCAAAAATTTAATGGTTAGCAAGTGTGGGCAACTCGAAAAATATGGAAAAGCGAATCAGAGCACCCCACTTTCCACCTAGTCTTGTCTGCCCTACCCCTAGAGTGTATATTAAAACCGGAGGCGCGGAGGGAGAGCAGTCCTCGCTCGCTGTGATGGAGCATGGAAATAGTGCGAGGCGGAGCGGCTGAGGCTGGTCGCCGTAGACGACCATCAAGCCGAAACTGCGAAGCGGAGCATGTGTGACCATGCTTCGGCACGCAAGGGCGGAAAGGCTGCTCTTCCCGCAGCGCCGGAGATAAGGCGGATTCAAACTTAAGCTCCCTTCGAGTTTGACTAAATAATGCAATTTTAATTAAAAAATAATTACCGTGGATATCTTCATAACCATGGGGTTCCGCGGGGTGGGAATGGTGCAAGGGGTAAACCCTGGTAAACCCTTACCCCCACCCCCACCCCGACCCAAAATCGATGGACCATAAAGGAAAGTTTAACCGAATTTTTGCCGCGGTGGCGTTAATACGTAAGTACCTTACTATTTTGGTGTAGAGGAACAGACAGCATCATAACATCACAAAGTCTTAGTGTAGCAAGTAAAATACTTTGGCAAATTGTAGTTTCCTCACAAGGACATTAAGGCACTGATAGATTTCTTGGAGCAACTAGGGTGAAAGAGCAAAATCCCTGCAGTTTAGCAGAAATGGTGCACAGTCATCAAACTACGCAGACCAGCCCACAATCAAATATCAAGTAAGGATTTGAGCATCCTAAAACTTTTGTCTTGATAATAACAAGAATTTATCATATTACTAAGTAAGCCTATGATAACAGAGTTCATCAACCTGTTTCAGTTAATTCAAGCTTTGTGCCAGTCCACTATAATTTTGAACCACTTATTTACAATTATGAAAAAACCAAAAAACAAATACATTGTGATATATTTTTTTTTCTTTTGCGTCAGAAACATTTTAATGCCAGAAGTGGTGGTTGGACGTCATATCCCACATCTAACTCATTTCTGAAGTAATGCAATCCGATCTGAAGGGCAGGGTAGCCATTGCCCTTTACAACCAAGACTTATAAAGCTTATGTATCAAAGGTGGGTGGCACTATTTACATTGGTGTTGTCTATGAGCTTCATTAACCGGGTAAGCCATGAGCTCATTGAATAGTCAAAGCAAATTTTAAAAATCTAAAAAAAAATAGTGCTGATTATTTCTGACCTGTGGTGTTTATGTTTTCATAAAGTAAACTATTTTTGTATGTACATATTGAAATATCAAAGGGTGAAAGGCTGTTTGGTTTAAGTGACATTTATCTTTGTAACTAAAGATCGTTTTATTTGGTATTATTATCAATAATTCAATATTGAACTTTAATTAAGTTTACCCCTTTCAAATAGCTAAAGAAGTTTTTTTACTATGATATTTTTTCCAAATTTTCTCAATATAAATCAATATAAATGTTTTCTAGAACCATTTTTTATGAAATATTCCCCTTTTTTATCATTATTATATTCTCCTCAATGTTTCAAATAGTGTAGTTCACATTTGTTTGTAATAGACCTAGATAGGAAAAATATTGAGAATTTCTCATACCAATTATTATTATAAAAACATTTTGTCAGAACAGTAACAAAAAGTTTTGATGCTAAGACTCTTCATTGTTTTTCTATCCCTATTACATTCCTGGTTTATAATGGTGATGATGTATTTCGAGATTTATTTATTTATTTAACAAATGAAATTAAAACTAATCGAGTAAATTTTAAGAATTATTTTTTTATTAATTTGTTTTAGTAATAGATAACACATCTTTGAAATAAAAAAATATTTGAAAAAAATCCGAGCCCACACCCTAGGAATAAAACAATGTTTGTTTTTATCTACTATTTTCAGTAATAAAAACCATTCAAGAGCCTTGGCAAAATTCCACGATGACTTACTTCAATACCTACGTTATTTCTACGCTTCGAAATTATAACATTTTAAAGTCACATGACTAGATAAACTGACTACAAAAATAATAGTTACATAATTTTCCGAGCTGGTAATCCGGGGCTATTCCAGTTCACACAACATTGAACGCAATCAGAACATTTCCCATTTCCCGCGAAGAGTTGGCAGGCAAATGTTTTTCGCGCGAAGAAAAACAATGTCTCCGCAATCCATGTTTTCAAACAAACCCTGGCACGTTGCCAAATATAAATAGTTACGATTAAAACTGTTAAGGACGCTTTATGAAACGTTTCTTATTACAAAGATAATTATAGAAAAAAACTTCCGAAATTCACAAAGATATTATAACCTCAAATTTTTTACTAATTAATGCTTTTGGCATTATGATTTCCGATTTAGCGACATGAAATATAACAATTTATACATGCATAAACTATGTTAACACACAGTTATTAATTGAAATAAAATTACCTGACAACGGCAAACAATGTCGGAATCCACCGCAAGTAAATCTACAACTTTTCCTTTGCCCTCATCGCCCCACTGAGCACCCAAAACAACAGTTACTTTGTTTTCCATTTTGGTTTTCTTTGACGGGCACGAACGCGACAATTCACCGTTAATTTCTGTATTAATCGAATTCACTGTTGTAACCATAATTTAAGAGTAGAACCGGAAGTTTAGAGGCTCACGCAAGTTTTTTCCCGTACTTTCAACTGTCTTCCATCGATTTCCATCTGCAACTAACGGTGCTACCAATTATATTTTTCCTTTATACTACTATATCATACATACCAGGTTTAAAACTACCAAATCTACTATCATACGTTTCTTTTGACAGTTGTTATAATTTATTTAGCGTAATGATTCGGCTTTAAATATAAATATAAAATTCATAGCTTATACGCCACGATGTAAATTCCATTAAAACTAAGCCTGTTTTTAAAGGTTTTTTCTTTTTGCTAGATGGAATTTTTAGGGGTTTTTAAACTATATCTATACTAATATTATAAAGAGGAAAGATTTGTTTGTTTGTTTGTTTCGAATAGGCTCCGAAACTACTGGACCGATTTGAAAAATTCTTTTTCCATTAGAAGCCGACTTTGTCCCTGATGAACATAGGTTTTTGGTTTCATGTGTGTTTTAATGTTTCCGAAGCGAAGCGAGGGCGGGTCGCTAGTCAATCTATAAAAAAAGATAAAATATGAACATAAATTTTTAGGGGAGCTTACAGTAATTTTAGAATTTAATGTCTTTTTAAGTTATGCTTAAGAGTAAATATTTTTTGAATCTAGCAGCACTGGTGCTAGATATGACTGTAGAAACAGATTCCCAAAAAATCGGGTCTAAAGTTGAATTTTTTTAATATATTAACAATTTACCTAACATAAATATTTATAAATTATATACAGATGGATCAAAATGTTCAGATAGAGTAGCTTCAGCATATTATGATCCACAACTGAAGAAATCTAGATGCTTCAAGCTAGATAGTCACTGCAGTATTTTTACTGCTGAATGCTACGCTATCTATACAGCACTTTTGTATATTAATAATGTAAATAGTTCTGACTTTTTAATTTTAACTGATAGCAAAAGTTCATTGTTAGCACTAGAAAGTGATCTTTTTAGATTTAATATGAACTATATTATTTATAGAATAAAAGAAATATTGGCAAATTTAAACGAAAGAGGAAAGAATGTCCAATTTAAATGGGTACCTGCTCATTGTGGTATTTTTGGCAATGAAGCTGTAGACTGTGCAGTGCGAGGTGCATGTGACGAAGACCACACTAATGTAACAAAAGTACCGTTTACTGACTTCCAGCAGAAAATATCGGAAAATGTTAAAACGCTGTGGTATGAACACTGGAGGTCTATAAGTCAAGAAAAAGGGAAATGGTATACAAAGATACAGAATACCCCGCCACATGTACCTTGGTATAACAAATTTAAAGAAGCTAATTCCAGACAATTCATTACCACCATTAATAGATTAAGATTCGGTCATTGTAGAATTCCTTCTCATTTGTTTAAACTACGTTTAGCAACGGACAAAAACTGTCAATTTTGTGTCAATGAGGTCGCTGATCTGAAACATATTGTTATGAAATGTCATAAATATAGTATAAATAGATTAATTTTAGTGTCTGAGCTGGACGATGTTTCTAAGGGTGACTCGCCTTTACAAACAGGCGTAAGGATGGACTTAGAAGAAATTTTATCAAACCCGTTGTATTTTAAACCAATTTATAGATATATTATTAACACAATAGGAAATGTTTAAAAACAAACGAGTAATGTTAATACTTCAATTTGATACTGTTTTGTTTAATAACTACTTGTAAATTTTTACGTAGTCCATGCGTGAAAATTAATTTAAGATAGGCTATAAGGTCTTGTAACCAATGGCCGTAAATAAATTAAAAAAAAAAAAAAAAAATTCGATAATATGCCGGCCACTGACATGCGCGCAAATATTCGTACATTGTACGAATGTTTGCGCGCATATTCGTACATTGTACGAATGTTTGCGCGCATGTGAAGGGCCGTCAAACATTCATTCGCAAACCTAGTGCGCTTCCTCCTACACTTGTTTACGAATGTCTCACGAATTTCTCCTCCTTTTTAATTCGTCAATAGAACATTGAAGAGAAAAAGAGTTTTTAATTCTTTCCCAGACATCATTAACAGCCATGCTGTGTTTATGGGATTTCTTTTGATGAAGATACGCTACACAGTAGACATCACGAACTATGAAAATGGCGTATAGTATACGTCCGTTACCTTCGCAATCGTCGGCGCAACGGGGCAAGCGAATGTGTGGGAGACTACGCGAAGGTTCGATGTTCGCGCGCTTTGATGTCTGTTAAAAAACCGACACAGCTTGGAAAACCACGAATGCAGCGAAAACTTTGCATAATCATTCGCAAATTTCGTCCTACACTTGTGGGTTTGCGTATTCGTGCGCATGTGAGTGACCGGTGTTAGAATAGAACGAACATAGACTGACATAATATAATTGATTCTAATGTAAAGGATTAAGATATAGGTCTATGGATTAAGATCACAAATTAAACACACTATTTTGATGATTAAATTGTGTTGAGAATACATTGCTTAAAACGGAAATTTTTTCTGGTATATTTGGTTTTTTGATTTCGATAATGAAAAACTCTGCTTAATAGTTTTTCTTTTTAGTAAAAATCGGTGATTCCATTACAACCGAACGGGGATTGACAATGTTTATAGGACCTATGTTATTACCACTTTTTTGTGGTAGAATTTGTTAAAAATAGTCTTCTTGTAACCAGTGTTGTCACACAGATATAATACATTGTAGATTTAGACAAATAGAACAATAATCGTAGGATTATTAGCCTGTATCGTAACATACTTCTTCTTGCTTTTAGCATTTTTAAAGTTGATGCAAGTTCTAAAAAAGGTCCGGTCCGAATAATTAAAGAAAAATTTAAAGAGAATTTACATACTAATATCATTTGTCATAATCTTTTATTTCTATTCGTGTTTTGATTGAGTAATTTAAACAAAAATAGCCAAGTCACATAAATCAACTATTATAGTCAAACATTTTACTTTTGCCTGCGTGTTGACCGTCCATGCCATGGACGGCGCGTCGTCCGGATTTCAGATTTTTAACAGATAATTATAAAATTATAGTTTACTCTTTCTAATACTCCATGACTGTAACCAATGAATTTACTTTCTCTCTCACACAATATTTACGACAAAATAGCTGAAGGGGGCAGTGTTGCCACCTTGGTGGTTTTCCCACCAGGACTGGTGATTTTTCGAGGCGTTTAGTGGTATTTTTTCATTCTATAGCGCATTTATTATTTTTAGTGGTTTTTGGTGGTTTTTCAATAAGGAATCTGGCAAGATACTTTTGATAGGGAATCTCCTGATATCCCGAAATTTCATGATAATGTTTTCAGCTTAGGTACTCTATAACCGGGGAATTCCTAGGGGAGGTCGTTTGTTAATGAATGTTTTGTTTTTACTTTGTCCCATTCTAATGCGGGTATCGAAAGAGTATTTAGTGTAATGAATATTGTAAAAAGTAAACTGCGGAACAGGATGGCTGGTCCACTTTTAAATACTATTATTTTTATAAAAAATAGGCTTAAAGCTATTGATGCAAAGTATTTNTATTATTTTTAGTGGTTTTTGGCGGTTTTTCAATAAGGAATCTGGCAAGATACTTTTGATAGGGAATCTCCTGATATCCCGAAATTTCATGATAATGTTTTCAGCTTAGGTACTCTATAACCGGGGAATTCCTAGGGGAGGTCGTTTGTTAATGAATGTTTTGTTTTTACTTTGTCCCATTCTAATGCGGGTATCGAAAGAGTATTTAGTGTAATGAATATTGTAAAAAGTAAACTGCGGAACAGGATGGCTGGTCCACTTTTAAATACTATTATTTTTATGCGATGTCATAGCACTAATAACGGTCTAAACACAAAATATTCTTACAAAACCACAAGACTACAGCTATCAACACCTTTAGCGTCGACGGTAGCATCTACGAGTAAGAATGATGATAAAGTTGTAGATGATTTTTACTAGAATTTTTTTAGACTACATTTTAATTTACACACATTACTCTTCTAATTCTTATTCTTCTCTTATTTTAGTCTTCTGATTAAAAAATAAACATATTAATTTGGTTTTATTTTACTGCCAATAGAATATTAGGAGCCAGTTTTACAGTTTCCAGATGAGCTTCCGTAGTATAAAGCTAACGAATCATTCATTCAAAACTGTCTTTTAACCAATCGTAGATGCCTTATTACGGAACTAGTGCAACTGGCACTAAACATAATCGACTTAGGATTTCTTTAGTCTGATTCAAGTTCAAAAACTTAGCGGAAGTTGGTTTTTTTTTATTAACAACATTTCCGAAATCTGGCGAAATTTTTCTCTTGACCTAGCGCCATAACAAAATCTAAGGTGGCAACACTGGAAGGGGGCTGTGTGAACACTGTGAACTGTGAATCATTGTGAAATACGATTTCAGTTTGGACGCACGTACACGTATTTAAACAGTAACGAAAATCAAAGTGTGGTGATTTTTTTTAATTGTTAATAATGGAATCGTGAGTATTTATTCATTATATTTTACTAACATGAAGTGAATGTTATTTGCATTTTATGACAAAAAAACATCTTTGAAGTAACGCCTCGTCATTTTTTGAACCTAACGGTCATCTTTAGTTGGTCGTTTTTAATAGAAAAATTAATAAAATCCAAACGATTTTTTGTAATGAGATCAATATTATAATGAACTTAATTAAAAGTATTACAAAGGACGTGTATTTTAGTCGCAAATGTAAAAATTTCGACTTCAAAGATGTGAACACACATAGGCGTCCATACTACGTACTCATAACACGCCGGGTTTTATGTAAAAAAATAACAGAAGCTCAATTATTAAAGATACGGCAATAAAGTTAATAATTTTTTTGTATTTTTTTATTTAGTATTTGATTTTCTTACATTTTGTACTAGTGATTGTGTCGTGGCGTGCAACCTCTGACAGGACGACATAGACAGACTAAGACAGATAATTGAAAATAATTCGAAAAGAAATGGCACGAGGGCGTACGTGACCAGCGGCACGGCAGTACATTTTTTGACTTCGAAAAAGACGAAAAAGAATTGACCGTTCTCTTCGACCGTTCAGATTGGATTCTTTGCATTTTCATACTTTTTTTATTTCCAGTCAACGTGCTGCAGCAGGTCGAGGCAGAAGTGGTCGTGCTGGCGGTCAACGTGTTCGTGGTCATCACCAAGCCCGACCTTCGGCCTCTGAATCGTAATTACCTCTTATAATTAAAACCTAAATTAAGATATATTTTTATTTACTTTGTTTTGTTTGTTTTATTGCATTGATGGGTAAACAAGCTCACGGCCCACCTGATGTTAAGTGGTTACTGGAGCCCAGATACATTTACAACTTTTTTTGTTTGTTTGTTTTATTGCATTGATTGGTGAACAAGCTCACGGCCCACCTGATATGAAGTGGTTACTGGAGCCCAGATACATTGACAACTTTTTTTGTTTGTTTGTTTTATTGCATTGATGCGTGAACGAGCTCACGGCCCACCTGATGTTAAGTTGTTACTGGAGCCCAGATACATTGGCAACTTTTTTTGTTTGTTTGTTTTATTGCATTGATGGGTGAACGAGCTCATGGCTCACCTGATGTTAAGTGGTTACTGGAGCCCAGATACATTGACAACTTTTTTTGTTTCTTTGTTTTATTGCATTGATGGGTGAACAAGCTCACGGCCCACCTGATGTTCAGTGGTTACTGGAGCCCAGATATATTAGACAACTTTTTTTGTTTGTTTGTTTTATTGCATTGATGGGTGAACGAGCTCATGGCTCACCTGATGTTAAGTGGTTACTGGAGCCCAGATACATTGACAACTTTTTTTGTTTCTTTGTTTTATTGCATTGATGGGTGAACAAGCTCACGGCCCACCTGATGTTCAGTGGTTACTGGAGCCCAGATACATTAGACAACTTTTTTTGTTTGTTTGTTTTATTGCATTGATGGGTGAACGAGCTCACGGCCCACCTGATGTTAAGTGGTTACTGAAGCCCGGATACATTTACAACTTTTTACACAAGCTCATTTGATATATTTTTTTAATGCCAATACGCATTTCAGACTCGTCACTATGCCAATCGAGGCGTTGCCGGCGGTGCTCGCGCCCGTAGTGGAAATCCCAAGGTGTGTATTCTGGTACTTTTCAATATATTTAGGTTTTTTAACAGCAAAACAGTATCCTAGCTTTGTTTTCAGATCAGAAATGTGGGGATCCAACGCTTCGTCCCCGGCCAGGAGGGACCAGGAGACGCCTCCGGTGCCATCACCTGCCCTGTAACTATATTATTCAATAATGTAACCTATTTTATAAACAAATAAAGAAAAAAATATTTGAGAAACAAAATTTTTGAGCCATTAAATTTATATTAAATTTTTATTCAATATTTATTGCTTAGTTCGAAATCAAAGAAAAACTTGAATTTTGAGATAGGTGGCCTTACTTGATTTTTTTATTTTATTTTGTACTCATTTCTTAAATCAAATCATTTTTGTAGATACGTAGAATGTGGGCCTAGCAGCGGGGCAAGCACGCCGACCACCGAGCGGCCTGCGTAAGTACCTATACATTTATTACACATCACATAAACATATTTTTATGCGTTAATATTTGTTATATATGAGTCTTTTATTACCATAGGTGGCAATCTGTGCATTTGGACAAAAAAATTTTATTGATATGTCAATACAGATTGATTTGAATATAATCGTCTCCTTCAAAGAATACGGTTCAAAACCTGCACTAAATAAAGGTTAATAGTTAACCTGTTATTTATCTAAGATGTCGTTCCGAAGAGTTTTGTGACTACCAATGGAATACAAAGTCAATAATTCGTTTTTCTTATTTACCAATCATTGTCCAAAAGTCAGATTGCCGGATTTGATAATAGTCGACTCATATATGTTATTAAATATCTGTTTTATTTTTCAGAAGTCTGAGTCACGTCTCAAAGGAAGCTCGGCGTGAATTGTAAGTTCATCTCTGTATACTACCAATATAGAATATAAAATAACCATAAAAAATAATTACTAGCATTGATTTAAATATTCTTTCTATTTTGTAGAATCCCTTCGTCCTCTTCGTCCTCTCGATCTCTTCGCGACGAAGAGATTATGGTATTGCTCAATTACGGTAAGTGATATCAACCTTTTTTAATTTTTTTATTGCATAGATAGGTGGACGAGCTCACAGCCCACCTGGTATTAAGTGGTTACTGGAACCCATAGACATCCACAACGTAAATGCGCCACCCACCTTGAGATATAAGTTCTAAGGTCTCAAGTATAGTTACAACGGCTGCCCCACCCTTCAAACCGAAACGCATTACTGCTTCACGGCAGAAATAGGCGGGGTGGTGGTACCCACTCGCGCAGACTCGCAAGAGATCCTACCACCAGTAACCTTTTTATCAATAATCGCGAAAGTAAAATACCTATTACAATCGAAACTTTTTCCTTTCAGGCAGCGAAGAAGAGTCGGAGGAAGAGGAGGACGAAGAGACTATGCAGCGGCTGACGGTGCCGCACTCGACCAGGATGTGGTTAGACGAAGAGGATGAGGAAGTTGAAAGAGGTGAAGAGAGGATCCCTCCTCTCCCGAGAGATAACATTAATATAGAGCAACCTCCTCAACCTCTTCGTCTATCCACATCCACCTCACCGACGGCTCTTTCGCCCTCTGTGGCGCTAGGGCCAACTAATAAATTTATGTTTGAATGGAGAACGGCGCCAATGCCTGCAATCGAACCTGATTTAAGGCGAGAACCGTTCTCCCAAATTAGTGGTCCAAAGGTTTCTTTCGCGACTCCGTATGATGCATTCATTGCCATATGGGATCGTGAAATAATGGAATCGATAGTCGAGGAAACCAACATTTACGCACAGCAGCTGGCAACGGTCATGCTGGAGACTGGGACGATCCGCCCTCATAGCTGGATTACTCGATGGCAAGATACGGATGTAAACGAACTTTACACGTATTTTGCCATCATTCTGGCTATGGGGGTGTTCATCAAAAGCTGCCTGACCGAGTATTGGTGCACGGCACAAGACGTATTTTATACACCAGGCTTCTCCGCCCAAATGTCGTATGACCGTTTCCGGCTGCTGTCAAGGTGCCTACACTTTTCTAATAACACTGCTTGTGATCTTGCAATGTTGACACGACGCCAGGTCAAGCTGTACAAAATACAACCGTTAATAGACCACTTAAATAAAAAATTTGCGGAACTTTACAATTTGGGTCAAAATTTAGCAGTGGATGAAAGTTTGACGATGTGGAAAGGCTGGCTTGATACAAACCAGTTCATTCCACAAAAGGCAGCGACAGTTGGGATCAAAACTTATGAAGTTTGTGAATCGCAGAGTGGTTACCTGTGGCGGTTTGAAGTTCACGCTGGCCATGACATCTCGGCTTCACAGGACGATCCAATTTCTGGCACAGTACCAGCTCTCGTGCTCAGACTTTTAAATGGTCTTGAGCATAAAGGGCACACAATATGGATGGATAATTTTTATAACTCTCCAGCGCTAGCCCGAGAACTTAAGACACGCGGCTTTGACTGTGTGGGCACACTGCGGACTAACCGACAATTTGTGCCGTACGAAGTGACGTCCCTTACAAAAAGGGATATGACAGTCGGTCAAGTGATGGGATGCACCTCGGGAGATGTGGATATTTTGGTGTGGAAAGATAAAGGCCGGGTGGCATTTATTTCCACATACCATGGTCTTGCATCTGTTACGTTTGAGGAAAGACTGAAGCCGACTGTCGCGTACGATTATAATATTTGTATGGGCGGAGTAGACCGCAAGGACCAGCAGCTTGCAGTGTATCCCATAGAAAGAAGAAGGACAAAAGTTTGGTACAAGAGATTCTTTAGAAGGCTCTTGAACGCTAGTGTCTTGAACTCGCACATACTACACCAAAATCAGTCATTCTCACACCGGAAATTCCGGACGGTGTTGATCACTGAACTATTGAGTGCACACCGTACACAACCACCTAGCACACTCACCCCAACACATGTACATTGCCCAGCGCAATATGGCCTGACCAAGAGCGGTAAATCAGACCGCCTTAGGCGCCAGTGTGCCGTCTGCTCCAGGCGGACTCACACATATTGCAAGGCCTGCAACGTGGCAATGTGTATTTTCACTTGCTACGAGACATACCACACTACACACCGACACTTTACCGGTCATTGATACTTATTTTTATACACACACGCGCATGCACACATACAGGGTATATAGGCAGTAGTGTTAAAGATATTTCTATTGCCCTTGTAGCCAGACGAGCATACCTGATGGTGAGTGGTTACCGTAAAAAGTTAAGCTGGGCATACCAGATGGTAAGTGGTTACCGTAAAATTTGTTATTGTTACCATCCATATTGTTGCACAGTACTAAAGAAAAAGCTGCATGTGTTGTACACTTTTTTTTTTGCTATCTGACAGCCCTTTCACACATGGTCTCCGTTTTACTGATCCGTTTTGTCGTATACTTTTTTTTCATCGATGGAGCATGAAGTTGTATGAGCGACTTTACATAGCCGCTCATATGAGCTCATATCAACTACCAGTTGACATGGGCCTTCTGTTCCCCCGCCATCTATTTTAATTTAAAATTAATTAAAAAAGAACTATGTTATCGCTTAAAAATAGTCGTGCTCGAAAACGCGCTATCTCTGTGTTCAGCGTATCATCATTCTGCACCGTAGTTGAATACTAAAAAACAAAATACTTCAATGTGAAGCATAATTCATACTAAGCTTAAAAACATAACACTTGCTTGAGGTACAATGAATGGTTTTGTGATAACGGAGCCGCGCGGCGCAGTTGTAAAAAATGACGTGGCACTTAGGGTGAGCGTCAAGAGCCCGTTCGGGCAAGCCAGCGACAGTATTCGGTAACCAGTAAAAAAAAAGGTCCGATACATTATGACATTGTGTTTTTTTTTTATTTTTTTGTTGTATCTGCGAAAACGGGTACCGTATACACGGAGACTATGTGTGAACGGATTGTTAGGGCCAGCGTCGTGTCAACAATGCAATTCGCAATTATTAGAGGTGGCACATAAATTAAGTACGCAGTTGGGTTATTATGGGTGTTGGTTTATTTATGGTTGATTTATTTATAAGCTATCTTTTAACTGTGTGGTATCTAAGTACGATTAGTTGCAAGTTACCTAGTTGTTATTAATTATTATTATTATTATTATTTTTTCATCACGATAACATTAAAAAAAATGTTTATTTGACCTATCAATCAAAAAGTGTCGAAAAAAAAAAACACAAATAATGTTTATTTTTTATTTTGAATAAGTCAATAAATTCGAAAAGAAGAACACAAATCATAATGTTTAATAAACACATCTATGCTTAATTAGCACCCGTGAGCGCACTTGTAATTTTTTCACTATTTTTAAGATTTTTTTTTTGTTTTTTCTTCCAGACATGTGGCTTTTTTCCTTGGAATGAATGCCCGGTTTCATGTAAATCTTGAATAATTAATTATTATACTACTTGCAAACATATATTTTGCAAAATCTTAGTTTTTACGAGACACTGTTTTTTGCACTAATTTTGAGTCATATTTGAGACGTTCATACTTAAAATCTGTAAAATAAAACTGTAGTGTCGTTGTTTAAAATAGCTTTGCAATACGCTTAAGCAAACCTCACGCCTACATTGCGCATGCGTAAGGGTGAGTCCGATATATTAGTATTCATTAAGATATTCATAATACAGCTTGTATTCGTGTATCTAATCCGTCGAAATCTGATATGCTAATATTCCGTATTCACTCTATTCATAATATTAGCCAACTCACATCGGTCGGGTTGTATCTACTCGAAAATATACTGGCATACGCCGTACGTGTCTCGCGGATATCTGTCTATCACATTCATAATAATACTGCATGCGCTAAAAGTAAGTGAGATAAACTACATGTGTACATATTGAGCAATGAAAATAAGTACTTAACATTATGAGTTTAAGGACTATTTTTTAATTCAACTTTTTACATGTCAAAGATGCTAGTGGGAATTTTTCAGAATTTTAAATGTATTACTTTTTAATGTTTGAACCTTCATTTCTTGATTCAACTAAAGATTCTACTCAAGGCAAAATAGTGTATTTTTATATTTATTGGAATAAAATCGGTGAGCTTTATTTTCATTATTTTAATTTTATTTTGTTTCCTTTGAATTAGTCTGTTTTAAAACGATGATTTGAAAAATGAAAGTAGGTACGGCAATTGACATTGTTTACCAATTTCATAAATTAAATTTTTTTTACATAAAAGGTAATACTGCCACAATTAAATTAAGTGTTTTTACGTAATCAATTATGATGACAATATATTTTTGCGGTGGTATTTAATTATCTTCTAAGGACTTTTCAAAATTTAAATAAAAGTTTGATTTTTGAATCGAAATGACTTTCTAACGGTTCGTGGATTATAATATTATAACTGTTGTGTACCCACTAGCCACCTCAGTACCATGTGAGAGGATTTTTTCAAAATCTGGTAAACTCATTTCTGACCGACGTAACAGGCTTTCGGTAGAAAAAGTAAAAAAGCTGATGTTTTTATGCACCAATAAGAAATAAATAATATTACTAACTTGTTGTTTATATTAATGTACAATGTTGACCAAATTCTGATTTAATAATAATCATTTTAATGTACATAATATTACTTGTAAAATATTTAGTATGAAGTCAAATTCCTAGATACTATTTATATTTTTAACTAGCTGACCCGGCAGACTTCGTAGTGCCTCAATCGATAAATAAAAGACCTAAGCTTTTGTATAAAATAAACTTAAAACAAGCAAAAGGAATCCGTCCGACGGGGGACAATCAAAGGAAAAACAAAATTGTTATTTTTATTTCATTCCGAGCATTTTCATATTTATTTTACCTTTTAAGCCTTCTCTAGACTTCCACAAACAATTCAAGACCAAAATTAGCCAAATCGGTCTAGCCGTTCTCGAGTTTTAGCGAGACTAACTAACAGCATTTCATTTTTATATTATTATAATACCTTAACTAATACATGAATATCCTGATATCTTAATATCCTTCGATAAAACGGATAAACGAGTTAAACTTAATACGGTAACGAATACCGTATTAAGTGTATTAATAATCATTATTTTATTTCACGAATACCGTATTAAGTTTAACTCGTTTACCCGTTTTATCGAAGCATATTAAGATATCAGGATATTCACGTATTCGTTAAGGTATTATAATATTACATCATGAATATATTAATATTAGCTAATATTGATAAATATCGGTATTAACCAATCTTTACGCATGCGCCGGTTTTGTCAGTCAGTTGGCAATGGCCGTATTTACTAGCGTTTTGTTAACAAGTGCGTTTATACTGTCTAATTATTTCTTATGTAGATCAAAAAAATATTGAAAACTTCAACAAGCTTACACAATACTTCAACAAAAAAATGTCAGTGAAGACGGCCAATTAGTCGTTAAAGTACGATTAGCGCGATTTTAATAAATTAAGTTATTTTTAATGATATTGAATATTAACAAGCATAAAGAAATTTCAGGGATTTCTAATTATTCTAAGAATATTTTAGGAGTACAACTTTCGTGTTAAAATGGTACTATTCATTACCTTGCAATTATGTTTTTTTTTTTTTTTTTTTTTTTCCTACCTGAGCTGATAGCCCTAGGGGCTATGTCAGCGTAACCCTAACTTAAGTAGGTGAGCTCACGGGGCTCAAACCTGATGACTTTGCTAACACGAACCCTAGCAAGAGCCGTGCTTCGCAGAATCTACCACCGGATCGGAAACGCGACCCACTGAGAAGATCCGGCGAGAAACTCAGTGGGCTGTGTCTGAGGGTTAATTTACTCGTCGAGCCCTTCGTCGCAAGCGACGGGTTCGACGAGAACGGTGACCGGTGCTTGAAGTACCTAAAAGCACCGTTAGTNTTCAAAAGCGGTAAATTTCCTTTCTTCGGGTAGTATAGGTACTTGATGGTACGCGTTTTTCAGGTCTATTAGGCTGAAAAATGTATTCTTTGCCACTTTCGAAACTAAGTCCTCAATGTTTGGTAAAGGGTACGCGTCGAGTTCTGTGTAACGATTAATTGTCTGAGAGTAATCAATTACAAGGCGTTTTTTATGAGTTTCGCTTTTTTGTTATTAGTACTTGGGCCCTCCACGGTGCTTGAAGTACCTAAAAGCACCGTTAGTGGATCGGGAGGATCCGAGATGACGTGTGACTACCTTGCAATAGGAGATGATTTGTATTTTATAATAAAATTAATAATTCCCAAAATGCATTATGTAGTTCAAAAAATCACAATTAAATGACTCATTGTGGTTCTAAAACATAAAAAACTCCGTGAGGCTGCAATTGAACATACTCAGTTTTTTTTAAATTTAAATTTTTAATATCTAGTAATAGGGGCCAACTTAAGGGTGATCATTTGTTTAATTATTTATAAATAAAGGACGAAGAAATAATTTTTACATTCGTCGAACATTAACGAACAAACGACGAACAAATAAGTAAAAATAATAAAATCCGAAAATCAAAAAAGGGGGCCAAATTCAGTAAGCCGTTGAGTACAATAGATGAACGAAGTGGACTAGAGGATATGAATAATCCTGATAAGTGTAAGTTTATTATCTTAAGAAACAAAGCCACTGGACGTAACTTCTCGGGATCCAAAAAGTCCACTGAAAAAATTTCAGTACCTAAGTGATCTTGCTGAGATTATATTTCATCCCATATCATCTCATTACATTTTATTTCATGCCAGTTGATTAATGTCTCAAATTAATCATCTTCATTTCATTTCACTCCATAATACTCCATATTATCATTTTTCATAAAAATAACAATATAAATAAGACTTGACCTAAGGGTCTTAGTTACCAGGTCATAAAATCCCTTAAAAAAGTTGCTCCAACATTTTATACCGTACCGTAAATAATCTGTGATTGTTGTCATAGATTATACACTTAATATATTTGAGAATTGTTGTTTTATCCGTGCCTGTAGAGTCGGACGTCGGTGTGTAGTTCCTGTTCAGTGTGTGGTTCCTTCGAAAGTAGTTAGAGTAGTGAAGAGTGGTGAAAGAAAAGAGTTAACACCACAAGGACAGTTACTGTAACTACAGTCCCTGTAATATGTTTCATGGAAATATTAAATTTTCTTTTACATCCGCATCGTTAATGATTTAATGTGAGAAAATAGATAATATTGAACAAGATGCGGTTCCTATACTGTTTATTGTTGTATACAATCACAGTAGTGATAAGTGTGGACCACGAAGCCGAAGAGGAAAGCAACAGGAGGAGGATAATCGATCAGCTGACGAGGACTAAAACGGTGCTATTAGATGATTACCACTTGGTAACAAGACATATTGCAACAGAAGTAAATATGTATAGGAATTATCGTACAGTTTCTGTGCTTTTCTATTCTATGAATATTGATTTAACGTACGCTCAATTCACATTTCAATCAGAAGAGCTTCATCTAAATAACATAGGTCTGTATATTATAATGCTTTTTTTTTTAAATACGATGTTCTCTTATCTATACTCCGCCTATCATTAGTTTAAGGTCATTCTATTTTAAAGCTTCTCATTAGGTGTTTTTCGTATTTGTATGTCTATATATACATTATATCTATGTGTATTTTTGTGTTGGTTTAGTAGTTTTTGTGGTGTAGGAACCTCTAAAAAGAATACCAGCAAATGAAATATAATTTATAGTAAAGCTGTGATAGCATTTACAATACCTAACCCAGTCATCTAAAAGAATATTAAATTACATTTGATTTTAGCTTAAAGATTTGAAATATGCATGAAAATAATTTGTGTTCATAATAAGCCCTATTGTAAAGAATATTTATATTGTAAACTAGCTGACCCGGCAGACTTCGTAGTGCCTCAACCGATAAATAAAAGACCTGAACTTTTGTATAAAATAAACTTAAAATAAACAAAAGGAATCCGTCCAATGGGGGACACATCAAAGGATTTTTTTTTGTTTTTATACAATTCTGAGCATTTTCATATTTATTCACCTTTTAAACCGTCTCCGGACTTCCACGAATAATTCAAGACCAAAATTAGCCAAATCGGGCCAGCCATTCTCAAGTTTTAGCAAGACTAATGAACAGCAATTCATTTATATATATACATGTGACCATATTCTTGATACAATTTCTATGAATACAATCAAAAAGTCTAGGGGTCATGGCACTAGCAAAGAGGCAAAACAAAATTTGTATTAAGGTGTTTCTGCAACAACTATATTGACTTTCTGAGACATCGAAGTCGTTGTGGCCTAAAGGATAAGACGTCCGGTGCAATCGTATCTAGCGATGCACCGGTGTTCGAATCCCGCCGGCGGGTACCAATTTTTCTAATGAAATACGTACTCAACAAATATTCACGATTGACTTCCACGGTGAAGGAATAACATAGTGTAATAAAAATCAAACCCGCAAAATTATAATTTGCGTAATCACTGGTGGTAGGACTTCTTGGGAGTCCACACGGGTAGGTACCACCACCCCGCCTATTTCCGCCGTGAAACAGTAATGTGTTTCGGTTTGAAGGGTGGGGTAGCCGTTGTAACTATACTGAGATCTTAGAACTTATATCTCGAGGTGGGTGGCGCATTTACGTTGTAGATGTCTATGGGCTCCGGTAACCACTTAACACCAGGTGGGCTGTGAGCTCGTCCATCCATCTAAGCAATAAAAAAAAAAAAAACAGATTTCTTTTGAATTTAGCAAGCCAGATAATTGATAAAGCTTATGATAATGTTTAATTTTAGTCAGATTAGGAGATATGCATTGAAATTGATAAATATCTTTGTTATCAATTCCAATATTTCAATCCTTGGTTCTGTAGTAATAGATTTTTGCGAGCTAGTGGTGCATTGTCATCTTCAATTGTAGGAGATTGAGAAGATGAGAATCACTCTCATCTTTCGGGGCTGTTCAGGAGAATTAAGTAATTCATTGATGTCTGCTATAGATTATCTCCTTTCCCTCATCTAATATATTGCAAGTGGGGTAGAAAGTCCCATTTGATGGTTAAGGTTTTAACCATGTAGGTGTAGGTTTTAATGGCTTTGACAACATGAGACTGATCGCTGTCATGCTGGAGAATAGCCATATTGTCTCTAGCCGTATTGTGGCCATTTTCCATGCAATGCTCAGCTTAATCATATTAATTGAGTTCAATATCTTTCCCCAGTGTTCATTTCGTTTGGTTTCAAATGCTCATGGTAAATAATACTGACCTGGTACCACCAAATAAATAATAATAGTAAAAATATATTTACGAACAATCACGCCACGTTAACTGGTTCCGTGCTAAGTTCGTAAAGAACTTGTGTTACAGGTACCAGATAACGGAAATAAATGTAAGATTTTTATTATACTTTTTTTTTTATTGCCCTTGTAGGCAGACGAGCATACGGCCCACCTGATGGTGAGTGGTTACCGTCGCCCATGGACTTCAGCAATGCCAGGAGCAGAGCCAAGCCGCTGCCTACCGATACACAGACATATATTTAATATACATCCATAATCCTGGAAAATACATTTTATATTTATTATACAAATATCCTCCCTTGGCGGGATTCGAACCCGCGACCCCCTTGTGTAGTGACCATGTCACTTACCACTACACCAGACGGCCGTACACAGTACAACCAGTACCTCCATTTGTACCGCTGGAGCAGCTGTTCACTGTCGAAAAAACGACGCTCAACATCTCTTGGCTTCAACTTACAAGTTCCTTGCTTTTGAATCATTTCCAACGCATGCAATCGCCTTGAAATGTCTTGGCTAACTTCTAATGCTGAAGCATCTGACGGTCGTGTGCGTCTAAATCACCGTCTTTGCAGCTACGGAACGAATCATGACAAGTTGTTTGGCTCAGAGCAGCGTCGCCGTAAACTTTTTTGGTTGTTTGTTGTTCGGACGCTCTTCACATGCGAATCGCTTTAAGAAAACGGTCTCTTTTACACATCAAACTCACATGTGGCAGATATTTTTATTGCCCTTGTAGGTAGTCGAGGGTAGCGCAATTCTAGCGGCACAGCCAAGTCGTTGCCTATCGCTGAGTACAACCCGCAAACGTTATTTGAAGAAAGATATGTCATAGCGCTTAGGAAACATCAAGCCGAGAAGTTCATTCGAAAGCCGGGTCTCTGGAATCGCACTGTGGGTAATCGAATCAATGAACTCAGAACCGGTGGCGGTGCGATAATAAAAATGAGATGGTAATAGATCATCTCAAACAATACCTCAGGGCCTTCCCTATAGAACATTCGGTACATAAAATAGAAAGCCAAAGTCCCCTCTGTAGATCCTTCTTTCGTTTTCTCTTCTGTATAGATTTCCTAGTACAGTATAAATTATGCAATAGTTCGCATACGCTTTTTATTATTACCGTCCTTTGGCCAAATTATAACATTTGATTAAACACCTTCACTTCATCTTGAGCCGACACTAATTATTACATTTTGACAAATAGGCACGACATAGATTTCCTTAGTACCATTAATAGTGATTGTTCTTTTGCAAAGGTTTACATTTTAGGGCGGTAAGTTACTGTGACGCATGTCCTATCTATTAACAATACGTGTTCTGGAACCACGACGCGTTTCCAGAAATATTTATTGTCGTATATCCTATATCAAAATCAAATTTGTGCACAAGCGCTGTGATGTGCCCTATATTAATTTGAAACGAATCTTTAGCGGTAAGCGATGGCTCAGCTGTGCCATTGGTATAGCTGGTGACCATATCAGAAGGGCATTCAAATAGTTTACACGTCATTACGGATCCTCCCGATCCATTAACGGTGTTTTTTAGGTACCTCAAGCATCGGTCACCGTTCTTGCCGAACCCGTCGCTTGCGACGAAATGCTCGACAAGTAAACTAACCCATAGACACAGCCCCCTGAGTTTCTCGCCGGATTTTCTCAGTGGGTCGCGTTTCCGATCTAATGGTAGATTCTGCGAAGCACTGCTCTTGCCAGGGCCAATGTTACCAACACTCCCGGTTTGAGCCCCGTGAGCTCACCTACTCGCCCGGTTACGCTGAGATAGCCTCTCAAGGCTTCAGATTAGGTAGAAAAAAAATAGGGGCTGTATACGTAGAACGAGCAGGAGTATTTGCGAAGCGAGATTCCGATCAAGCCCTTTAAATGTCCAATGAACTGTGCGATAACGAGCGTATTAATTATGTTAATACGCTTCCGCGAGCTTGGCCCATGATTCAAATCTTATCTGTTTGGCCCAATAACAAAATTGAATAATCAATACGAACTGGAAACGAACATTTTTGTGTTTCAGGATCGTGCAGTCCACAAGAAGTGTTGATCAAATTAAAACATGGATCGTATCCTGCAGTTAATCCCGACGGTTACGATTTCCCGAAGGATTTCATAGAACCAAGTCTGAGAGAAGAGGTGCACACCATAGACATACTATCGGATGGTAGAAACAGGACTTACACGATAAGGTATCCCAAGCCCGGGAGCTGGTACGCTCTTGTGTACATAAAATGGGAAGATCCGAGGAAGCAAAAAGTAGAACAGGAAGGTATGTCTATTAATTTAGCTATTATTTAGCATTTATTTAGAGGAAATTGTTTTTATTCATGTTTTATGTTTTATTTATTTCAATGACGCGTTGGTGCTGGGTAAAGTAAATGACTTATTAAAAAAATGTATTTTTGAGACGCGCGACAGTAATGCTTTTTAATTCTTGTATCTATTACTAGTAACCACGAGGGGTTATGCTACCTTTATCGGACGTGGGAAGGACCTATTGCGTTCAATACTATTTATGTTGTCTAAGAGTCGTAAGTTCTGATTTGAAGGATGAGACAACAGTTCGTAAAATTAAAATTTATGCCGCATCTAATAAGGTGTCCGGCAGCGTTGTGATGTCTGTGGTAACCTCCTACTTGTTAGTATACGCTGACATAGCCTCTCAAGGCTATCAGCTTGGTAGGAAATAAAAAAACCAACGCCAGGGGCGCTGTGAACCCGATCAACCACTGATGCAATAAATAAATAAATATTTACCGTGTCTTACGTTTTTAGATAAGCGCCTATGGTAGGGTACTAACTTTACTCCTTGTTCTATTCATGAACATAACTTACAATATGTACCGTCTGTATTAAGAAAAGTTATTGTAATAAATAACCTAAATTTGGGTAGAACGTACTTAATATAATTATAAGCCTTTATTGCTGATACTAAACAATGACTTTACATACAGTAGCAAATTGTTTTAACTTAAATCTAATACATCTGGTTTCCCGGTTCAGTAATCAGCGTGTCCTGTGACACATAGGCTTCTTCCAGCTGCTTCCATTCTTCTCTATTGGTAGCTTTTCTGGACAAGATTGTCCCTCCAATCATCTTGATAGCATCTGTCCATCTTCTAACTTGCCTACCTCTTTTTCTTTTGTTATCACGTGGCTGCCATTCTGTTATAATTTTCTGCTTTCCCTTGTCATATGTCCTGTCCATCGCCATTTTATCCAACGAACGTACTTGTATTGAATTTTAAATAATGAAATTTCTTCGCTGGCTCTATTGTGGCGAGATTCGAGAACAAATGATCATTTAAATTATTCAATTGGCAATTTGGCCTCACTCAGACTAAAACATTCGTAAATTGCTCGGTTTTGTATTACCGAGGTTACGTCACTACTACATCACTAATAACAATTCAATCAATTGGCTCTATCGTGGAAATTAGAGAACGAACTTTTTTTTTTTTTTTGCTTAGAAGATAGGTGGACGAGCTCACAGGCCCACCTGGTGTTAAGTGGTTACTGGAGCCCATAGACATCTACAACGTAAATGCGCCACCTACCTTGAGATATAAGTTCTAAGGTCTCAAGTATAGTTACAACGGTTGCCCCGCCCTTCAAACCGAAATGCATTACTGCTTCACGGCAGAAATAGGCAGGGTGGTGGTACCTACCCGCGCGGACTCACAACAGGTCCTACCACCAGTAAATATCATTCAAAAATAATTCAATTGGCAATTTGGCCTTACTCAGACTAAAATATTCGTAAATTGCCCGGTTTTGTATTACCGATGTTAAGTATCAAATGAACAGTATGGCAGATGTTACATCACAAATAACGATTCAATCCGTACTAGATATTCGACCTCGGAATCTGATTGTCCGCCTCCCCGTTTCCTGTGGGCTAGTGCAGTCAATTTCACAAACATTATCCATTACAGCGACTATTACGCCTCGTTATCGTTTATTAAGCAGGAGGACAATTTACTTCAGTTCACATTGAAATATAAGAAGATTTCGTTCGTCTTTTGTTAGTTGACTTTTCACATTATAATTGAGTCGACTATTATCAAAGCCGGCAATCTGACTTTTGGACAATGATTGGTAAATCAGAAAAACGAATTATTGACTTTGTATTCCATTGGCAGTCACAAAACTCTTCGGAACGACATCTTAGATAAATAACAGGTTAACTATTAACCTTTATTTAATGCAGGTTTTGAACCGTATTCTTTGAAGGAGACGATTATATTCAGATCAATCTGAATTGACATATCAATAAAAAAAAATTGTCCAAATGTACAGATTGCCACCTTTGATAATATACGACTCAATTATGCCTTTAATAATAATAATAAATTTTTATTTTAGAATTAAATTCCATATGAAGTGTTATTAATACAAAATCTTGAAGTGTTAGTAATACAAAATCTTTCTTAAAAAAAGCAGTTCATTTTATTTATTTTACCTTGACCATAAAGAGTCGAGGTTAAATTAACTTATCTATATCTATACTAATATATAAATCTACAGTGGTTTTTACGGATGTTCCGTCATAACTACTAAACCGCGCATCCGATTGACTTGAAACTTGGTATCCATGTAGAAAATGCATGTACTTAATGGATAGGCTAATATTTACTTATATGAGTGTTGGATTCCCTAATAATAATGACAATAAATAATAATGTTAATTTTAAATGCCCAGCGAAGCGGGCGAGTACGGCTAGTTATTCCTAATTTTTTATGATTGAGCAGACTGGATTGAAATGACTGTTGATCCAATAGAATTTGTCTTGTCCGAATTTCAATAAACTTGTTCTTTCGCAAGAACCACATTTGGAATTCGAGCAAATAAAAATCATGTCCGTTCAGCCCATCTCAAGTTTTGAGCTAACTAATGCCATGTTTGTTTCACATAGCCTTTATCAAAAATGTAGGTGTACGACCTTTGGTTTGTACAATATTAACAAATTTGTGTACATATTCCGAGCGATTCACGAACTTAGATTACGGATTAATAGATAATAATACATTTGCGTAACATATTTGATAATAATTTTTGGTTAATCGGCTTCAAAAAATAAGTGACTATCAAATCGATTTCTAGGCGATCCGATTTCGATTATTATTATTTTTTTGGTTGGATGGTTCTTTATCAAGACTTGACCAGTAGTTTTTGGGTCATCCTTAATAATGAATACTGTTATAGATATTCATTGATTTCACCTATATTAGTGTTATTTTATTTTGCTAAGGCGGTGTTCTTCTTCTTTGTAAAAGTTTAGTATTATTATTATATATTTTTTATTGCCCTTGTAGGCAGACGAGCATACGGCCCACCTGATGGTGAGTGGTTACCGTCGCCCATGGACTTCAGCAATGCCAGGGGCAGAGCCAAGCCGCTGCCTACCGCTTAATACTCTCCACAAGCCTTGTTTGAAGAAGGACATGTCATAGCGCTCGGGAAACACTGTGGAGGGGAGCTCATTCCATAGCCGGTTGGTACGTGGCAAAAAAGACATCTGGAAACGCACTGTGGAACTATTAAATGAATATTCTTAATATTAAACGTTCATATTTGTGCGTCTAATATTATTTTTTTACATTTTTACAATAGATTCCGCTATACTTTTTCTAAAGCCATAAAAATGATAGTTATTTAATAGGACATTTGCTTGTCTTCGTAGATTTGTAGACTATGACCAATACTTTTATACCATGCCATGAGTACAACTGCGAATACTATAAGCAGTCTATCAGTATGATATCGCGTATTAAGCGAAGCGATTTCGCTTAAGACGCGACATTTATCTTTGTAATTAAATGTCCGTTTTATTTGGTACTGGCTGACCCGGCAAATCGATAAATAAAAGACCCAAACTTTTGGGGGAGGCAAATTTAAGGGAAAAATGAAATTGTTATTTTTATTTAATTACGAGCATTTTCATATTTATCTATCTACCTTTTAAACCTTCTCTGGACTTCCACAAATAATTCAAGACCAAAATTAGCCAAATCGGTCCAGCCGTTCTCGAGTTTTAGCGAGACTAACGAACAGCAATTCATTTTTATATATTTGGTATTATTATACTATGAACAATTCGATAATTTATATTAAACTTCAATCAAGATTACCCTATTGAAATAGCTGAATAAGTTTTTTGTTATGATATTTTTCCAAATTTTGAACATTAAATTGCTGTCTTGTTAAGTTGAATAAATATCGCTTAAAAGAAATAGCTTTTCGCCCCTCGATAAAATAATACAATAATAAAGTACATTAAACTACTTGTTAACTAATAATATAATTTTATCATATTACCAGGTCTAGTAGCAGATTGTCGAACGATATTGTACACCGATTTACAAGTAAAAGAAGAAGATAAAATACGATTTGTAGATTGCTACAGCGGTTTTAATTTGGACCAAAAAGACATGCCGGCCACATTGAAATGCATGGCCACAGATAAACCCGATCCGATCTCGTTAAATATCACATTTCTCGACATTGATACGTCTGCAGATACCTACGTGACATTAAGACTGCAGTCATTGTCATTGCCGTCCGACGATAATTACATAATATATTGTATTTATGATACGAAAATAAACAATATACTTTCGGTAACGTTTACGCCTAATCCGAACGCGTGGCACTACATCCGAGTAGACCAGGCTAGGGAAAACGTGACAATGATAGCGAATTGCGAATCGTATCAACGGACAGACCTAAGTGACGCCGAAAATTTAACGATTCTCGACCTTATGCGCGACGACAAAGGAAGGTTCTTCACGTTCGACTACGGTCTCCCGACGACAGACTTGCAGGACGCTACCAGCGTCCTAAACGTGACCTCATCCGAAATCAAAAGTATGCGATTCAAGGTGAATCAGTTTTTGGATATCGGCGGCAGTCTCTCGATCGAGGCTAGCCTGCTGATGAGCCTGAAGTACTACATGGGTAATTACAAGAGAGAATCGACGAAGGGGGACTTATTGGAATTCACGGAAGACAATCAGTTTATGAAAGCAGTAATCTGTTTGAACGTTGGCCACGCTAGCGTGCCTTTGGAGAGCGGTCATTGCAAATACAACGACCGGGTCACACCAGCGCTTTTCGTGTTGAATAGCACCGATTCCGAATCGGTGTACTCGAAATCTATAATACCGTTTCCGGAGAGCGGCACTTGGTATCTAACGTTTCGGCTGTTCTGCGACTCGACCGTCTGTCCTTGTCCCACTTCGGAGGACGGAACGAAATATTATGTGAATTCGAGCGGGATAACAGATGTCGGTCTGTCCAGCAACAAAACTAGACAGGGCTCCTCGGAGTGCAACGCGAGTGTGGTGGTGGCCTTGTCGTCGAGCTCGTGCGTGGGCGGGAGCTGTAGCAACCACGGGAACTGCCTCCTGAATACCTTTGGAGGGATGGTCATGTCCTTTTGTTCGTGCTCTGCAGGATATGGAGGTAATTAATTACTTATGTACACAATCTTCGGCTGTTAAAGTCAATAGGTTCTAACGTGGTTTCTTTAAACATAAACATAAACAGACTCTGAGATCAGACTTGTAGTTCTGAAGAAGAAAAAAGTTATACCTTTAACTGATTTCAAAAAAGGAGGATTATCAATTCGACTGTTTTTTTTGGTCTCACAGAATTATTTTCTAGGTAAACCGATTATGATGATTCTGTTTTATTTGAAAACTGATTCTCATGTGGGGACCACATGAAATTTAAATCCTGTCAAAATTTGACCAGTATTTTTGGAGTTATCCTTAATAATGCATACTAAAATTACTTCGACTGTGGTATTATTATACTATTTTGATAAAGTCGGTTTTCGTTTTTACCTTATAATTTTGTATTATTATACTCTAATGAGTCAATTAAGCATAAGGTAAAGCTTTTGATTAGAACCGTGTACCGTGATAAAGTATGATGATACCGTGCCAAGAAAGAAAGTGTGACGTGCCAAGAATCTCAAGGTGCTTTTTTTTCGCATCAAAACTACCACTGCAACATTTGCAACTCTGTATTGCATTGAATATCATCGTGTTTAATTAAATAAAGTGCAATATCGATTAAATCAAGAATAAATTACGGAATTTCGATGTAAACACATGAACATTCTTTTCGGAATCGATTTTTTGAAATTTTATCGTTACAAAAATCGATTTTCTTCGCGTACTACGAGTTAGAAAATTGAAAACGGTTCAAGGTAGATATATAAAATGTAATATTCATTAAATCAAGAATAAATTACGGAATTTCGATGTAAACACATGAACATTCTTTTCTAAATCGATTTTTGGATAATTTCTCATTAAAAAAATCAATTTCCTCGTGTAGGTACTACGAGTTAGAAAATTGAAAACGATTCATGATAGATAGTTGGATTTATTCGTGAGTGGAAGAGTTCATTAATCTCACGTTTGACCGGCTGAGTTTGTGAAAACGAAAATCTACTAAAATTAAAATAAACGCGAAGTTAAACGGTGATAGTGTATTTAAATGGATCTTAAGGTTGATTGTATTGTATATAGTAGGTCAGACGGTACTGGTACTCAGCCCACTGAGTTTTTCCCCGGATCTTAGTGGGTCGCGTTTCCGATCTGGTGGTAGATTCTGCGAAGTATTGCTCTTGCTAGGGTCAGTGTTAGCATCACTCCGGTTTGTGCCCCGTGAGCTCACCTACTAGTTAAGGTTACGCTGAAATTGCCTCTCAAGGCTATCAGCATAGGTAGGATAACAAAAAAACTGGTAGTAATTATTTGTTTTATACTTTTTTTTTTTAGGTTGGGATTGTTCGGACGATTCAAGAATGGACAGCCGAGCGTATATGCTACTTTCGATCCTGCTGCTCACGCTAAGCAATCTCGTATTCTTTTTCTCGATATACGTGGCGACAATACGTTTCTATTACACCGAAGCCATGATGTACGCTTTCACGATGTTGTTCTCGACGTTCTACCACGCCTGCGACGCGCCCTCCCAGGTCGCCTACTGCATCATCAGAGGCAATATTCTTCAGTTCGGCGATTTTTACTGCGGCCTCATGTCGTTTTGGGTGACGCTACTGGCTATGAGTATCGTCAGTGACGAATTAAGGTCCTTCTGTCAGCTGACCGGAGCTATTGTCGTGGCCTTGTTCACGACCTGGAACATGCATTCGTTCGTATCGTTTCTCCTGCCGGTGGCTATAGGAGCGACCGTGCTGTTGGTCTCTTGGTATCTCGATTACAGGAAGACCGGTATAATGAGATACCCGTGGTCTTATTACTCGAAGTACATGCCGATCGGTATAATTCTGGTCAGCACCGGTCTGATATGTTACGCGTTTCTACAGACCGAACAGAATTACAAAATCGTTCATTCGATTTGGCACATGATAATAGCGTTTAGCGTTGTGTTTCTGTTGCCCGATGTGAAACGGGGCCCGAATGCGAACCCCTTCCTACCGACACCGAGTTATTATACGGGTAAGTTTTCTAGATATTTCCGCAGATCTCGCACGCCCATTGCCGAATGATGAAGCAATCATACATGTTATATATGAGACCGTCAGCGCAAAAGTGACCTAAGCCTAACTATGGTATAGTTAGTATGGAGGTAATTAGGTTCTAATTTTCATGAATTTGAATTTGGGTAGGCAAAAAAACAAACAATACGCGCAAAAATAATGTTTACAAAGCTATCTGTTATCTATGGGTGAATATATGGATAGGCCGGATTTGCATCAAAATTTATTATATTTTAAATAAATTCCAATATATAAGCTTGAATATAAAAAATTGTGGATTAGGCCACCTTTGCGCTGATGGCCTCATATGTAAATCTAGTTAAATATTAAAATAGTTCTATTTTTATACGTCAAAAATTATTAAAATAAATTATAATTGCCGTGACACAACACATTGAGATAGTTACCACAGATTATAACGTGTCACGGATTAGTTTTTAAGATTTAAATGTCATAAATATAATTATACAAAACGACTTCTAGTCAAGTGTAAATAATTTTTTGTACACGTTTTTTCTAATGTAACTGACCTAGTAATGATGGTTTTGGATTCAGATTTTTCACGTCCAACGTAAAGTTCCGTTTTATTTATGGAGGGTAGGTAAGGAAGATCATCTCGGTTTATTAAAAAGTGTCCGATGAAAGGGAACTGTATATTAAAGTGGCGCCATTGTTGCAAGTGGAAAGATTTAAAATAACAGCGCCATAAAATATAAGAGTAGGATACTAAATTGAAAAGGAATGAAACACTTGCTACGTAAATATTTTAGTAATAAATATAAATAGTTGATATTTAAAATACTGCATACTATCTAAAAAAAAAATATTGCTTAGATGAGTGGACAAGCTCACAGCCCACCTGGTGTTGTGGTTACTGGAGCCCATGGACATCTACGACGTAAATGCGCCACCCACGTTGAGATATAAGTTCTAAGGTCTCAGTATAGTTACAACGGCTGTCCCACCCTTCAAACCGAAACGCATTACTGCTTCACGTCAGAAATACGTGGTCGTACCTACCCGCGCGGACTCACAAGAGGTCCTACCACCAGTAATTACACAACTCACGAAAAAATATTAAATTTCTAAACCCAGTACACTTCATTCCTTTTAAAACTGTTATTAAAATTTCCACTTCCTACACTAACGCTATTTCTACTTGTCAAGTTTACAGGTGGACACTTTTTCAACTTGTACCCTATGAAATCTGGTTCTCCTTACCTTTACTCATCCATAGTTTTATTTTTAAAATTTCGTCCGTTAATAGTGTTGCCAGTCTGTTATATTACCAGTGTGCCGAGTTTTTTAACGTTTTCGATATCGTAAAAGATAGCTCATATTTGTATGGAACAGGATCGTTTGCCTACGTTTGCCGCTAGGGGCGCTGTTCAAACTGCATACAAAATTCGGTTAACTTTTACGCTATCGAGAACGTTAAAATACTCGCATTAACCACACAGATAAGTAGTTAAATGTGATAAATGTAAATGATAGGTGTTTTTTTTTCATCTTTCGACTGTTTTCATTTACATTCCTTTGTAGTGTTAACTATTACTATAATTAAGGTTCACGTTTGTTTTCTTATGATTANGCGCTGTTCAAACTGCATACAAAATTCGGTTAACTTTTACGCTATCGAGAACGTTAAAATACTCGCATTAACCACACAGATAAGTAGTTAAATGTGATAAATGTAAATGATAGGTGTTTTTTTTTCATCTTTCGACTGTTTTCATTTACATTCCTTTGTAGTGTTAACTATTACTATAATTAAGGTTCACGTTTGTTTTCTTATGATTACGTATACGAATGTTATAATATATATAAATGAAAAACTATCGTTTGTTACAGAACGCCTATCTTCAAAATAATTAATAGTTTTTGTAATTGTAATGTCTGTTATACAATTCAGTTTTAATTTTTGAATGACTTATGGAAAATTCGATCATGTAAGTTCACAGATTATGTAGGTAAATAATTTAAAATCCTCGCTAATAATTTTGTGCAATATAATGAATTTTATATAAATGTTGAATCTGTGATTTTTTTGATACTATTCAAATGTAACTAACGCACGCACGACCTTCGGTAAAAAAATGTCATTTTTATAAATAATTAGCGGACCCGGCATGCTTCGTAGTGCCTCAATCGATAAATAAAAGACCTAAACTTTTGTATAAAATAAACTTAAAACAAACAATAGGATCCGTCCGACGGGGGACACATCAAGGGAAAAACAAAATTGTTAGTTTTATTTAATTCCGAGCATTTTCATATTTATCTACCTTTTAAACTTTCACTGGACTTTCACAAATAATTCAGACCAAACTAGCCAAATCGCTCCAGCCGTTCTCGAGTTTTAGCGAGACTAACGAACAGCAATTCATTTATATATAGAAAGGTTTTAAAGGTTTCAAAAGGTTTTTTGTGTTTGTTTTGATGTTAAAGAGGTACACCAAAACTGTACCAATAAAATGATTTAAATACGACATTCGACATTGATTTTAAAGTTTACCGAAAGTCATCGTGTTCAGGTTGCTCGCTAACGTCATGTTTCCCTATCAGGAATTCAGAATCGGAGTTGTTTGATTCACATTTCCGTCCGGAATGTTCACGAATGACAAATGATAATTTTTCTTTTGTTTTCGGGTGATCACGTAGCCCCTGTTGTGGGAACGTAACGTTTGTCAATGTCCTAGGACATTAAATAAGATAAAAATGGTTTTTAAAATTCCGTAAGATAATGATTAAATATAAGTTAATCCATTAATCAGTACTGTCCCAAAAATAACGTTTAAATACTCTGAAAGGTGCCTTATTGTAATACTCATTAAATTTTATACGTACCTAATGCTCGACTAATTACAGAAGCACGTGAAAATGAAATTTAAACTCATTATGATTTTTTTGCTTACAAATTTCTAAAAAAAAAACTTCAGAGGTGTCAAGGGACACCCGGATGGAACGAAGTTCCTTTCGATTGATTAGTGAAGGAATTGTAATAAATTTTTTTAAGTTATAATAATAAATTACGGCATTATGAAGAAGAAAAAAACAATACTATGAACTAAATGACTATTGTTGAAACGCTATCTCGAGAAACTGTACTCATTACGCGGACCAATCGGATACGAGCAATGTCACGCGATAAGCGCCTACACGTTGATTGGTCAGAATGATGGATCTAAAAAGTGTCGTGACAACTTTTCGTAAGAATTTTTTCCGTCTAGCCCCCTTTCACAACGCGCGATAAGGAACTTCGTTCCAAAAATTAACAAATTACCGCCAGGTATTGCCTTTGAAAATGGTCGACCATATAGTGCCATTGTTTTGCCATTAGTATTATTAAGACACGTTCTAATAGCTCACCACTATTGAGAATGTTACTCTAGGATTCCTACAGACCAGCGATGCGTCTTTTCCACAAGGTTACGACCAAGTTTCGTTCGTCTGTAACCAGGCGAATCAAGACCGGGCTCGTAAAAATAGGTTTAATTGATCGATTTTATTGTAATGATAAAAAAAAACAATCTAACGATATTCGCGTTCTCCGTCAAATGGAATGTATAGTGAAAAACACGCAAGTTGGTTCAATACTGATTTATTTTAAAGACACCCTCACTTACAGTTAGTTATATTGAATGCATGACTTACGTCACTATAAATTTTAATATACCCTCCTTCATTTAATGAAAAAAAAAAAGAAAAAAAATGGAAGGATGGCGTTCGACCGTTTCCTTCCCTACCCGACAAAGGGTAAAATATAACGTTAATTATGCGAGAGAATATATTCGTCTGTGTGCTTAGCGAGAGGTTTTTTAACGTTCTCGATAGCGTAAAAGTTAACTTAAATTATTTAAGTTAACTTTTACAGTATCGAGAACGTTAAAAAACTCGCACTAAGCACATTAACCCTGATTCATAATATCATATTTATTTTATTCAGTTTCAAATCAAATTGACGATTCTACGAGAGTTATTCATTGACGAAATCGTGAAATGTATATTTTTCAAGAATCTTGTTTGTAATATATCATAAATGTTATGTTCAGTGTCCACGAGTTGATTTACATGCTTGCGCACGAGTCAGGAGTGAGCTTTGACTGTCTAAAAAGCTTTACTGTGATTTCATTTCTTACCTCATTACACTATGAGTACTGGACGAAGAACTATTAGTTAGTTACCGTGATAAATACCAAAGCTTTTTTATTATAAACTGTTTCTAGATTATATAGCGCATCATAATAATATATACATTTGTTTTGATCGAGGCCTTTATTAGAGTTTATCAATTCATAAAGGAGGGAGTTGATGTATTTTACCTTACATTTTAATTTTATAGTTCCTTTTAAAAATTATAAATTTTATGCGTGCAAAAAAAAACGAGTCTTTATTTTATTCTAAATGAAAATGTGAAACATTCCTCGATTTCAATTATTCACTTGCTCAAAATTTCTTGTTTCTGTAAAAAACAATGTACGTATCCTTTTTTTATTATTATGATTATATTGAACATTATTCGCATTTATAATTACGTTGCAAATAAATATTGTGCAATATTTTTTTTTTATTTCATTCGATCAGTTTAAATTTTACTGTAATAGTAAAACAATTAAATAAATAGTACTTACTACCTTTATATCTATCGCTTCGTGGACTATATATCGGTATGAAAGGTATACCGATATGATGTCATATGAGATAAATGCGGGCGGCAACCCGTTCTCAGCAGTGGAATGAAAGGTAGCTCTTTCACAGGGTTCAAACTGTTTCCATATCGAATTTCCTCTAAAAAAAACCCTTAATTTTGAATCCGAATTAATCTGATTGCCCTGAAACCCCATAGACTACTAACTACAGGAAAATAGAGATGTATAATATGTACAAACAAACCTCACAGACAAAAAACATATACCTACACAAATTATATTTTTATTAATTTTCTTGAATGTCAATACCGTTACCATACAATAACGTTTTATTACACTAAACATATGAACAAGCTCACAGCACTTTCTGTTTAGTGGTTACAGCCCATAGATGTCACAACCTGACTGGACCTCCCACCATGATATTGAACCCCAATTTTAATCTATATAGTCCCGTTGTTTGAAAAAGAATGCAAGCCAGTTAGGTTGGAATAGGTCAAACACACCTGCATTCTTGAAAATCTGTCCGTGAAGTGATTTAAGATTCATTATAAATAAAAATTTGGTGCAATTTCTACACTTGGAAGTATGCTCAAGTACATAAATATTTAAAATTCTTTGAACAATAATAATTATATAACATGAGGTTCTAAAAATTACATATTATACATAATGTTAAATTAAATTTATAGTTATATAAAAGTTTTAAAATAATTCTGATTTATATACAAGTTTTATTCTCTTTACAATTCATATATAAAATAACATTTAATACTTGCTCACTTTGAGATATTGTCAATTTTTACATAGGAATGGATATTCTTATCCTCATAATCTTCAATTCATTCTCCTTTACTAACAGTAAAACACTAGCTGAGTGCTATTTCATTTTTCAAGTATTTCAGTCATATTTAATTACCAACAAAATAGTCTCCAACAAATAAATACAATATATTTTAAGTTAGTATTAACTTGAAGTGAAGAAAACAGTTAATAATTACTTAAACAATAGTGTTACTAGTACAAATCCACTGCTGAAACCTACAATTTTTCTCGATATATCGGCATTTATGGTGTCACATACTGCTCTTCAATATTTCATATCATTAAAATTACCGTACTGTACCAGCTCCATACCGTATTTCTTTTTCGAATTGCTCAGCTTTCAACGTGCCATCTATACTCACACAGTTTTCATTGAAAACACTGTAAGCTGAAACTTCACCTCGCTTTTTAGGCGTTGTCCTAGTGTTAACGCAAATACCTATTAAAACAGATACTACAAAAAATACAGCACCAAACTGTATCTGTAAGAAGTACATGTACAAAGATAACCAGATAATAGAGCCGATTGACCATTTAATTGCAAAATATTGCCAAGATTCTTTCGGCTCATCTTCTAAGGATTCCAGTTCACTTGCTTCTGAAGTTATATNCCGCTTTTTAGGCGTTGTCCTAGTGTTAACGCAAATACCTATTAAAACAGATACTACAAAAAATACAGCACCAAACTGTATCTGTAAGAAGTACATGTACAAAGATAACCAGATAATAGAGCCGATTGACCATTTAATTGCAAAATATTGCCAAGATTCTTTCGGCTCATCTTCTAAGGATTCCAGTTCACTTGCTTCTGAAGTTATATCACTCGGGTCTTCAGTTTGTAGAGGTTGGAATTTCTGAGGTATTTGTTCTTCATTTTCAATCTGGAAAGTTAGTTAATGCATTTTATTCTTGTTAAATTTAATGTTAATTTAGTATAATAGCTTTATCGAAAACTTTAACAAACAGTCAGTTTTATTTTGCCAGTCGGTCTTTATTTTGAAACACATTTTTGTAGAATCAAGATACATTCTATTAGCTAGAAGTTTTAGTTATAAACACAATATTATAAGCAAGAACTATTGATATTAAAAATGCAGAGTTTATCAAAACTTGAAGTAACCTTAGAAATTATATTTATATTCCCTTCTATAGTTAGTTCTTAGTTCATGTTATAAAATATAGCTTTATGATCTTTTCTGTGATTTCTAAGCCATAGACAGTTAAAACTATTTTAACAGTTAAATCTCGCAGTTTTTTTCGACGCTTCTTATACTTTACAGTCGTAAGTCGCCACGTAAATTAAAGTATTCGTATCGTCAGAAATAATTAAACTAGATTTTAAACTGCAAAAGTAATTTTCTTTATGTTCAGTATTTTTTTAATCACTTTAAAATAAATTGGTTTATCATAATAATAATTAAACTCACGAGCAAAACCTCTTCTTCGCTTCTATCTTTGGCCATGTCTAAAAAAACTTGTGGTATCAGAAAGTTGACAATTTTATCTTTCGACTTTCTTATCTTTTCTTTCGTATTTTCTACCAATTCTTTTCGGCGTCGTAAGGCCCGATATTCCTTTAATTTTGCCTCCATTCGTAAAGAAATTGGGCTTTTGAATACTTTTCTTTTAATTTCTTATCTACTACCAATGTACTAGCTGGCATAAGTTTTAATTTATCACACAATTTATAATACACTTTATGACAACAGACTCATATAATCAGATTTTTTGTAGAAGGTAAGTTTAAAAGAAGAGGTTTAAACAAAAATATTAATAAAAACAAATACGTAATTCTAAACAATAAATAAAAGTAGACAACTTATTTTTTTTGATGACCTGGTATTAAAGACCTTTAGGTCACAACGTAGACAACGGATAGTCCTAAGCATACATGACAACTAGTGTAATAAACATACTGTCATACACAAAAGGCTTACTGAATTTGGCTCCCCCTTTTTTGAATTTCGGATTTTTTGATTTTTAATTATTTGATCGTCGTTTGTTCGTTAATGTTCAAATGTAAAAATTGTTTGTTCGTCTTTTATTTATTTATAATTAATTAAACAAATGATCACCCTTAAGTTGCCCTCCTTACTAGATATTTTTATTTTTATCGCTCAGATTAATTAATTTTGATCAATTATCGTTTGTTCGACGACTATTGGTGATTGTTCGATCATAAAAACAATTAATTTCCCAATTATTAATTATTTTATATCTAATAAGCAAACCATCACCTCACGCCTACATTGCGCATGCGCTGGTTTTGTCAGTCAGCTAGCAATGGCCATATCTATACTCATAGATTATACACTTAATATATTAGAGATCTATACTAGCGTTTTGTTAACAAGTGCGTTTATACTGTCTAATTTTTTCTTATGTAAATCAAAAAAATATTGAAAACTCCAACAAACTTCAACAATACTTCAACAAAAAAATGTCAGTGAAGACGGCCAATTAGTCGTTAAAGTATGATTAGCGCGGTTTTAATAAATTCGGTTATTTTTAATGATATTGAATATTATCTCAATTACTAAGATTTAATATAATTCATTTCAACGATTTTTTATTTTAATTAATTTTAAAATAAACACGTGTCAACAGTCATTACCACAGGTCAGTACAGTAGTAGTACTCAGTGTCAGTCAATAATTTCATGTTAAAATATGTCACTGTACCTAAAATATTACACAAATTTTATGTGAAATGTTATTACATGAGCCAATTTAATAAGTTTTTTTTATATCTTAACACAGACTATTGAAATTCAAATTGACACTGTTATTTGCTTTCCATTTGAGCAGATAAAGAGGACGAACTGATTTTTATTTTGTTTATCTAAATATTATTTTCCTTAAATTTTAGGGTTTGATATTTTATGATATGTTATAACCATAGAATTAGTATCAACCTTATTAACTCCATGGTTATAACACTGACTGTTCAGCGTAGATAATAAATAAACATATGTACTTAATATTTAAGACTACAGGACAGGCTCGAGACTCTTTGGCGGGAATGCTAGAATCGAAGTTGTATGAATGGTTTTATTTGTTAATTTAGGTACTCCGTAAGTAGAAATTGTCTTAGCTAGGCTATAAGGTCCTATGACCGTTGGCCGTAAATAAATTATGAAAAAAAGTACAGGCGCGCACGATCGATGTAAGAATTTCCGGTTGCAATGAATAGTACCAAATAATTCGCTTTTCGACATTGATTAGATTGATTTATGACTAGAGAATTCATTATTAAATGGAACATCAATCAGAAATGGGTGTTTACGGCGATACTCCTAACGTGCAAAACAGTGGAAACTATATTACAATAATACCTGTGGACTATACACGTAGAGGATATCAGATGCAAGCAGAATATCAATATAAGTAAGAATTATTGAATAACATATAAATACTTCTGTGTTTCCAACACACATAACACAGTAGTGCAAATCTGAGTTACGTTCATTCAATGTGGATCGGTGATTTGTTGACTTGTTTTATTTTAATGTATTTTTAATATTCTCGGCTCACGACCCACCTGGTGTTAAGTGGTTATCGGAGCTCATTAACATAAACAACGTGAATTCCGGCATACGGTACGGCGTCTTGTGTCTTGAGACACGAGTTCCAAGTCTCAGTTTTACAGTACAACGGCTGCCCCGCCCTTCAAACCGAATCGCATTACTGCTTCACGGCAGAATAGGCAGTATGGTGGTACCTAGTAGTTCGTAGTCATAATACGGTTTACAACCAGTAGAACTCAATCCTCTGTGATAGCTTTTTTTTCCCCTACCTGTGCTGATAGCCTTGAGAGGCTATTACAGCTCCGCCTTGACCTGTAGGTGAGTTCACGGGGCTCAAACCGGAGTGTTGCTAACACTGGCCCTAGCAAGAGCAGTGCTTCGCAGAATCTACCACCGGATCGAAAACGCGACCCACTGAGACGATCCAGCAAGAAGCTCAGGGGCTGTGTCTGTGGATTAATTTACTCGTCGAGCCCTTCGTAGCAAGCGGGTTCGACGAGGACGGTGACCGGTACTTGAGGTACCTAAGCACCGTCAAGGGATCGGAAGGATCCGTAATGACGTATTTAGGGCGACGTCGACTGTTTACCATTCGGTCCATAAGATCGACAAATTCCGGCGGCCACGACAAGAAAGTTTTCGTGTCGTGCCGCCTTCTCAAAGTGTTTTTTTGTTGACTTCGAAAGCAGACTTAACCTCTATTTACAAAGCTCACTTGTCGTTGCGCTGTGGAAAAAACCGTAGGCGGTTTCTTTCCAGAAAAGAATGGTATTCGGCAAAAATATTCTATAGAAACAAATGTGTGATTAAATGTGGTAGGCTGTATTTTCCGGATAGTCCGAATTCTGCTAACGTCGAGTGGTAGAATGTGTGTTATGATGGTAGATAAGAGTTTCTTTTTTTTTCTTTCTTTCTGGCTTTTGTTACTTAAATTAAAAAAATTGCAAACGTCAGCTCGTGGAGGTATCAACATAATTATGCTAAGATATTTACATTACATTTAAAGACATGACCCGAAAATAAAGTGACCTATTTAGTTTTATAATTTTTGCATTGAAAGGTTATTAGGAACTACCTACAATTCTATATTATTAGCGTCCTATGAAAGATCCCAGCGAGTAGACTGCCTTTTTAGTGGGGAAAGTTAATAGGAATAGATAAGAGTTATCGGGTTTATCGCAAATAAAAAAATCCTCTACAAATAAATTAAAATACGTTTATTTCAGCGAGTTTCGATCCCGCGAAGAATATTACAGCGTTCAAAGTCAAAAGTTGCAGGCCGAGGTTAACGCGCATTTGTATTCGGTCTCGCAAAGGTTGCCCCACCTCTCGTACAGTCCGCTGGGGCGGCATAATGAGTGGGACAAACACGATCCCCACAAGCCCCTCCAGTCCGACTCGAAGGAGAGCAACAGCTCCGATTCCCTCGAGAAAAGCGTCATGGGTAAGCTACGTAAGGGTAAGCTACGGGTAAGGTAGATTGTTGGCAATCGATTCCGGATCAATCACAATTTTTTTCGTGCACAGAAATTATGTATTGAGCTAATTTACCCATTGCACACGAGAGTCGAGTATCGCTAAGTGTGCTTAGTGCGAGTTTTTTAACGTTCTCGATAGCGTAAAAGTTAACACAGCGCCCCTAGCGGCAAACGTAGGCAGACGTTCCAGCTCCATACAAATTTGAGTTAACTTTTACGCTATCGAGAACCTTAAAAAACTCGCACTAAACACACAGCACATGATTTAAGTACAAACGACAAAAGAACGTTAAGAACAGATATAAAAAACATAAACAAGACGTCAATCATCAATTCCGCACATCGAATTTTCGCACCAAACAAAATGGTGAATCATCTCTCGAGTTGAGGCATTAAATAATGTGATGAGCGAGACTCGCCTTTAGAGTGAAAAAGTTTAATTATAAGCTAATAATATAAGCTAAATAATAACGATATTAAACCATGATATCCTCTTTATTTATGTGTGAAAATCAAATCAGTATTTGTAACGTATTGTTTGCCCTATCCATCTGTCCATACGTCGCGTCCATTACCAAGATATTCTAAAGACATACCTAATACTTTGAATAGCTTCCGTTGCGTCTGCGACTAGTGAAAATCTTAGAATAATCATATATTACCAGGATCCAATCTGAGTAGCTGTTCTAATCAAACCGGATCCAGCAGTATAGCAGCCGGCTCCTTCAGCACAACAGAACCTATTACCAGTGGAGGGAGTTCGTCTAGTGCTATATCCCCACCATTACCAGGTAAGGCTGATAGGTTGTTATCATCAATATTGATGACGAGAACTCCTATAGTTCACTCAAGCATGATCCCGTTATGTGTTACGAAGGTTTTTTTTTGTGGCTAAAACACGATTATTAGTGTTTAAAAATAATAATTAAAAATCCATTTTTTTTATTCAAGATGTCCGCTATCGCCTCTGTAATAATTAATGAGGTGACGTTTATCGAGTTCTATGCCTTGTTCTAATTCGTCGATGTTCTGAATTGGTGAACGCTTTGTTGTTGTAACTAATTAAATAAATAAATAAAAAGTTCCTAATTATAGTTTAGTATATAATTAAATTTATTCCATAGTAGGTACCCGTCACAAGAAGCCATAAGTTATGTAAACAAAGAACCTCTGCTAAGTTACGTTATTACGTAGCGACAATTCAATCAACACCAAATAATCCCAAATTCAATCAACTCATAGTTAGATACGTGTAAAATTAAATTAACGTTGTCGTCTAGTTAGTGTTTCGTGATACCAAAACGCCTCTGACTCATGAAACATAATCATTTGGGTCTGCATTGCAAGCTTGTTAACCTTGATGCTGACAATGTTACGTCAGAACTTTTTTATAGGTAAACCTAGACACAAGACTAAGACAGACACTTACTTGACAAAAATTCAAAAATAAAGAGAGAAATGGAAGGAGGGCGTACGTGACTAGCGGCAGGCAGTACTTTTTTTGACTTCCTAAAAGACGGACACAAACGAGACGACAAGAAACGAATTGACCGTTCTCTTCGATCAATTATTGATCGAAGACCGTTCTCATATGTTCATAAAATAAACTACAAAAGAACTAACCGACCGTTCAGATGATCCTTCGACCGTTCATTATTAATACCAGACACCTGACCGACAGAGCATCAAAACAAATAACTTAAACTTCTAACTTCTTCTTGTAACTTCTAACTTATCTATAGTGAAGTATTTAAGTACGTTAATCTTAAGCTACGTTCGTACTGGTTAATGTTTCGCGTCAATGTTGGTTGATGCATATCCAAAGCCACTGATAAAGAGATGTCTTCGTCCAGGATCCTCGGGTAGCACAGCCTCTTCATCAACGGTAACATCGAACCCCGTCACTTGCATCTACCTCATGTCTCGTACCGCAATCATGATGGAGATGAGTTCGGAAGAAGTACCCGCCAATGTGACAGCCGCACGATTCCTTAATGCGGTTCTGGCCACTGAAGAGTTAGGGTTGTCGCAGCCTTCGACCAGAAGCGTGGCAGCTAACGTTTTTGCGCTGTGGATGTGCAGTCCACTGTTGGGTAAGCTTAGTCCAGATAAACTAGGATAGTTAGTTAAGTTGGTTAATTAAGGCACTTGAAGAACGTACACTGAGACCCGGAACTGGTTAGTACCTTTTTTCTCAGGCAGGGAGCCAAACCTCCAACGAGGTATCTGCGCTTAAGGGGCACAAGGGTTTTTTTTTTAAAATATTTATTGCATAGATGGGTGGACGAGCTCACAGCTCACCTGGTGTTAAGTGGTTGCCGGAGCCCATAGACATTTACAGCGTAAATGCCGCCACCCACCTTGGGATATGAGTTCTAAGGTCTCAGCATAGTTACAACGGCTGCCCCACTCTTCAAACTGAAACGCATCACTGCGTCACGGCAGAAACAGGCAGGGTGGTGGTACCTACCCGTGCGGACTCACAAGAGGTCCTACCACCAGTGAATGTGGGATTTGACGATCTGAAGTTGGGAGCAGACCGCAGGCCAAAATACCAATAGTGTTTTAAGGGCCCTACCGCACTAAATAACTCCACCTTGCATTATCACACCCGACGTCCGATCTCCACCGGGAGTGAGAACCCGGTCAGTGTAGGGGGGTTCCCGCGGTCAACACTACAACCGGTACCTAAGATATCTTCACGACCGACTACCACAATGAACCGATAAAATAAAAATGTGCAGAATGGTGGTACTTATCCGTATGGGCTTAATATACGCCCTACCACAATTAGGTTATTTGTTAAGCTCTTATATTATAGAATATGGTCATGGTGCATAACAATATTAACGTAAAAATGCTTGAAGAAATCCAATTGAAGCCTCATCATAGTCCATGGAAAATCTGGGCAAACTGGCAGAAACTACTGTTGCGTTACGGACACGGGTCAGAATCGAAGCGACGTCGGGATCAGCCAGTCTTGAGATTACAGAGAAACGTTTTCTTTCCCAAACACATCGAAGAAGGAATCAAGTAAGCTTTTAAACAGATAATTAGAGCTTGGTCTGTATTAGGGAATTTAGACAGACATTGATCATTTCTAAAGAAGTGATTTCGAATAAAAGTAAGGAGGTTCTGAATTGTGGTCGTATGTTGCCGTAAACACAAATTAGTTCACGTTCTACACGTGGTTTCGGGTTGCAATAGTGTACAGACTAACAATTCCAATTAATTATAGTCGAATTTCGACTACTGTGGGACCTCTAGTATTATTTATTTTATGTTTTTTTTTTAACAAAACGATTTCGCCCCCGGGTGGACTCGAACCACCAACCTTTCGGTTAACAGCCGAACGCGCTAACCGATTGCGCCACGAAGGCAGTTGCTCTACGTACCAAAATTTGATATCAACTTTGTTTTTATTTAAAATTATCCCAAAGATAAAACGGGCAGATAAAGAATTTTGAAGTTTTTTTTTTATTGCTTAGATGTGTGGACGAGCTCACAGCCTACCTGGTGTTAAGTGGTTACTGGAGCCCATAGACATCTATAACGTAAATGCGCCACACACCTTGAGATATAGTTCTAAGGTCTCAGTATAGTTACAACGGCTGCCCCACCCTTCAAACCGAAACGCATTATTGCTTCACGGCAGAAACAGGAGGGGCGGTGGTACCAACCCGTGCGGTCCTACCACCAGTAACTACGCAAATTATAGTTTTGTGGGTTTGATTTTTATTACACGATGTTATTCCTTCACCGTGGAAGTCAATCGTGAACATTTGTTGAGTACGTATTTCATTAGAAAATTGGTACCCGCCTGCGGGATTCGAACAACGGTGCATCACTAGATACGAATGCACCGGACGTCTTGTCTTTTAGGCCACGACGACTTCAGACTTCTATGGCATTGCCATCAGCATACCTGAGCCCTGGGCTGGGAGTAGTGGGTTCGATTCCCACTCGGGGCAAACGTTCAATCTGTTTATGTTTATATCTATTTAAATGTGTACGTGACTTTAAGCATCTATCTTTGTGAAAGATTTCGTATTCAGAGCTTTCGTACTTGTCTCGTATGTGCCGATGAAACGGCGCTTATTATACAAGAGAAACTCATAGCTTCGGGTCTTTGAACGAAGAAACTCCATTTCAGAGATTCCCGTATACAAGAATTGTTATATGAAGAAGCACGTCACAATGTGGTCACAGGACGGTATCCTTTGGAGAGTGCTCAAGCTGTTATGCTCGGAGGACTGCAAGCTAGGATACAACTTGGCCCTTACGATCCGCACCGACATACAGCTAAATTTTTTAGGTATTTCCTAGTCGCTCTATCTGTGTAAGCCAGCTCTTAGAGGATTAACTAAATGGTGACTTTGCGCCGACATATATTATAAAAAATATGTGTATTGTTTTCTTTCAGGGAGCATCAAGACAAATATTTGCCGAAACATGCGCGTTCAGGGCGTTGGGCCCAACTACTGCCAGCCGGCAGGAAGGGCAGCCCCGAAGCCAAACTATTAGAACAAGCGCAGAGACCTCCTGCTGCTCCACCGAGGAAGCTACGACATAAATACTTGGCTCACACCAGAACTCTCCCTACTTATGGGTCTGTCTATTTAAACTATGATCCTTATGATCTTTTTTGTCTAGGAAAGTCCATAGAACCAGTCGATTACTACCAAGGGAATGGAAAGACAATAGTACCTTCCGTAGTTGAATGGGTAAAACGCCCGGTGTTGTAACTGTGACGTAGCATATAACTGCCTACTAGCGGACCCGACAGACACAAAAATTCATTCAAGTCGATTCAGCCGCTTAGTTGCATTATAGATAAATACCCTAGGTACCGACTGCAGCGCCATCTGATTTGTGAATCAAAGCCATCCAGGGCGCCACCCAAACGCATACAAAAAAAAATTACTCAAATCAGTCCAGCCGCTTAGGAGGAGTTCAGTGACATATACACGTGCAGTAGAATTATATAGATATATATATGATTGTCAGTTTTCAAATTTTGTGACATACCAAAATAGACGATGGAGGATTTGCGTCGTATTATAAAATGAAACCCGCATTTATTCCTGCAATATACCCGCAATTCTGTTTACTGATGCAGGGCCGCCTTCTTCCAAGGGCAAATCGAGCAGCCAGTCCGGAGTTTGACCAGTCTATTGACCCACGAAGATATTCCGGTCTTAGTGGCCGTCAACTCCAATGGGGTTTACGTGATCGATGACACTGAAAGCGTAAGTGCTCATAATCTACTTATATTTCGTATAAAGGTAGGTAGGTACCTATTCCGTATTTCACGTATTTCAAAATCGTGCCTTCGCTTTTGCATACAAAATAATATTATTAACTAAACCAAATTACAATTTGAAAAACCGTGGTATTCACATTAGGCAAACCNGGCCGTCAACTCCAATGGGGTTTACGTGATCGATGACACTGAAAGCGTAAGTGCTCATAATCTACTTATATTTCGTATAAAGGTAGGTAGGTACCTATTCCGTATTTCACGTATTTCAAAATCGTGCCTTCGCTTTTGCATACAAAATAATATTATTAACTAAACCAAATTACAATTTGAAAAACCGTGGTATTCACATTAGGCAAACCTATGTCGGAATAGTGTGTCTACGCCACTAAAATACGTAAAGTGGATGAATTTTATAGCAAATCTTTGAGTCTCGTTTCAATGGTCACCTAATCTAGTTTAGATTGGTCACTTATCAGAGTGGTTCACGGTATGCGAAACATGCTTTTTTGACACCAAATTTTCCTTTTTGTGGCCCTCGAATTCATCCCCGGTCACCGTCCTCGCCGAACCCGTCGCTTGCGACGAAGGGCTCGACAAGTAAATTAACCCACAGACACAGCCCACCGAGTTTCTTTTCGCGTCGCGGTTTTGATCGGGTGGTAGATTCTGTGAAGCACTGTTCTTGTTAGGGCCAGTGTTAACAACACCTCCGGTTTGAGCCCCGAGAGTTCACCTACACGCTAGGGTAACGCTGATATAGCCTCTCAAGGCTATCAGCATAGGTAGGAAAAAAAACAATTCATCTCTTATGTTATGTTCAATATACTTCCTTTATTTCAAATTTGTTTTTAATGAGTTCGGTTAGGGGTTTGCAAGTTATGTGGAACTGCTGAAGTTAACCATTAAACGGGACTCCTAACGTCCTCGCCAGAGACAAGAGCCCACGACAATTGAGAGCGGTCGGCAGCAACAGGTCCGGTCTTATAACTTAACCTATGCCCCTATTCCTACTACTTCCTTTCTTTCCTTTCCTAACTTCAAACTAGGTCCTTGATGAATCTCTCATCAGTAAGCAAAATGATCCGCAAGTTCGAGATATTTACAGACAGTTCTACTTGGTTTGCTGTATGAAGAGTTGTCATGGGACATCGGCTTACCTTCGGAGGAACACGAAGAGAGTCTACCGTGTCTATTCTTGCAGTTCATGGTAGTCGAAAACGGTTTAAGAGTCTCCAAAATATTGCAGGTGAACAAACACTTTTAGTTTGTACTTTCGTTCTTCCTAAATTTACTAAGGCTACATTATATTAATTGACGAAATTAAACACCCAATAGCAGCGTGTTCATTGTAATGTTGTTTCATAAAAAAAAACGACAAATTGGACAGAGACTAACTACAACACTTGCGTTGTGTGAAAGAGACAAATAATCAAAATCAAAATTAAGTTTAATGTTACGTGATTTGGTCATAGAAAAGTGAATCCCTTGATTCGTGAACATGAAATCTCAATTTAGGTGTCCTTTGAAAGCGTAACTCATGACTGCTTCGGAAGAAATAGGTGGAATCTGAAAATCTTCATAATGGTCGGGGAAAAAGTATCTTCGCGTTTTTTAAGAAAATTCACAACATTTTTTAATATAGTTTATTTACATTTAACTAAAGTATGTAGGTACCATTTAGTTCGATAGCTTTTTGCTATCTTTTAGGTAGGGACATGATCCCATTGCTATAGAAATGTTGGGGCTTCTGATCAAAATACCGCGACAATTGGTTTTGGCAGTCCTCTCGTGATGTTAACCTGACACTGCCTAAAGAATTTTGAATCGTACCCAATAAGAGTGTAACCTTGTAAGGAAGAAATTCGAACCGAAATAGGAATCGCCGACAAAAGTCCTCAATGCAATTTTAGGTATTCTCGAGACAAGCTAGCATGATGGATACGTTGATAGAGCACTTTGCCGGGGAATACAGAAAGAGGCTCGGACAGGAGACGCCAAGTGATCACGCCAATTACGACTACCATTCAGGTTGGTACCGAACTCTGTACTTATATGTAACGATTTTTTATTTATTTTATTGCATATGTGTGGACGAATTCACCTAATGTTAAGTGGTTACCGGAGCCTATGACGTAAATGCTGTCAACTACCTTGAAACATGAGTTCTAAGGTCTCAGTATAGTTACAGCGGCTACTCCACCCTTCAAACCGAAACGCATTACTGCTTCACGGCAGGAATAGGCAGAGTAACACCTACTCGTGCGGACTCACAAGAGGTCCTACCACCAGTAATTTTTATTACACGATGTTATTCCTTCACCGTGGAAGATCAACCGTCAATCGTGTTAAGTACCTATTTCATTAGAAAAATTGGTACTTGCCTGCGGGATTCAAACACCAGTGCATCGCAAGATATGAATGCACCAGACATCTTATACTTTAGGCCACGACGATTTCAAAACAGGCTTTTACAGGCTTTTTAACAGACTTTTTACCCATTGTTCTCATTTCCTACTACAAAGGATCTTCAAGTTTCCAGGTAACATGAAGCTTTGGCTGGAATCGACTTTTTGCCTCCCTCGAATCGACATTATTAAAGGGTTGTACTCTAAACAGTGGACAAAATTTACCTTCTGTTGTATTCGGTGTAGGCTCTAACCTTTCACAAATCCCGACCTTTAACAAGAGCTTAACCGAGGGTTTTGGTTTCGGGTCCCGGATCGGGAACGTATGTCTCTGTTTCCCATAGTACAAGGGATCCCAAATGATCGTCTATCCCTTGTTCGTTATTATTATTATTTATTTTAGGACTGATATTATTTTATAGATTCTGGTAGTATATCCCTGCCTCCGCTATCAAGGCCAGATTCTCCCCAACGTAGATTGGCCAACAAGTTGTCTAGGTTGGCGTTGGCCACCCACGACGGACGCGGCAATCTGCTGGGCGGAGCTGGAGATTGGGGCGCGGACTTAGACCATCAACGGCCGTCTTGGATATTACCCAAACACTAAAATTATGTATAGAGACTTTTGCAATTATTGGACTTCTTTGTGATTATCTAGTCAGAATGTGTTCGTCACTTTTGTTGTCTTTTAATTTTGCCTATCTATTCATCAGTAGCGTCATAGGGCTATTCTAGCTTCGCATTGGTTGGTGGGCGATCTCACAGGGCTTAGCCTGAAAGAGTTTGCCAACGTCTGCCCTAGCAAGAGCAGTGCTTCGCTGAATCTGCCACCAGAATCGCGATCCGCTGAAAAGATCCAGCGAGAAACTCAGCGACTCAGCGGTGCTATGAGACTGGACTGAAATACTAAATCAAATTGTTAGAAATTAAAAAAAAGCCTACTTCCAGTATGACATTTTTCGCGAATGATCGCGCGATGAGTAGAAAGTCGTGGGACGGCAACCGGCCGAATATACCGTCTATACTGAGCCACCAGCACAGATAATACACTTAATATTAATTAATGCCACCGGCATACACTAACACAAAAAAAAACCTTTATCTGAGGGACGGGGAAAGTATAACATTCAACTATTATGTGAAAGAGTTACAGCTTCAGTGAAGCACTGCTTTTGTTAGCTTGTGAAGCTAGAATAACCCCTCTGGGTTACTAGTATAGGTAGGCCAAAAACATACCTAAGTACGTATAACACATGTAGTGTGCGAAAGGGACAATGCTCTACAAAGCCGAAATTATCCGAATGTCTCTTTCTAGAGGTCGATGTGCATTATTTCTTGCCCAGTGTCTATATAGTTAGTATACGGGCATCGTTGCATAAAATATAAATGGCGCGAATTTTAATTCACAGTGCGAGTGTGATCTCGCGTTAAATAAATGTTACTGTTTTTATGTGTTTATTTTATGTCATATAGTGTAAATATGTTTAATTTAGTTGAGTACCTAAATAGTTTTAGTCGTATCCTTTTAGAACAGATAGAGAAATAGAGTAAATTGAACAGTCACGCTCTGGAATTGGGCGCGAAAACAATTTGAACTGAGAAGTACATTGTATTATATTCTTAGGCGTACGCATATAAAAATATAGTTGTGGGAAGCTGTAGAATTAAATTTTAAGTCGATTTGTTTGTATATTAAAGCTAAATTTTTTGGAACGACGTTTTATTTCTAACCTCAAATGAAATTGGAATTTAATTATTTCGTTTTCCTGTTGATCATTGTTCCTAATTGAACAACTACAAGAGCTAATCGATTTATATCTTTAGAATTCCGTGAAAATAAAAATATGTGATATAAATTTTAGTTTAGTTAGTGGGCGCATTAAATTATTACTACTGATGGAACATGAAGGTGGAATAGTACCGGATACTACAATGATTATGATCATTATTTCTCAAAGTCCCTTCATAGTGTATTTTTTTAGTCACAATTTAGAACTGATATAATATTTCATTTTTCAAAATTGGCGCGAAACTAAGTACCACATCTAGGTGCATGCTATACATCACGTGTTGCACCTGGTGAAGTCATTTGTTGTGAGTAGCGTTCATCTTGATGAAAAAATATGTTCAATTTCTTACATTTTATATGGTTCCTTAAAAAAATCCATAAAATTCTGGAAGCTTTTAATTTAAGATTCCATGTATGTACTTATCGCATATTTCACTATTGGTTTCCGCTTGCTTTTATTTATCGATAAGTTTCTCCTGTAAGTCATCTAATTTAAAATTCATACAACGATAACACCGTAATAAATTTTATTTATTTCACCAAAAAACAAAATCGTACATTAAGTACCTACATATTTGAAAATAAAAATTAGTCTTCTTGTAAACTCGAAATTCAAAATTAAACGGGCTTAATAGGGCAGTGAAATTTTCTAGTATTTTTAATACGCTTTTTTAATGACTACAATTTGCCAGTGACAGTCTCTCCACATGTGCCCTTTTTATACATATAGAAAAGTTAAAAACCCAAAAAATAAATTTAAAGATAAACATAATACTATTTTATGCCATAATAATTCTTTGAACGATTATATTCCTTCAGTAATGGATGTTTGTCAAGATACTCTAGGAGGATTTTATATCTTGGACCTGACAAATCTTGATGCCTTGTCAATCGCACCTCTAGTGTGTGTACTTGGAATGCTAATTCCGCACTGAAATGTCAAAAACTGTAGATGTTATAATAGATCTGTTTTTAAAAAAAAACGACTTCGGTAGACGTACAGAGGGAGTCGGAGTCCCCGTTCATCTAGTATTATAGGTCATTAGAGCCGAACAATAGTTTCGCACCAAAAGAAGCGTACACAAAAAATGGACGCCTTAAATAGCTGATTTCGATCTAGAATTTACATTATGAAATCATGTATATGCGACCTTTTGTCTCTAACAACTGGCCACTGCGAGAATGCATTCAATCCGACATCAATTTTTAAACTGACAATATCACAGTAAATCATTCGTTAGTAGGCAAAACAATAAAAAAATATTAATTGCGACTCCACGCCTCTTCTAAGCCAGATCGTCCATTACAAGCATTTTATGGAGCGCAGACTTTTAGCTGTGGAGGGTAGAGGTAAGGAGAACCGTTTCATATGGGAGAAACTTGAAAAAGTGTCCCACTTTCAGCACTAAATAACAGTTCGAAAATCCTCCAGAATGGCGCTAGCATAGGCACAGGGTAATATATGAATTAAGCAGTTGTTAACTGATTGAAGTATGCTGAGTTGCGAAATTTAATATATTTAATGACTAGAGTAGTTAGTAACAGTGTAATATACAAGACCTCACATGTTTGCGTAGTCCAAACTAATTTCGTCAATATAACCTAAAATTATTGCTGTGGTAAAACGTGGAGACATCCATTGCATTTTCTCATCAGCTTTTAATAAAATACTTTTTATGATTTTGTAGTGCTTCAGTTCTTTCGTCCTTTTTAATTTCTCTATCTTATTCTAATAACGTTCAGCGTCTTTTTTAAAATTTACCCGGTTGCTTCTGTAGCGCCACCCTTACTTAGCAGATTTTAACGGACACTTTTTCACAACAGAGACGGTTCTCCTTACCTCTACCCTCCATACTTTTTGCGGCCGGACAATACGTCAAGTTAATACGTCAAAATAAAATGGAAATTTACGATCTATTTCATAGATTGTTTCCTGTGTGGAATAGATGACTATATTAAGTGTATAATCTATGTAGATAACTTATACTGACCTCATAGTGAAGTAGTTACTCTCTTTCTCGGGTGTCAGAATAAATTGGTTCGCTAAATACCACAGTCTCTTGTTTTTGTATTCGTTGTTCAACTGTGAAATTTGAAAATGAAGAACAAATTTAATACAGGCCGCTGCGGATAATTATGAAGAAAGCTATCAAAATCGCCAATTATTTTATGAGAAACACATTGCTGGCTCGCACATTTTTGTGCAGCGAATAAGTAATCAAAACCAGAATATCTTACGGCTTTATCTCGTATTTTTGAAATTTTGCATAGATGTGTGTACGAGCTCACGGTCCACCTGGCATTCAGTGGTCACTGAAGCCCATGGACATCAACAACGTAAATACCGTCACCCTCTTTCAGACATGATTTCTAAGTATCAGATATTACTGTACAACGCCTGCCCCGTCCTTCAAACCGAAACGCATTGCTTTATGGCTGAAACAGGCAGGGTGGTGGTACCTACCCGTGCGGTTTCCCGCTATTGCGTCATTCTGCACGGGACATTGATAGAAATTCATCAAATGAGCTCACAGACATTCTGTAGTAAGAGAAGAACTTATGAGGGTTATCGCGGTGTGCACTAAACATGGAATGAAATATTCCCGAAGTTAACCGATTACTTAGCACGGGATCCATCCCAACATTGCGCTTTATTTAATTTTTTAATAATTCTATTAATAATAGAGCTGCAAGGGCAGTTATCATTGGCAGATCCATGTTGAAATGAACAAAAGACAGCGATAAACCGCAATCCGTGTAGTTTGACCGTCTGCGGCAGCTTTGTCGAGCGGATTCCCGAGGAGAACCGCCCTTGTAGTATTATATTAGCCTTACGATGCCAAATGATTACGTAATCGTAATTTCTGTTCACCTTTTCGAACCTCTCCTGGACGAGCATCTGTCGGGCCAATTGCTTGGATTTGAAATCGTTGATGCACTGTTCCCTGATTAGAGTGGCTTCTTTGACGGTGAGCGGATTCCCGGAGCCGTGCCCCGAGCCGAACATCCGAGCCAGGTAAGGAGCTAGCGGATCGATTTCAGCTTCCTTTTCTCGTTCGGTCACTTCGGCTTTTTTTGCTTCCTACAGAAAGCAGTATAGTAAGTAATACTTTTTCCTTGGCTAATCGCTGGTAGCCTAACTATTCCAGCAACACACGGTCTGGTGGTAGGACCTCTTGTGAGTCCGCACGGGTAGGTACCACCACTCTGCCTATTTCAGCCGTGAAGCAGTAATGCGTTTTAGTTTGAAGGGTGGGGCAGCCGTTGTAACTATACCGAGGCCTTAGAACTTATATCTCGAGGTGGGTGGCGCATTTACGTTGTAGATGTCCATGGGCTCCAGTAACCACTTAACACCAGGTGGGCTGTGAGCTCATCCACCCATCTAAGCAGCAAAAAGGCCACGATCCTCAACACTGAGGATTATCGACGTAAGGAGGAGAGAAGGTACAGTTGTTCACCTGCTCCTTCCAGCCTTTCTTGGCGGCCTCGTTCTTCTCGGTATCGAAGAGTGCGACGGCCAGCATCGGTTCGGTGAGCTCCTTGTGTCTCTGCCGCAGATATCCATTGACGTCGGTCTCTCTGTCGCGTATCTGCTTCGTGGTCGCGTGCTCCCACTCCATGTTTTCGCAGAGGGCGTAATACACTTCCAAGTCGCGGGGTTGTTTAGCGTTCGGGTCGGCCTGTAATCACGCGAATCGGCGTAACCACATTACATTATTTACAAATACCTACTAGTGGTCCCCCGGTAGTCGAAATTCGACTATAATTGAAATTATAAGTTTGTACACTATTATGATTCTATTGTATTAATTTTGTGTACAAAAAAGAATACACTCTCTCGCTCTCTCTCGCTCTCTCTCTCCCCCTCTCTTTCCCTCCCCCCCTCTCTCTCTCCCACTGTCTCCCTCCCCCCCTCTCTCTTTCTTCGTAAAAGTTTGTTTAACAAAACTCACGATATACCCGGAGGTTTTGTCGGGATAGAACAAGATTTTCCCGCCGGTCTCAGCCAAGTTAGGTTTTATATAGCTCCTTGTGTTGTTAGTTACGTAATTGTACGCGTATTGGTACAGCAGTTCTATAGTATTGTCCTGGAGGTGGAAGATCTTCTTCCAGACGTCTTGCTTTGATGGGATCTCGTGGTTTCTGCTGTACGTCTCAGTTACGTCCTTTATTTGACGTTTAGTTTCTTTTGATCCTTCTGTATATATTACTAATCTTGATTCTAATCTGAGAAAAATCCGAGAATGAAGGATTCGAAAGTGATTTAAGGAACGCTTTTAAAACTTGTCTAATTTTTAATTATTTAAGTGGATTACCGGAGCTCATAGACATCCACAACATAAATGCGCCACCCACCTTGGGATATAAGTTCTAAGGTCTCAAGTATGCACACGGCTGCCCCACCCTTCAAACCGAAACGCATTACTGCTTCACGGCAGAAATAGGCAGGGTGGTGATATCCACCCGCGCGGACTCACAAGAGGTCCTACCACCAGTAACTACGCAAATTATAATTTTGTGGGTTTGATTTTTATTATAGGATGTTATTCCTTCACCGTGGAAGTCAATCGTGAACATTTGTTGAGTACGTTGAGTTTCATTAGAAAAATTAGTACCCGTCTGAGATTCGAACTCCGGTGTATCGCTCAACACGAATGCACCGACGTCTTATTCGTTAGGCCACGACGACTTCATGTAATGTTCTTATTGAAAAATCAAGTTTGACGCTGAATTAAACGCTGATAAAAATACTATAATTAGGTAAATGATGACAGGAAAAGAAAACGGCCGGTCTGATTTAGTGGCTGCGGGAGTCGATGAGACCAAAACGTCAATCACTTTTCCTACTTCAAAATACGAGGTCAAAATATCCCTTGGACTTCAAATCGTGCTGACAAGCTCCAAAAGCATTCTAACGTAAATTTGGGACAGCATTAAGAGTGTACCTGTCGCTTCTGTTCGAATAATATTCATCGAATGTAAGGGTAGTGCAGACCAGCCTCGTGAGGTGGTCAAGTCGGGCGTAGTAATTGAACTCCATGGTCCTGACTGCCTCCACAGAGCCGACCAGCGCGTCCATGGAGTACACGTGCTCTGCGGAACATTTTTTACCATAGTAAAACTTTACGATTACCAAAGTAGGTAGACGAGCTTAGGGCGAGCTTTTTAACGTTCTCGATAGCGTAAAAGTTAACTCAAATTTGTATGGAGTTGGAACGTTTGCCTACGTTTGATAGCAAGCCAAGGTGGGTGGCGCATTTACGTTGTAACCACTTAACACTAGGTGGGCTGTGAGCTCGTCCACCCGGCGTATGGCTTTGGTATAAAGTTGTTTTTTTTTCGAGTTACGACAATTCCGCTTTCCTCCATCAATACAGCAAGCTAATAAAAGCGTATTGAAGAAACCAAAAACACAATAATTACTGAGTAAATGATCCCTCCGCCCGATACCGAACGTCTCGCGTATCTCACGCTTCGTGTGATCTATTCGAACGGTTTCCATTTTGTCGACGCGATGCTTGTACCACTCGTACCTAGAAAACATTCCGTTATCTGCATTAATTTAATTTAATTGGAATTTTAAACAACTACAGTGCCCGCCGATAAATGCTGCCCATCGACATTTGGAAAGCTACGATCGGCTAATTTCGGATTCGCAGAGCGTTATCTCGGTAGAATATTTTTAAGTAACACATTGATTGTATTTTAATACGACAACTTAGATGTATGTTTATCTCTCTCCTAAATCAAATTGATCTTACAGCTATGGAGTGTAGGAGCAAAGAGCATCATCTTGGTGTATTAAAAAGTGTCAGAGAGCCAATTAAGGGGGCGCCACAGTAGCAAGTGGAAGGATTTTAAAGACACCGCCATAAATTACTACACTTCATTTCAGTCCAGCCCAGTTCACTCTGTTTAAAACTAAACTAAATTCATATCATTTCCATTTCTTACGCTGGTGCTATTTCGGTGATTCTTCAAACAATAACCTTCTGATTACAGGTGGACACTTTTTTTTTTATTGCTTATATGGGTGGACGAACTCTCGCAGCCCACCAGGTGTTATAGACATCTACAGCGTAAATGCCGCCACCCACCTTGAGATATAAGTTCTAAGGTCTCCGTATATTTACAACGGCTACTCCACCCTTCAAACCGGAACGTATTACTGCTTCACGGCAGGAATAGCCAGGGTGGTGGTACCTACCCGTGCGGACTCACAAGACGTCCTACCACCAGTAATTAGGCAAATTATAATTTTGCGAGTTTGATTTTTATTACACGACTAGCTGACCCGGCAGACTTCGTAGTGCCTCAATCGATAAATAAAATACCTAAGCTTTTGTATAAAATAAACTTAAAACAAACAAAGCGAATCCGTTCAACGGGGGACACATCAAAGGAAAAACAAAATTGTTTGTTTTTATATAATTCCGAGCATTTTCATAATTATCAACCTTTTAAACCTTCTCTGGACTTCCACAAATATTTCAAGACCAAAATTAGGGAAATCGGTCCAGCCGTTCTCGAGTTTTAGCGAGACTAACGAACAGCAATTCATTTTTATATAATACTAGCTGACCCGGCAAACGTTGTGTTGCCTTAAATAAGATTTCTAGGGAAATTCTACTGTAGAAAAAAAAACCTCATTTAATCACATAATACCCCATTATAAACAAAAAAAATAACCAAAAAAATAAAATAAAAAATAAATGTTTGGGGTGGACAACCCTTTTCACTTAGGGGTATGAAAAATAGATAGTAGCCGATTCTCAGACCTACTGAACATACTATTGATACACAAATAAAACCAAAAAAACATGGCTGAAAAATGTATAGTATTGTATAACTCTCAAATATATTAAGTGTATAATCTATGATGTATAGTGAGTAAGTAAGACAGGAGACCGGCTTCGTCCTCATCCCTACTACGTGATGTTTGCTAGATGAGTGGTGACTCCTGGCGGGGATAGCTGATCGATTGATAGTTGATCAGTAGTCGACCGGCGAGGGCGGGAGATCAAATTCAATTTAAAAAAAATCATAATTAAAGGATCTTGAAATTATAAACTCTGAATAAGAATTTGTCGTACTACAATTATAATATTTGATTGCCATCTTACAACCTTATTGCGGATCTGTGCATAGAATAAAAAAAATATTAATCGGGATGGAAAAATAGGGGTTGATCGTATAAGAGTGAAAATTGAGAGTAATATGATTTTCTTTTATTTTAAGTCATGACAAAACAAAATAAAAAACTTGCCAAAAAAATTAATGTTTATAATTAACAAATAAAAAATAGGGGTTGATCATAGAGGGATGAAAATTTGAACTAACATCAGATTTCTTATTTTAATTCATGACAAAATAAAAATGAAAATCTTGCCAAAAAAATTAAAGATAACAAATAAAAAATAGGGGTTGATCGTAGAGGGGTGAAAATTTCAGAGTAATATGATTTTTTTTATTCTACGTCATGACAAAATAAAAACAAAATTCTCGCAAAAAAATTTAAAGTTTTTAATTAGCAAATAAAAAATAAGGGTTGATCGTAGAAGGGTGAAAATTGAGGATTGTATGTATTTTTGTATGTTGTATCANAGAGTAACATCAGATTTTTTATTTTAATTCATGACGAAATAAAAATAAAAATGAAAATCTTGCCAAAAAAATTAAAATTTATAATTAACAAATAAAAAATAGGGGTTGATCGTAGAGGGGTGAAAATTTCAGAGTAATATGAATTTTTTTATTCTATGTCATGACAAAATAAAAACAAAATTCTCGCAAAAAACTTTTAAAGTTTTTGATTAGCAAATAAAAAATAAGGGTTGATCGTAGAGGGGTGAAAATTGAGGATTGTATGTATTTTTGTATGTTGTATCATAAAAAAATAAAAACAAAAATTTTTGTCTAAAAAATAAATAAAAATATTTAGGGGTGGACTACCCCTAACATTTAGGGGGATGAAAAATAGATGTTGGCTGATTCTCATAGATACCGAATAAGCACAAAAAATTTCATCAAAATCGGTCAAGCCGTTTCGGAGGAGTATGGCAACGAAAACTGTGACACGAGAATTTTATATATTAGATACTAGCGACCCGCCCTCGCTTCGCTTCGGAAACATTAACACATGAAACCAAAAAATAATAATAAAAAAAAAATAATAAAAGTAGCCTATGTTCATCAGGGACAATGTCGGCTTATAATGGAAAAAGAATTTTTCAAATCGGTCCAGTAGTTTCGGAGCCTATTCGAAACAAACAAACAAACAAATCTTTCCTCTTTATAATATTAGTATAGATAGATAAATGTTCAACTGGTTCCCTATACAAGATGCGTGCTCCTTACTTCTACCCCTCCATAACTACAGCCTTCTCAAGTCAGAGAAGTCTAGGGTTCTCTTAGCGGTGGTGACGAAGCGTATTAGGCCTCGTTTCTGGACTGTGTAAAGTCGAAGACGCACTCACGTGATCAGCGGGACGGTCAAAGCGTAGTCGTCAAACGTTCTGATCCTCTTCACGACGCCATCCCTCTCGGAGTAGGGCGAGAACTTATCCAGTAAAACTTTCTTGTAGTGTATCACTTTGTGGCTGCCCGGATATCTTTGACCGTACTCTGATAAGGGTATTGTTTTGTTAATCTTTTGAGAGGAGTGCAGGTCACCGGTGCTCTACGCGGCGTAGTAGTAATTATGTCGATTTCTGTTACTAAGGCGCTTGGATTGTCTTTTTTTTATGTCTTAGACGGGTGGACGAGCTCAGAGCCCACCTGGTGTTAAGTGGTTACTGGAGCCCATGGACATCTACAACGTTAATGCGCCACGCACCTTGAGATGTAAGTTCTAAGGTCTCAAGTACAGTTACAACGGCTGCCCCACCCTTCAAACCGATACGCGTTACTGCGTCACGGCAGAAATAGTCGGGGTGGTGGTACCTACCCGCGCGGACTCACAAGAGGTCCTACTACTTAAATACACGATGTTTTAGTTTTTTAGGTATCTTACGCATAGATTCATTCTCATTACCTTCGGGTTCGTCTTTCCCAGTATCGACTAGATATTCTGTCGCGTTAGCAACAGTAAATCGATATAAGAGTCGTCTATTATCAAAGGTGGCAATATGTGCATTTGGACAAAAAAATGTTATTGATATGTCAATACAGATTGATTTGAATATAATCGTCTCCTTCAAAGAATACGGTTCAAAAACTGCATTAAATAAAGGTTAATACTTAACCTGTTATTTATCTAAGATGTCGTTCAGAAGAGTTTTGTGACTGCCAATGGAATACAAAGTCAATAATTCGTTTTTCTGATTTACCAATAATTTTCCAAAAGTCACATTGCCGGCTTTGATAATAGTCGACTCATAATTACTTCAGTGCGCTACGTAGAGCACAAACCGGGCCTAAGACTCTTACAAGTTAACGTCGCCAACCACCCTAAATTCCAAGTAACGGATATCCCGTTCGCTTCAGATTTACAATAGACAATAATCGACTCAGAATTGCGAACGTAATTTTACCATCAGTACTAATCTCCAGTTTCTCAACCCAGCTGACTGGCATATCCAGATGCTTCTCTGTTTGCACAGCTGTCTTCTTGTCCGCGATGTCAATGCCGACCATCTGCCTCCGATGGTGGGGCTCGCCGGCCAGAAGATGCTCCCACGCTGATAGGTCGCTCAGATCATAATTCAGGCTGTCCAACCCGATGTCTGTGCTTTGAACGTTTGCCTTAAAAAAAGTTGTAGGTAGGTATGTAGTTGTACTCTTTTATTTATTTCTTAACACCACACAGGTGGTACCAACAAATTCACTGATAATTTTATTTATTTAGCGATAGTCAGAGAAAGGTGATGCATGTGACTAGGAGATGTATGGAAATGGTAGTGCAAGGTAGAGGGGGAAGAGGTTGACGAAGAAGACAGGGATGAAGTGTGTGAATGACGATGAGAGAGAGAGGAGTGAGTGTTGAGATGACGCCTTTTTTTTTCATACCTAAGCTATGGTCTAGAGAGACCATAACAGCGTAGCCTTAACTAGTAGGTGAGCTCACGGGGCTCAAACCGGACGATATTGCTAACACGAGCCCTAGCAAGAGCCGTGCTTCGTAGAATCTACCACCGGATCGAAAACGCGACCCACTGAGAAGATCCGGCGAGAAACTCAGTGGGCTGTGTCTATGCGTTAATTTACTCGCCGAACCCTTCGTCGCGAGCGACGGGTTCGACGAGAACGATGACCGGTGCTTGTGGTGCCTAAAAGCACCGTTAGTGGATCGGGAGGATCCGTAATGACGTGGATAGAAGAGAATGGAATAGAAAAATTCTCTGTGCTGACCCCACTTAGTAAGATAAATTGGTGATAAAAAATAAGAGTCAGAGAAAAGGGCGACCGAGGCTTAATAAAAATTAATACTAGTTCTAGAAATATAATACACAATAACTCAATAATCAAAACAATTATAATTAATGTTGCATTACGTAAATCTATACTAATATATAAATCTATAGTGGCTTTTACGGATGTTCCGTTATAATTACCGGACCATGCATCCGAATGACTTGAAACTTGGTATCCGTGTAGAAAATACATGTACTTAATGGATACGTTAATATTTAGATGAGTCCCTAATAATGACGACAATAAATAATAATGTTAATTTTAAATGTGCAGCGAAGCGGGCGAGTACGGCTAGTATAATAGGTATAAAGTATTCGCGATTAATATAAACAATAAATATTTTTTCAATCGACCAATTAAAAAAAAATGAGTTTGTTGATATCACTTGAAATTCGAAAGGGGAATTCGCCGGATTCGAATAAAAATTGCAGCTGAAACTCACATAGTAATTTTCGTGATTGTACACGCTGTCTATGAATTGGTATTTTTCTGAGTCTAGGAGATGACCTTCGCCTTCGCTCGGCTCTATGAAGAAAGGTTCGTCGATCCCCAAGTATCCCGGCAGCACGAGGACCCAGGCGTGGGTTCGCCACCCGTTTATAGCGTCAGCCGGAGCTTTTTCTAGATCCTGAAAATCAACGATTATTATTATTATTATTTTATTGCTTTGATGGATGGACGACCACACAGTCCACCTGGTTGTTGAGTGACCCATATACATCTACAACGTAAATGTAAGTCACAACGGCTGCCCCACCCTTCAAACCGAAACGCATTACTGCTTCACGGCAGAAATAGGCGGGCGGTGGTACTAACGTGCGGACTCACAAGAAGTCCTGCCACCAGTGATTACGCAAATTATAATTTTGCGGGTTTGATTTTTATTACACGATGCTATTCCTTCACCGTGGAAGTCAATCGTGAACATTTGATAAGTACGTATTTTATTAGAAAAATTGGTACCCGCCTGCGGGATTCGAACACCGGTGCATCGCTAGATACGAATGCACCGGACGTCTTATCCTTTAGGCCACGACGACTTTAGCATCCAACGCAAACGAATTACACCGACAAACGCTACAACTTGTACGCTTCTATCCAGCTTGATGACCATGAGGTCTAAATCTCATTCGTAACTGTCCCATCCCTTAATGCGCTGATGCTATGAGCCAAGAGCTACGTCGAACTATATGACAATAACAAAAAAAAGTAATACACAAATTGAATCTAAGTATTGCTTTGTGGATGCTACTGGACGAATTTCGACCGCTGGGCTGAACACTTGAATAAGTAAATACTCCAATCTACATCTATATTCTTCTTCTACTTATATATAAAAATGAACTGCTGTTCGTTAGTCTCGCTAAAACTCGAGAACGGCTGGACCGATTTGGTTAATTTTGGTCTTGAATTATTTGTGGTAGTCCAGAGAAGGTTTAAAAGGTACATAATTATGAAAATTCACGGAATTAAATAAAAATAACAACTTTGTTTTTTCTTTGATGTGTCTCCCGTCGGACGGATTCCTTTCGTTTGTTTTAAGTTTATTTTATATAAAAGTTTAGGTCTTTTATTTATCGATTGAGGCACTACGAAGTCTGCCGGGTCAGCTAGTACTAGATAATTACTTCTTGTAAAACAGGTATCTTATGTTATAAATAACATAGGACATTATTATTATACTGATTATACTACAACTAAAAATGATGTAAGCACAGTTAAGTACATATCTGTTTAATTATTCTATATATTTTTGTGTGGATTCTGAAGAGACCTTAAATTAAATATGCATAAAGATGCTAACAGCAATTTTACGAAGTCGCTCTTTCTCGATCTTGTTCAGTTCAGCTTGTTTCTTATCATCGGCTTTTTTGTCCATATCACGGCAGTACTTAGAAGTGAGATCCGGTAGGGGCACCAGGCGATATCTGGGCTCTTCGTCAGGTGGTGGAATGTCTTCTTTTTTCTGGATACACAAATGAAGGTTAGGTTCACTGGTGGTAGGACCTTTTGTGAGGCCGCACGGGTGCCTATTTCTGCCGTGAAGCAGTAATGCGTTTCGGTTTGAAGGGTGGCGCTGCCGTTGTAACTATACTGAGACCTTAGAACTTATATCTCAAGGTGGGTGGCGGCATTTACGTTGTAGATGTCTATGGACTCCAGTAACCACTTAACACCAGGTGGGCTGTGAGCTCGTCCACCTATCTAAGCAATATTTACCAAATTAGCTGTAAACTATATATTTCTTCTTAATAGAGAAGACCGGCAGCGATGCTGGTAAATACTGATTATAATAACTTTAAAGTCAAGTTAATTTTTTTTCCTACCTAAGCTGGTGGTAACCTAGAGGATAATGCCAGCGTACCCCGACGAGTAGGTGAGCTCTCAGAGCTCTGGACCAGAGGACGTTGCTAACACTGGCCCTAGCAACAGCCGTGCTTCGCAGAATCTACCACCGGATCGGTAACGCGACCCATTGAGAAGATCCGGCAAGAAACTCAGTGGGCTGTGTATGTGGGATAATTTACTCGCCGAGCCCTTCGTCACAAATGAGAGCGTTAACTGGATGTTTATAAATGAGGTTTTATAATATTGCACGTAACGAACTACGTTTAAGTTTTAATTAACGCGCAAGGTCAACTTCGAGAGAACGCGGTGTAACCACACCTACCTTTGCGTCAGCTACCTTTGCGTTATATTACGGGATTACGAAAAATAAAATGTTCTTTTAGGAGTGGAATGATTGTGGTTGGCGTTGTTAGAGCTTGTCGCTGTAACCGGAGACCTTGCTGACAGGTGCAGCGTCTTCGAAGGCGCTCCTAACAGCTCAAGGATAGCTGCTTCGCGAATGCATCTCTGCTACCGTATCGGAATCGTATTAAAGATTTTTTCAATTTTCATTGCTTAGACGGGAGAACCAGCTCAGAGCGTATCTGGTGCTAAATGGTTACCAGAGCCCATAGACAACAACCACGTAAAACCCGTTACCCACCTTGAGACATGGAATCTATAGCAAAAATCCCGCACCTTCAAACTAAAAAGTATTAAAAATTTATTCTTACCGAACATGGTAGAACCTATGCAATTCTTGTCTCCAACTCAATACCTCTGATTTGGGTGGTACCTATTTGGGCACTTATCGATTTCCATATTCTTACCAAAAGAAATAGTTTCAGAAGGTAACAAACATTATTGTAACACCCAAACCTCGCTCTCATCAGGGATGTCAGTACAAATGCTCCTGTACTTTATAGCCATGCAAGTATCTCTGGTGGCACAGCCGACGACCACGTATGCGTCATATCCAGCTCCTATTAGCCACGACACCAACACGTGAGCTAGCTCGAAGGGGTTCCCACTGCGTCTGATGATCACTGTGTACGGCGACATTATTCTTTCCGGCTGAAATTGAATATCAAAAGCGATTTATTAACGATACCTAAATATTGAATAAATTCCACCTTCATTGGAGTATTGTATTTTAAATCTATTCGAAAATAAAAATGGTAAATTTTCATGGAGGCGCATGATTGAGATGTAACTTATTTTATTATTTACAGGAACTTTCATGAAACGAAAGAGCTAAATAGCCGATTCGACAGATTATACTACATAATATATATAAAAATGAATTGCTGTTCGTTAGTCTCGCTAAAACTCGAGAACGGCTGGACCGATTTGGCTAATTTTGGTCTTGAATTATTTGTGGAAGTTCAGAGAGTTTAAAAGGTAGATAAATATGAAAATACTCGGAATTTAATAAAAATAAACAATTTTGGTTTTTCCTTTGATGTGTTCCCCGTCGGACGGACTCCTTTTGTTTGTTTTAAGTTTATTTTATACAAAAGCTTAGGTCTTTTATTTATCGATTGAGGCACTACGAAGTCTGCCGGATCAGCTAGTATATTATATTGTATGCTGATAGAATAGACCCGCTGATTTATGGTATTGTTTGCTAAAAGTTTTTGGTGTCAATTTTATTTTATTTTAACGACACCTGTAGGATATCATTGGAACTATTTGAAAAAATCTTAGCCTTTTTCTACGTTAACAAAGTTTTAAATAAGTTAATTCAATCATCGCTAGATGGCATTAGATGCTTTAAAATTACAAAATGTTAATGAGGCACTTGTTGATCGTTCTCTTGTTCCCTTACAAAAACAATAAACATTATGTAATATTAATGAGTTTAAAGTCTAGACATCATAATGGATACAGCTTGCGGCCTATAACTGAATACATAATATCAACTAGGTTTTATATACTTAGTTGTTGTTGTGTTAGGAGATTTCAAAAGGTTATTTATTAGACATTACTTAAAATTAATGACGAAACAAAAGCGATGTTAAGAGATTTTTTTAAGAGGTAATAATTTCATTTGCATAAATAGAATTATTCCGCTAAGTTAATTATTAGTGGTCAATCAACATGGGCTTGGAAATTTTATACGACTCGAAAAATGATATTTTATGTTTCTTAGTGGTACACCAACAGTTTCTAATACCAGCAAAATCAACTCCATAAAAAACACTCAAATCTAAGAAAACATATGAATTTCAATAACCTTTTAAGTAAATAGTGCCTCTGTACACTATTCTTTAACGTTTTTATTACCTTACACATTTTTTTTTATCCATATACCAAATAAACCTATGTGACGAAAAATTTCTTTTAGGAGCAAGCCACCGTGTTCCTAAAATATCTCTTTTAGTCTTGCAAATTAAAAAAAAAAGAACTGTCACTTGTCAGTAATGCGCGGGAATATCGTTATCATAATCGTTCTGTAGTTACAAGTACAACTCTCAAAAGGGCCTACAGGGCCGCCGGACTGGGTGGTTCCCTCCCTACCGCCCTCCGCATTGAATCCCAAGTTGAACGAAAACAAAGTCAACGCTCGCCAACTTTTGCGACTCCACAACTTTCGCTTTCCACTGTAAACTTTTCCGACACTTTCACTGTCATATTCGTTTTTTTTTTTTTAACTTTTTTTGTTTCTTTTTTTTTAAGGCTGTTTGACTGAAGTTTTCTTTTGGCTAAGGCAAAATTATAATCTATATAAAAATATATAAAAATGAATTGCTGTTCGTTAGTCTCGCTAAAACTTGAGAACGGCTGGACCGATTTGGCTAATTTTGGTCTTGAATTATTTGTGGAAGTCCAGAGAAGGTTTAAAAGGTAGATAAATATGAAAATTCTCGGAATTAAATAAAAATAACAATTTTGTTTTTTCTTTGATGTGTCCCCCGTCGGACGGATTTTAGGTCTTTTGTTTTTCGATTGAGGCACTACGAAGTCTGCCGGGTCAGCTAGTTATAATATGTTTGACGTATTACGTCATTCTTATGTAAATCTTTAGAAATATTTATACAAACATTATTTTGTTAATTACAGGTGTTTGATTTCTGATTTTATTATTGTCAGTACTTTTGTATTTCCAGAGACTTTTTAGTTTCTTTTTGGGATGTTATTAAACTTTTTATTGTTGTAGATTGATACATCAGTTTACCGCTTAGTCATCGGAGCCGATACACTTACTTGATTGTCGCCATGCACCTTGAGACATGAGGTCGAATTTTGCGAGATCTTTCTAAACGTATTACTCCGATCAGAATTACGACGTTAAAGAACCTATAATTTAAACCTAGCGCCATTCTGAAAATCCGACGCTAAGACTAGAACAAACAACTTTGTTTGCACAACTACGATTTACCTAAATCCTCTGTACCGAATGCAAACGTACTATTTAAATATACAGTACCTAATCACAGGTACATATACGTAATCCTCGGTAAGAGCTTTCCTAAGCCAACGTGTAGGTACACAAGCATATAGAGCAAAAGCCTCGTAGTCACCGCACTGGCGCAAATTAGACCGTACCGCGTTCCTAGCTTTGAGTTGCGCTTGACCAAGCGTTATTCGAATTTCGAACAAGACGCCCGAACTAGTGCAGCGCGAGTTATCGATAAGACACTCGAGTATCGATTCGGGGGAGGGTACGCGAGAGCATTGTCGTCGCATATAGACGCGCCACTCATGCGGGCAGTAAGGCTGCGCTCTACGTTTAATTGAATAGACAACTATTATTTTATCGATATAATTTTTTTTATTTGATCTCGGCAATTCTATTCGATTGTAGCGTGACAAATCTAAGAAACTAAACGTTTGGAACGTTTGCCTTTATCGATTTTATTCGATATTCGCGTGTAGACATAATTAAACATATTTAAATAGTTTAATCTCGCTTTTTTTATTGCCATATTACTTCCGAGCTTCGAATACATTACAGTAAATTCATCGACATTAGAATATGATGCCATTTGTGCTGTCTATATCTCAATTAAAAATGTAAAAGTAAAAAGTAGTAAGTAATAGGGTCGGGTTTTTTGTTTGACTGATATTTTCATTTACACGATAATTGCTAATCATTTTTTCTAATATAGTTATGTAGTATGCTTTTTAAAAAGTAGTTTAATTAATCATGACTTTGTATTTATGTACAATAACTAATAAACTGTTTTGTAGTAGCAAAAACTATAGCCGGATTCATTATTTAATAACTTTATGATCATTGTTTCCCATAGTAATTAACATTAACGTTTAGTAATACGCATAAAGATTAATTACACATTTTAACGTTCACAGTTGTAATTGAATAAAAGGTTATCTGAATCATTTTATTAATCTGTCAGCTACTGCACACCAGTTATAATGTCCAAATTAAAATACATTTTTAAAACTATATTTTTTTATTATTAAAACTAAAATTAAATTAAAATTTGTCGATACGCGCTGATAAATTCACAGCTATCGTGCACAACGCTAATGGAAGCGTTCTCCAAGAACGGCAGTCCGCGCGAGTGATTTGCGCCACCCGCCGCCGCGCGGTCGCGACTTGTTAGGGTTGCTACACATTAACACATTTTTAATAAAATATTTCTATAATTTAGTTAGCATCAATCGTATTAGCATTAACTTGTTTATTTATGTTTAGCTCATCGATAAACGTTTTAAAGATGTATTTGAATGCAAACGTATTCGTGGAAAACAAATTAATGAAACGATATTGTTTTGCTTGAAGCTTGTATGCGCTACGGCGGAATATGAGCGAGGCGTCATATTGCTAACGCTCTAGGTCGATTTCCGTTCAATCGCGTGACGAACGGACAACACTTGTGCCAGCGGCGAACAAAGAAGTGTTCTTGTGTCGCGGCGCCGCCCTCCCGCCGCGAATTGTGTCCGTGGCGACGGTCGGCCGCGGATCGATATCGCCGGCTCGAGATCTCGGCCTACGCGTCCGCTTCGCCGGCCATTTGCCTACCTCGACGCCTCGGGCTCGTGTGTACATAACCCGCCACCACCCACCCCGGCCGATACACCCCCGCAGATTACCGCCTACAAAGCAAACTTCGTTGGTACGTGCATGCAATATGCGCAAGGAGCAGACCCGAATTGCACGTCGAACGGTCGCCGCCAGGATTGCTTTGATATCCCACCCGTTATATAGGCCATTCCATCTCCTAGACAAGAACGTCTCTATTTCGAACAAGGCTTCAGTCCGCACAGTTCTCGCAATCGCGTTAATTACTCAGACGATAGTTTAGCTCTCGATGATAAACGATACGAACAGAAATTGTGCAACTTGAAACAGAATTAATTCGATACTGCACAATATAATGGATATTATTTCGTCATCAATATTAAAAGCTAATACGAGATATGATGTTTATTTTAAATAAAATCTCTAAAAGCAGTTCACACATGCACGTTCGAGAAAATTCGTAGGCCATTGTGGTTCTATTCATTTCAGTCATAAAGAATGAATTCATTACTGTTTCACTAGTACGAAAGTTTTTGATATCAACTTTTGATGCTTCGATCTCATGTACAAAGGCTAGGGATGTATTGGAGCTCTAATGCTACACAAATCACTTCGCTAATTCGTCTTAGAGCCATAAAAACAACTTTTGCGTCCATGAACAATAGTCATACTGCAAAAATACTCGAAATAGATATCACATTCGCAGACAATTCGAGTAAGTTTGAATAGAAAGCGCGGGAGAGTCGTAAATCGGCCAAGTGCAGCAATTCCGCAAATTCCCGCCCTCCAGCCTCCGTTTGAAAGAGGGAAAGTTCACATTTGCATATTGGCCTTCGCGTCGCCAACTTTGCGACAAACTTTGTTGGATTCGGAGTTTGGCTACTCGGATAAATGCTACTACTGACTTCCCTTTGTTATTGTGACTGATCTAGTAGCTTCGGACTGTGTTATTTTGTTTCTAAAAGTTATTTACGTTCTTCAAATTCTAGATTTGATTTCCAATTACATTTAAGTTAATGCTTAATAGTTCCATGTCCATTGCCGACGAGTTTATTTTAAATATCAGTGAAAATCAAATTTTATT